AACCTTTGAATGAAATCTAGTGTTTAGTAAGGCTATTACAGTAGAAAGTTAACTAGATATCAATAGAAAGAACTGTAAATACTGTAACATTGTTGCTTGATTCTTCCTCCAATTTCTTCTGTTTACAAAGCATGTTGATCCAGGAACATGTCCTCCTCCTGTAATCCATGTCAGCTGTCATCTATGAAAACACGCAAATAATATCCACACAATTTAACACCAACACCACTTTCTAAGAGAAACAGATAAGTGAAGGAACGAACAGACTTTAAAAACACTCACGTAATAGGAACCAAATATACGTGCGCCATAAGCAGGTTGAGCGTGTTTTGTGTGAACTGCCAGGAAGAGTATTGTAATGAACCTAGACTAGTGTTGTCAAATTGTCACAGTTAGAGTAATTCACTCTACACAAGTAAGCAGCACCACAGAGCTACAGAAAATAATCTTTATTTTATACAATTCAGGTAGTGACCAAACATTTCAGAGTGGTTCAGGCTCTTGAATTACCAAACACGTATGCAAGTCAGGGGCGAATAACACCACAAGAGATCATGCTCCACAGAAAACACCGTCATCAATAAGCCATGCTATAGTACACACACGTCAATCCCGTAGGACACTGCACACGTTCAAAATACACGTGAACTTCAAACCTAAGACGCCCTCCGACTACTACACAAAGATTTAGTTCATCATAACCCTCCCACCCCGTCATGAAATGATTACACTACCAGCTTTAAAACCAATCACTCACACACACTCACACACACACACACAATAATACTTCTAAAATTCAACACTTAACTCTCCCAGGATGTAAGACCCTCCCCCGGGGTCTAGGCTTTGGCGCTGGTTGGCAAGGGGGAAAAGCAGACGCCAGTCCAGCGCTCAGAAGGTTTCCGAACTATAGCGGGAACGGAGCACCCCTTGCTGAGAAGCCGCGCACTGCCCACGCACTCCTATACCCAGCCTTATCTATCGGTTATCCCGCTAGACTATCTTCACCGCCGGCAGCCCTAATTAGCATGCGAACGGCACCCACCCCCAACCTTGAGTGCAGTAGGCATTTGCAACAACAGCCCGTTTCTCAGACACGCCGTCACTGTGCTCACCTCTCTCTTTAATCCCTCGGGTGACATTGAAATTTGCAATAATTACTGCTTCCTGGACCTTCCCATTCATCAGTGATCAGGTGAAAACACTCACTAAACTCAACCCACTCCTCCACTCCACCCACGCCACTCATAACAACACATTCATCCACCGTCACTTCATTACACTCCCCCCACCCATAGGGCAGACTCGTCCTCGAGTCGAATTCAAAACATTTCATAGTCCAGGGACCATACTGGTGCCCTCCTTGATCGTCCTTGGCGCACTTCTTTGGGTAGCAATGCACCTTGCTTGGCCTCCCCGGTCATTGCAGAATGGCTAGTCATGGATGTTTGCATCTCCCCAGTATATGAAGATTCTTGACCACCTTGGTTCTGTGTGTCCCGAGCTGACCGGCCTCTTTGCCATTGTGATCCCATTAAGGCATCACCGCTTCCTGATACCTCGCTTGTGACTGGGGGTACTTCGGATCTGGCCCCTGGCACTACCACCTCCCTCTCTCGACCCTCTGCAGCAATTGAAGTCTGCAGCCCGGTCTCTTTAGGTGGAATGCCAGTTACCCGTGGCCTCTCTGCACCCTCTTGGTTGATTACCTCTGTTACAGAAGAAAGACATGGTTTCAGTCGGTTAAAGTGCACCACTATTTCTGTCCCCCCCTCAACTGGCACAAGTCTATATAAAACTTCAGTTATCCTCTCTGTGACTTTATAAGGCCCCTTAAACCTTCGTTGTAATTTTGGGCAAAGACCCTTTTTCCTAACCTTCCCCCGAACCCACACCAATTCTCCTTCTGAGTAGTACTGGAAATGTGCTCTGAAGTCATATTCTCCCTTCTGCTTCACAGAGGCTCTTAACTGATGGCCCTTTACCGCCTCTACTACTGTGGACAATGTCTCCAGCAATCTAGACACATACTCTGAAACAGAAGAGAATCTTTCCCCACCACCTAGGTTAAGCATGACATCCACAGGAAGGATGATCTCTTTCCCGAAAACCACTTTGTAGGGTGTAAACCCAGTACTGGAGTGAACGCTGCTTCTATAGGCCATCATCACATAAGGCAACAGGATGTCCCAATTAGCTTGGTTCTCATCTACAAACAGAGACAACATGGAGGCCAATGTTCTGTTAAACCTTTCAACCATTCCATCAGATTGAGGATGATAGGGTGATGTCCTAGTCTTATGAATGTTCAGCAACTGGCACACTTCTTTAAATAACCTGGATTCAAAATTTCGGCCCTGATCTGTATGGATTATCCTAGGGGCTCCGAAGCGGCACACCCACTGTTCAACCAACAACTTGGCCACTGTCTCAGCTTCCTGATTAGGAAGAGGGAATGCCTCCGTCCATTTGGAAAAATAATCCCCAATAACTACAATATATTTGTTTCCTTTGGGGGTTTCGGGGAGAGGACCCAAAATATCCAACGCCACCCGCTCATGTGGCCTCAATGCTACCACCGATTGGAGTGGGGCTCGCCACTGTTTCCCCCGGCTTTTCTAGACCCACAGTCCACACATTCACTGCACCATCGCTTCACATCCCCAAACCAGCCCAGCCAATAGAAACGGTCTTTCACTTTTGCTTGTAGTTTCTGTATTCCCAAGTGTCCACCCGTAACATCATTATGCAACTGTCTTAAGATTTCTGCCACCATCACAGTGGGAATAACCACCTGAACCTGGTTTGCAGCATCCGAATTTGATGGAGGAACCCTCACTAACCGGGAGCCCTGCATTTGTAATTGGGACCATACCTGTGCATACTTTTGTAGATCGTCCGGTGGTTGCAAACCAGTCCTTCCCTCTTTTTTTAAATCAATGATCTTTTTCAACTCTGCATCTTCCCACTGTGCCTGAACCAACTCATCCCCTTCCCACCCGGGAATTAAACTAGTCGGTACATTTTGTACTGCAGCTATTACTGGCCCGCCTCGTATCTGTGGGGCTGTGTCCAGGGGCCCTGGGATTGACAGATAAGCAGGCAGCCTAGAAAGGGCATCAGCATTAGCATGCCCTCGTCCAGGGCGGTGAACAATTTTATATTGGAAGCTTGCCAATTGCTCCACCCACCTGGCTAACTGTCCCTCTAAACCCTGGAAATTATGCAGCCACCTCAAGGAATTATGATCCGTTCTCAAAACAAATTCCTTACCCAACAGGTAATGTTTAAAATGTCTGATGAACGTGACCATACTTAACAACTCCTTCTTGGTGGCGGCATACTTTCTTTCCTGCTTAGTAAGGGCTCTGCTGGCATAAGCTATAACATGTTCACACCCCTCCTCTTCTTGTGACAACACAGCCCCAATACCTGCGTCACTTGCATCCGTATCTAAAATGAAGGTTTTGGAAGGATCAGGATATATAAGAACAGGTGCTGACATTAAACTTAGTTTGAGCTGTTCAAAGGCCGTATGACATGCCTCTGTCCATTTAAACCGCCTACCTTTTTCAGTGAGTTGGTGCAGGGGGCGAGCAATCTCAGCAAACCCCCTCACAAACCTCCGATAGTATGAAGCTAAACCCACAAAGCTCCTGACCTCTGTCTGATTTTTGGGCACCGGCCACTGACGCACAGCCTCCACTTTAGCAGGATCCGCTTTCACCCCCTTTGATGAAATGATATGCCCCAAATACTGCACCTGAGTGGCAAACAAGTTACACTTATTGGGCTTGACTTTAAGGTTAGCCTGTCGTAGTTTTATTAAAACTTCGTCTAGGCGGCCTAAATGCTCCTGAAATGTCCGTCCGAATACAATGATATCGTCCAAGTACACCAGACAGGTAGTCCACTGAAGATCTGCCAGCACCAGATCCATCAGTCGCTGAAATGTACTTGGACTATTGCAAAGACCAAAACTAAGGACATTAAATTCAAACAGACCTTGCCGAGTAATAAAAGCAGTCTTATGTTTATCCCTAGGATCCACCTCCACCTGCCAGTAACCACTGGCTAAATCAAGAGTGGAGAACCAGCAAGCTTTACTCAGACTGTCAAGGGCATCATCGATCCGTGGCAACGGATACGCGTCCTTCCGGGTTACATCGTTTAACTTACGATAATCTACACAAAAACGGAGGCCGCCATCACGCTTGCGTACCAAAACTACTGGAGCTGCCCATGGACTTTGAGAAGGCTGAATTATGTTATTTGCCAACATTTTCTTTACATGGTCAGACACCTCCTGTTGTAAATGGAGGGGAACACGACGGGGTGGCAACTTCACAGGCTTCGCATCCCCTGTATCGATCTGATGCAGTGTCAGGTGAGTTCTCCCCAAATCCCCCTCCCCCTCACTAAACACAGACATATTTCTTCGTAACAGCTCCCGAATATCTACTATGTCAGATGGAGTAAAATTCTTCTGATGCAACCCAAAATGAGCCATAAGCTTGTCAACAGACCAAGGCTCATTTGGGCCATCCTCATCCTCACCCGTCCCCAAATGTTCAGCCCTACAGCCCACCTCAATGTCAGTATGTAAAGTTCCCAGCCTCATACCACCCTTTAATGTAAGAACATCTTTAGTTACATTAATTACTCGTACAGGCAGCCTACACCTCTCCACTCTACAGACCACCCGAGCGATCATTACATCACATTGGTTTGATAATGTGTCTGATGGTTCCAACATACCCTCACAACCGGCCACCAAGGAATTCTCCACCTTTCCGGCAATGATTGCCTCACTACGTGGGGGGATTAAAGTGTCTTCCAAGACGAAGACAGTCTGGGGCTTATCCATATCTGCCGAAACAATCAGGGGAAACATTTTACCCATTATTCGACACTCCTTTTTCCCAAAATCCACAACGGCACCATATTTACTCAAAAAGTCAAAACCCAAAAGAATATCCTGGGAAGGCACATCAGCTACCAAAAACTCCACAATTAATGCCAATGTATCAAACTGGCAGACGGTTTGCCATTTTCCCAAAATCCCCATCAACCCTCCATTAGCTGCAGACACATCACCATGATGTCCAGACAGTTCTGTTCCCCCCTTAGTGATTTCAAGCTAGAGTTGTTTTGGTATGACTGATAATGTTGCCCCACTATCTACCAAAAGAAGGGAGTCTAACGCACCTATTTTGGCTCCAATGTATCCAGAGCCACCCTGGTTGCTTACAAAGGCCACATCTGTACCAATTCGCCGGGGGGCAGGCAGCGGGCCTACAGTGCCTGCCCCCTGTAGTTTCCCTGCAAATATGGGCAATCTCGTTTTATGTGTCTTGTACACCCACACTCCCAACAACCGCCCCCCACCCCTCTGGCTCGATCTACGGACCCTTGTGAACCACTGTTCCTGGGCTCTCGTGCCGGTTCCCTGGAAAATTGAGTGGGGGTAGGGTTTACCATAGACTGTTGAATGTTACTCACTGTCGTACGAAGAGATTTTACTTCCTGCCTTAATTCTTCCACCATTCCTAACATCACTTGCATTTGTTCATCACTTTTGGAGTTATTCTCCACCACTCCCTTACTTTTGCATCAGACATCAGATGGGTTTGCTCCATATTCCTAAGAAGCTCTAATTCAGAAGCCAGATCAATTGCGTCTTCTAAGGTTTTAGGTTTTGCTCTACGCAGGCTGATACGGAAGTCACCAGTTGCAAAATGTGTAAGAAACTGATCTCTTGCCAACATATCACAAGTACAATTATCAGCTGTGGGGTAGGCTTTAGTGGCAAGACGCCTCAAGGCATTTCCGAATTCCCTTGCAGTCTCATTATGCATACGACGGCGGGCTGTAAATGTAGCCCTACTCCAGTCACTACTGTCACAGGGCTCAAAACATCTAGCCATAGCAGCTTTTAGCAACGCGTAATTTCCCTTAGCATCACTGGGCAAACCACTATAAATATCTCTTGCACGCCCAGAGAGTAGAAGAGACATAAATTTAAGTTTTAAGGGTTCATCCCAATTATTTACATCAGCAGCTAGATCAAATTGCTCTGACCAATCAGACCACTCCCTGCCTACACCCGTAAATGTCTCAGGCATAAACACTGGCCGTGCAGTAGCTCTTAAGGGTCCCACATCCCTTGCACGGTCCACCTCTTCGGGGCTAGCATTATCCTCCCCCTGTAACATTCTACAACTAAGTCTAGGTTTTATAGATTCCAAAAAAAAATTAAGCACACTCCCACCGCTGCCACCAGTGTAATGAACCTCGACTAGTGTTGTCAAATTGTCACAGTTAGAGTAATTCACTCTACACAAGTAAGCAGCACCACAGAGCTACAGAAAATAATCTTTATTTTATACAATTCAGGTAGTGACCAAACATTTCAGAGTGGTTCAGGCTCTTGAATTACCAAACACGTATGCAAGTCAGGGGCGAATAACACCACAAGAGATCATGCTCCACAGAAAACACCGTCATCAATAAGCCATGCTATAGTACACACACGTCAATCCCGTAGGACACTGCACACGTTCAAAATACACGTGAACTTCAAACCTAAGACGCCCTCCGACTACTACACAAAGATTTAGTTCATCATAACCCTCCCACCCCGTCATGAAATGATTACACTACCAGCTTTAAAACCAATCACTCACACTCACACTCACACACACACAATAATACTTCTAAAATTCAACACTTAACTCTCCCAGGATGTAAGACCCTCCCCCGGGGTCTAGGCTTTGGCGCTGGTTGGCAAGGGGGAAAAGCAGACGCCAGTCCAGCGCTCAGAAGGTTTCCGAACTATAGCGGGAACGGAGCACCCCTTGCTGAGAAGCCGCGCACTGCCCACGCACTCCTATACCCAGCCTTATCTATCGGTTATCCCGCTAGACTATCTTCACCGCCGGCAGCCCTAATTAGCATGCGAACGGCACCCACCCCCCAACCTTGAGTGCAGTAGGCATTTGCAACAACAGCCCGTTTCTCAGACACGCCGTCACTGTGCTCACCTCTCTCTTTAATCCCTCGGGTGACATTGAAATTTGCAATAATTACTGCTTCCTGGACCTTCCCATTCATCAGTGATCAGGTGAAAACACTCACTAAACTCAACCCACTCCTCCACTCCACCCACGCCACTCATAACAACACATTCATCCACCGTCACTTCATTACAGTATCCTACAGTGTTAGTCACTTCTCATGCGGTGTCGTCGCTGTTCTCCGGGGTTGTCGGACCACAGGCCAGAAGAGACGAGCCAGCTGGCTGACACCTCGAGCTGTGTGTTCGAGGGGGAAATCTGGCAACGCATCTCATGTCAGGGTATATCACTGCTTAAAGGGATACTCCACCGGTTTTCATATTAAACTATGTTATTCCGTTAACTAAGACGAGTTGTCTGTCATATCAGTGCGTGTAACGTTACTCAATCGCTCCGGTGCGCGAGACTAACTAGCCCACTTCATTCAATATGGGCTAAGCAGAGAAGCGACCAAACTATTTAAAAATAGTTACACGAGCAGTGTAAATCGACCTAGGACGGTGACACAAAATAAAACGTTGCGTTTTTCTAAGCGTGTAAAGTGGATAATTATAATGTATGGCGGAATACCACAGCAAGTGCTTGACTCGGCGCAGTAATATCATCACTCGTGAAAAGTCCTCTCCCCCCTCTCACTCTCCGGAATGATATTACTGCGCCAAGTCCATAGATAAATATCATAAATATGTCGACGTGCTCCCAATCACTTGCTGTGGTATTCCGCCATACATTATAATTATCTACTTTACACGCTTAGAAAAGCACAAAAGCACAACGTTTAATTTGTGTCACCGTCCTAGGCCGAGTTACACACGTCGTGTCTGTATTTAAATAGGGAAAACGTAGAGGTGTTTGGTCGCTTCTCTGCTTGGCCCATATTGAATGAACTGGACGAGCGCATTGAGCGCATTTATTTGATTTTTGAGCTGTATATATTTTTATTTATGTATATTGAGCTGTATTTAATTAAAATATATTTCACATATATAGGCCTATATAATTTTTTTTTTTTTTACAGGTTAGTGATGTGATGATGTGTGAATTCTTGTGTTGTTTATGCTATTTGCGGATGTAAAAGTGAACAAAACAATTTTTTTTTTTGAGTTTTAAACACGTTAGACACTTTATCCATTCTTACAACCAGACATCAGTGCTATTCACCTTTCATTTTCCTCAGATTTTAAGGATAATTTATCGGTAGGGACTACATTTTCAGACATGAAGAAAACAAAATATGTTAACTCAGTAACATGTCTTAGCCTACATGACCGTGAGCACAGAGACACTGTGAGCTTAGCTTAAACGTGTAATATGAATAAATCATGCTCATGAACGGCTGTTCCCAATCTCAAGTGAAATGAGTCAAGTGAAGTATTCATTATGTCACGATTTAACAAGCAGATTGGCTTTTTTGTCGAGGGAACCAGGGTGATTGTCCCATACAAATTCCAACGCATTCTCGCCCCAAGGCGTCACCTTTGACCATGCTTCAATATTTGACGTTTTAGGCGCCCTTTAGCGTCACTTATGCCGAGTTCAGATTGCATGATTTTAGCCACGATTTTGGCTCGCCGACAGGTTTTGAGAAATCGCCGACAAATGCCCGAAATCACAGGCAAATCGGCGCTCGTTCACGCGAGTGACAATCACGCAGTGTGAATGAACAAAGACGCGAACTGAGAGAATCACCGACGAGTCGCCGACGCCCGTGAGATATTTGGCATGCTAAATATCTGGACCTGTCGGCGATTCAAAATCCTGCTGTGTGAAAAGTGTTTTGACTGAAAACTACATCGGCGATCACCGGCAGCCAGTGAGAGAGCAAGATACAGAGCAGCAGGGAGTTCGGGGAGGAGTTATAGATCACATATCAACATGATATGGCATTGTTTCAACAAAAAAAGCTTCTTCTCGGTCTATTTGGACACAATAAATGGAAGAAAAATTAGTAGAAATTTGGCAGGAGCACTCGTGTCTGTTTCACCAGCTGTACCACAACCTGGTCGAAAAAAAAAGTCTCACGTGAGAACTCCGGTCTTGCACGTGTGGTGTCGCGCGTTGTTTCCTTTTCATATCTCACGCGTGTTTGTTGTGAAATATAGTTTGCGTGCAGCGTGCTAGACAGAGTCCGTCGGCGATTTTTCTAAAGTCATGCAGTGTGAAACCTTTTGTCGCCGATCCATCGTCCAGTGTGAACACAGCAGCGACTGAATGCTGGCCAAGATAGTCATGCAGTGTGAAAAGAGCAGCGACCTGACTACTTTGAAAATCGTGCAGTCTGAAAGAGCCATTAGAGGACGCGGTTAGGTTTAGGTCTGGGGTGGGGGTAGGGTACACGCGATCCTATTGGCATCATCTAACTTCTAAAGGGTGCCTAAAGCGTCAGATATTCAGCACTTTATTTTTACACAAAGTTTAAGCGTGCAAAATAGCCTAAAAAACTCCAAATGAACATGCGATGCAGTGGTGTTTTCCTGTCGCATACTGTTTCTCATTGCAGTTCCTCAGTTTGTAGTATGTAAGCGTTCCCCTCCACACACAGCCAGGGTCTTATTGCGTATTTTTTGTTCTTTCATTCAAAGACGCAAACATTAAGCGCATTATTTAGAAACTGCAAGACGAGAAAAAGAACTTGAACAGAAATGAGTGTGACATTCGGAGTACTTTGAGCTTTCTTCTCCGTGTGAGCTCTCGTTCTGCAGCCTATTTCCATATAAAGCAGCCTCCTGCCTGAAGAAAGAGAGAGAGAGAGGGAAAAAAACACACCTCCCTCTGAGACACAGAGAGAGAGAGAGAGAGAGAGAGAGAGAGAGAGAGAGAGAGAGAGAGAGAGAGAGAGCAGCCCGACTCCGATAACAACATTCAACTCAATTAAGCTTGAGATTGGGGCCGTTCTCTACCAGAAACGATGAGCGCGCGGATAAAAGTGTAATCACAGGACCGCTGACCCTACAGGTCTTCTACCTGCTCTCTGTGATGATAGCAGAGGGTGTATTTAAGCATGCTTGCTGAAGTCTCTCGTGATTATACGTGCATGAGGATCATTATACCCCCTGCTGGAGTAGGAGGGAGTGTGAGGGACTGATAACACAAGCCCCGTCCCCTTAAACACCCCCGGCCCTCCCTTCTCTTCTGTTCACAGAGTGCGAGTTTATGCTGTTTGCTAGTAATATTTAGAGCTATAGTGATTTGTATGGAAGCTTGTTTCCACCACAGAATTAAAAAAGAAAAAGTAATTGCGACTTTTTAATCTCACAATTAAGACTGATAACTTTATCAGTTTTTATTAAGATAACTCAGAATGATCTGAGCTGAACTACCACTCAAAAGACCCCGTAGTCTAGCCTATATATTTAATAAAAATATATAGGCTAGACTACGAGTAATAACCATTATTAATAATTGAGCAGAATGAGCACCAATAATAATCGATCACCAAATTAGAATGATTTCTGAAGGATCATGTGACTACTTTAGACTTTGGATTATTGACACAAATTTCACAATTCGATTCGAACATTAAAAATTATAATGAATATGGTGCATATATTTAGCAAAATTCTCCTCTTAATAGAGTTTCTAGCTGACTAACCGACTAAGATCATGGTCACATTGTTTTTCTGAGGTAAATGTGACGTTACAACATGACATTGCGAGCTGTTTAACTGAAGTCTTTCCACGGATGAAACACTGATTGAGCGAGACCATGGTAAAGGGTTAGTTCACTTTGAAATTAATATTTGATATGTTTTAGCTTACCTCAAGGGCATCCAAGATGTAGGTGTCTTTGTTTCCGCAGTATTTTCAATTTTGACATTTTTCAGTCAAACCGTTGTTGTCTATCAATCATACACTGGAGGCTAAGGGGGTCCACCTCAAAGAGCATGCACAGAGAAGTCCAAATTAAACATGATTCAATGACTCGTAAATGTAAGTACACATTGATGGCCTAAAACACGAAACGAGCGGTTTGTGTGAGAAAAAAAACAGTATTTATATCGTTTTTACCTCTTGTAATCATAGCCATGACAAAATGATCTGACGGCACGGGCGCTTTTTTGGAAGTTTTACCTTTCACTAAACATATTTAGATATACGGGAAACCGCAATGGAAGACGATTTCGGTATATCTAAATATGTTTAGTAAAAGGTAAAACTTCCGAAATCTCAGTGTAAATATTGAGTGACGTCACACGCAAGCGATCACTTCCAGCGTAACATTGAACTGATTCAGTTCGGTTCAGTTGGACATTGCACAACTCATTCAGATCACTTGGACGTCACTGTGATTACACGAGGTAAAAACGATATAAATACTGTTCGTTTTCTCACAAAAACCGCTCGTTTCGTGTCTTAGGCCATCAATGTGTACTTATATTTACGAGTCATTAAATCATGTTTAATTTTGACTATTTGGTATTTATGTTTTTTGAATTTCGTAAGAAAATGGACGTAATTCGAAATTCAAGACTTTATTTTTATAACAATAGTCACAAATCGAAAAGATTATCGCGCTTTATTGGATGGGATGCTCGCTACAATGTTCCATTCATTCATCAAATGAAAACAGGACGACTAATCGATTCTTGAGATTTAAGAATCGATATCGGTTCGTAAAAATGAGATAGAGACATTTTTACCCAGCCCAACTGAAGACTGGAGTAATGATGCTGAAAATTCAGCTTTGATCACAGGAATAAGTTACATTGTACAATATATTCAGGTAGAAAACGTTTATTTTAAATTGCAATAATCGTTCACAGTACACTTGTTTTACTGTATTTTTGATTTCAAATAAATGCAGCTTTGGTGAGCATACGGTAATAAACTTCTTTTAAAAAACATTGTCGTCAAAGCAGTGTCGTCTGCTACCTTAAACATTTTGAAATATTTAGCCTACTATAAAACGCCATGACTTCACAGCAATTAAATGAAATGTGTGTGTAATGCTAAATGCTAAAAGAACAACATCTGAGCCATCAAATGTTCCTCAGGGTGTGTTTGAGAGAGGCAGAAGTTCTTCAACATTAAGAAGACTATAATGGAGAAGCAGAAGTTGTGGGAGAGTCGTGGGCATGAGGCCAACCAGACCTCAGCAGGAGGAACAGCTTGGCTTAATGACTAATTTAGACATCTTAACGACAATTAACTCCCCAATTAACACATCTCACAATATGGTGTTTACCTTCCAAAGTCTTCAAAGCAGTTTTCTATAAGTCCACCGAGAACAAACTATCACATATTCTCCCACTCATAATCATTAACATATGCTTTCAGAGAGCTGGAATTGAGTTCACTGCAGTAAAAGTCCTGTCGCACATATAGGCTGCATCAGAAATCGCTTACTTTCCTACTATATAGTGGGCAAAAAACAGTATGTGACAAAAGTAGTATGTCAGAGTTCACAGTACTCGACCTAATACTTCCAGCGGGATTCTGAAGTGTGCATAAGATGGACACTTTACTAGCTAAAGAGTTCTACTGGTGCAATTTACCAAATCCATTCTTTGATTGGTGGAGATTTCTTCGCAGAATTATGGGTAATGTAGTTTTTCACCAGTTAAACAATTATAAAAAAAATAAATAAGTTGAAATAATGCTACACTGTAAAAAATATTTTCAAGATTTGTTATCACAACATATTTTCTTTTGTCAAATCAACTTTATAATAATTTATTTAGTTGAGATAACTTATTATTTTGAGTTTCTAATGGTTAAATTAATCTACTTCATTGTATTATTAACTCACTTTTTTCAGTTCAATCAACTTAAAATTTTAAGGCAACCCAGGTTACTTACTTTTTTAAGTTAAACCATCAATATTTTTTTACAGTGTAGTAATCACAACATTTTTTCTTTTGTCAAATCAACTTAAATAATTTATTAAGTTCAGGTAACATATAATTTTGAGTTTCTGATGGTTAAATTAATCTCCTTCATTGTATTAACTCACTTTTTCCAGTTCAATGAACTTAAAATTTTAAGGCAACCAGGTTACTTACTTTTTTAAGTTAAACCATCAATATTTTTTACAGTGTAATGGATGGCTTCAACTAAAGCATATACCATAAATTAATGACCTTGTAGCTCACAGTAAGGATTATAAAATTTGACGATTACATAAAAATATAAACAGCCTTTTGTTCTCTGGAGTCATGTGCACAGATGAATCGTAAGACCAGGAAGTAAATCATGGGTTAAATTTTGACTTTAAAACGCACTAACATCCGTAAACTCCACGAGACAAACACACACGCGTGGCGAGAGAGCTGCCACAGTGATTTATCTGATTCAATTAGCTTGCAAATGTAAAACAAGTCAGTTCAATAAAGAGCTAAAACCTCTCTTTCTTCCGTTCGCTCTCCTCTTCGACGTCTCTCGCTCGACCTCCCTCTCTTTGCTGAATAATGAGAGTGTGTAAATGCTTAATTAGATTAAAAGGGTGTGTATAACGATATCAAGATGTTGTGTGTGTGAGTGTGTGTACGATCTCTCTACAAATCTCTCTACATTAGCGTTGTGTTATTGTGGGCAGGGCTGAGAATTTATGATGCACAAAAACCCTGAAACATCAAACCCATTAAAGAATCCTGATTTATTCTCTGTGAGCAATGAGGAAATATATCACCCATAAAGAGGCGTGTGTGTGTGTGTGTGTGTGTCAGGAACTCCTGGGAAGCATGTGTTTAATAGGAGAGGCTTAGCCAAGGTCTTTTTGAAAGTGTGTGACCTGAAAAACAAGTTACAATACAGAAGGAAAGCGTAAGTTATGATGCAGAAGAAAAAATATTAAAATTGCATGCAAGGAAGACTGACCCAATTTTCCGTTAAAATTAATATTACCTTGTACTTTTAATTTATTTTACTATGCCGCAAAATTGTACAATGAGATTGTATAAACAATTTGCCAATTGTACAGTTTTGCTATTGCAAAAAGCATATTAAAAACAGACGATAGATTTAGAAAGATATTTATATAATACGGTTTTCAAATAAATTGTTCTAATTAAGAGACTATTGGATTCTAAATGGCAAATATTACTTTCATTTTTATTCAGATCTTAAATAGTTCACTGTAATCAGTTATTTTTTGTTAATTATATTATTGTATTTTGTGCTAAAATGTAATAACTTCATTATGTAGAACTTAATTTGAAACACTTTTCACTCAGAATTATTAATAAAGTAATTGCAAAGAAATGGAAAGTAACTCATTAAATTAAATGTGACATATAGAAAGACTGAAATAGTATTTTCTTGTAAAACACACTCCAATAATCTTTGTTTTATGTACAAATTCGAAAAATATTTGTTTTAGTGTCACAAATCAGATATATCTATCCATAAACAAGTAATACGTAATTTATGTAATTCATCAAATTTAGGTGAATTGAAATTTTCAGGTAAGCTAATGTTTTTGCTTTATGTAATGCAAATGTGTCAAACCAAAAAAGCACGCTAAATTAAAAGCCAGATCTCCTGTTATCCATCATGCAGTGAGCAGACTCACATGCCATTAATGAATGAATCATCTAATTAGCGTGTAAATCAGAAAATACACTGAATGTTTTATTTGAGCATCTTTGGTTTTAAGAGATCAGCCATTCAGAAGGAATATAATATCAGAGCTCACGCTGCTCCTTTGGCGTATCTGTGTGTGTGTGTGTTACAGAGCGGTTCGTTTTAATAAGACGGACAGGAGAGAGTCGTCTTTTCTCTTTAGCGAGTAGAGTAGACCTCTGAAAACCTCAAGAAAGGCTTTATTACGAAACTAAACCTCCATAATAAGTGTCAAATATAGCGTGAGGGGTCACTGACCTTTGACCTGAGTTAGGCACTGCTGTGGGCAGGGGGTTTTCTCAAAGACTTGCGTGAAGATAAAGATCTTGTGCTGGACACCAAAGGATCATGGAGCGTCACATTGAAGGTGCCTTTCAGAACGGTGTCCATGATGACTGGACTCAACTACAACACACACACACACAATAGTGAATTGGTGTACTTGTGTTATGTATTTAAAAAACAAAATACTATATTATACAGTATATATACCAAGCAGCAACCTCCCTGTCTCTCTCTTGAAACTAACACGGAAGTGAATTAAACTGCAATTCATCGACTGACCACTAGAGGCAGGCTGCAGAAGAGAGTCAAATCTTTGGCTGCGTCCGAAATCGCGTACTATGTGAGTAGCAGTGTTGGGAGTAACGCATTACAAAAGTAATACATTACTGTAAAATATTACTTTTTGCTGTAACGCAGTAGTGTAAGGCATTACTAATCAATTTTCAGTAATATTTTACTTGTTACATGTTCAGTGAGGCTTGTATTACAGTTGTATTACAGTGTATTGTCTGCTTTTACTTCTTAAAGGCAACAGACTGTGTGAAAGTTTTAAAGCAGTCTTTTAGTGCCAGTTCAGAGCGGTCGCGTCTGTAACATTATTTTTTCCTCATAAATGCGAACACGAAACTAAAATAAAATGAATATTTTAAGTTCTATGGAGACTGGAGAGCCAACCCTTCCTCATCCGATTTGCGCAGTGTAATTAACAGAATTACAAAAAATATATTTTGCCTCCTATTTTTTTTTGTCACGTATGAATGTGTGTCTTTTCCCTAATATTAAAAATAAAACATAGACTGATATTTGTCTAATGTCTGGGGTCCTTTAAGGAAGAAGCCTATATACGTTTCAATACATGAATTTTCTGAGAATTTTTATTTCAAGTTTTGACTGCAAATGTCATGTCCATAATGCTGGACTTCCCCAATTTTAAATAATTTATCCTCAACTAGTTTTGTGGTGTAGGTCTACGTATTTTATAATGTTAACTTCAAATACTACTAATAGCCTAATTTAAAGATAAGGCAGCATTGGATCTGGACGGTGAGGAGAATAACGCTGGGAGTTGGAAGATTTCGGTTTCATATTGCATATCGTTACAGCCCAAAAGTTAAGTTCTACTTAGTTATTTTGGTGAAAGTAACTCAAAAGTAATACATGAGTAATGTAACGCATTACAATTCTGAGACAGTAATATTGTAAGGTAATAAATTACTTTTAAATAACAGTAACAAGTAATACCTAATGTATTACAGTTTGGAAGTAACTTGCACAACACTGGGGAGTAGGTACTATATTTAAATAAGAACGTACTTCGCGACCGTTAAAAAAGTACGTTCTATATAGTATTAATACGGGTAGTATGAATGAGTCCGGTGTGGTGAAGAGATGAGTCCCCCTGAAGAGATGGGTCCCACCTTAGGACCCAAGCGATCCGATTGGTTCAAAGCTAGTTTTATGGGTAATCGCTTTAGTGCCTGGTTACAAATTAGAGAAAATCACTTTATTATAAGAGACGTTTGAAGTACGTTATAACGAGTCATTAATGTATTTTAACTTATATGTTTCATATACTAGTATATAACCGAAGCTGTAGATTGTAAATTTAAACATTTCTCGTTCTTAGTGTTTTTAGTCAGCTTACATAGTAGATAAAAGATAGATAGTAAATAAACCACATATTTGAGCTACATTCTCGACTTAAAAACTCTTAAAATTACATTTCATGACACAATAACAGTAATATTTTTACATTTCGCGGACTTTCTCCTCTGCTGTTGACGCAACCTACTATGAAAAGCGCTAAACAAAACAAACATATTACTTGATGGCAACAAACTGTTTTTATCAAGTTATAGCGAGAACATATTTATATCAGGCATACTCCTAGTATACTATGGGGTCCTATGGTGGGACTCCTCTCTTCACCACACCGGACGTACCACATGCACCATGTTGTTGTCGCGTGACATACGCTGTCACAACAGTGCGAAGATTTAAAGAGCCCATTCCAGTGACTGCACCAACGTCGCGCAGTTTTTAGTTCTGCTTTCTGTTTTCATCTGCGTTTTTACGTCGTCCGAGCCGACAATCAAGAGGAGGCGTCGGTCAGCTGCTCGCAGATCACACATTTTGCGTAATTTCTCAAATAACATTTATTTACCTAATACATTTTACCTCATAAAACACACACACAACCCCTATGAACAATGACAGATGGCAAGGAAAAAGCCATTTATTTGCTTGTGATATTACCATTGATAAATAAACATGAATGAATCAATAGACCCCTTTTGCGCTGACGTCACAGTTACGTCACGGCGCTAGCTGGAGGCAAAACAAAGTGAAAACTGGAGGCGGCCAATACAAACCAGCACAGATTCGGCTACATAATAAGGAGCTTAAATAATTGTTACTATTATTAAATGTCATCTTGTTGTGTTGTTTGGTGCAAGAATTGATGAAAAATGAAAAGCTTTTATTTCTAGAAAATATTCACATCATTAAAATCGCACTGTAATGTCACTCTTTACATTGTCGTGGTCTCGGCGCTGGCTCGGCAGAACTGCGGATCGTACACACAATTCTTGTACAGGACCATATAGGCATCTAAAGATTTATATGCCCTCAGTTTCTCTTTACGATCGGTTTCTCTATAAGGTAGGTGTAGAAGTCAGGCCACTCAACCGAGGTAACGTAACGTTAATCCTGTCAGATCATCCATCATTGAGTGAGCGTGTAGGCGGCTACGGGTCGGCCAATCTGGTTCCGTCCGTTAAAAATAACTTGGAAATAACAATCGCGGTCCTGGACACTGAGTGACCTTACACATTAAGATAATATCGGATTTTCTCCAGTCATTGTTAAAAAACAAGCTAACAATCCTTGCAAACTAGCGTTAGTGAAGCGGCCAGAGGGATCTTTCTGCCTCCACCTAAGCTCCGCCCACATAAAAACGTCACCGTGTTTACCAACTGTAAAGGGGTCTATAGAGATATGCATGTGTGTCTGTGTTTATCTCCTAACGTTACAGCCACGTCTCCGGTTTCCACCATTTTCAAATATAACGACAACTCCTCTCCCGTGGCATCGTGGGATAGTAAAGTGTCCATCGTATGCGCACTTCAGAATCTCGCCGGAAGTAGTAGGACATCCGGGTACTTTTCGCCCACTGTTTTTCCAATTCTATGATTTCGGACATACAACTCTGCTCGGTTTGAACTCAAGATGATCGTCTTGACCATGTTGGGGTTGCTGCCATGTGATTGGCTGGGTTAGATATTTGTGCTGGGTTATAAATATATTCAGGTTATATATATATACTGTCTGTGTTTGTATATATAAACACACATATCCATGCATATAGTCACAGGTACATACCTCATATGCTGTGGGTCCAGGTGTCATGTCTTTAGGGCTTTTAAAGCGGTCTTCTTTTGAGACCATCAGCGCAAGTTGAGGGTCAGACTTAACATCTGGACTGTAATGAGCAGGACCTACAAAAATAACAAGTAGTTTAGCTGGAATACTTGAACATAACTCCCTAAAAACACTGTTTACATGGAGCAAATTCCACCATTATGTTGATAAAGCAAGTTCCTAGGCCTACACTATTAGTCCCCAAATTAAGGATGCTTTAAACTACTTTTAAATAAATGCAACAACAAAACACAAGCTCTGCATTTCTGCTTTTAAACAAATTTCTAAAAAAGTACAACCTGCCTCTAAAAAGTCTGCAACTTTCATATTAGAATACGTTACACTTTTGACACATTTGTATACTATTTGTTTTGTTACTGCGATGAGACGACTCAACACCTGTGAAGAGACGACTCAACGCCGGCGATATGTTATACCCTTAATATTACATGATTAACTAAATGCATTTTTCCATGTACTTTTCTGTAATGCACTTTCTATAAAGCTGCTTTGAAACAATATGTATTGTGAAAAGCGCTATACAAATAAACTTGAATTGAATTGTTCTGATTTTATTTATAAATAAAATCAGAACAATTCAATTCAAGTTTATTTGAATATATATATATATATATATATACAAATAAACCTGAATATACAAGTATATACAGTATATATATATATATATATATATATATATTCAAATATATATTTACAGTATATATTCAAAATTGAATATATAAAAAATTAAATTCAAATAAATTCAAATTTAATATATATATATATATATATATATATATATATAGTAATTAATACAAAGCATTAGGCCTACTAATATTTAACTTTATTGTTGTCACTTTATTATAATTTTGTACAATGAAAATTTGCAAAAGCTTTTGCACATTTCCAAAAGTAGTTTTGTTATGCCAATAAAGCTCATTAGAACTGAAACTGAAAGACAGAACTAGATCGACAGAGTTTAATAATGTAATACTTCATATCCATTAATAATTAAGAGACTTCTTAATTACTAATGTCTCTCCTACTCTTGAATGTTTAGCCACATAGCATAGCACTTCCCATATAAACTGCCTTGTTTATTTGTACAAACTGAAGGAGCAATGGACAGATAATCGACAGCAGGCCTCAAATGCTGTTCACAGAGATCAAGTAAGCGTTAGTCACCTGGTGTATCAGGGTCGTATTGTAGGAAGGCAGGGTCTCTGGGGGCGGCAGACAGAAAACAGCTCTGTCGCTTGCGTGCTTTCTCACTCCGTGGCTTGCTGTAGTGATGGAGACCGTGGGTCTTCTCGAAAGATTCGCTCACGTTATATGAGCCTGGCGGAGGAGTCTCCTGTCAAGAGCAATCTAATATCTAACCACAGCATTATAAACATCATCTGCAAAATGGATTTACAGCAGGTACAAATGAGCCAGGGGGTCGGATATGTGTGTGTGTGTGAGCTGTAGGAGCATTATTGCAAAGTACTGCGGGTTTTTACAAAATGAATTATAAGTCAAAATCATTTTAGTTGTGTTGCATGCTACAGATGCTGTACATAGCAATAAAGCTATATTGAATCATTCTAATTATTTAGACATATTGTATAACACTTGCATATTGTAATACTAACCAGCTACACTGTAAAAAATAGTTTCAAGATTTGTTATCACAACATATTTTCTTTTGTCAAATCAACTTTATAATAATTTATTTAGTTGAGATAACTTATTATTTTGAGTTTCTGATGGTTAAATTAATCTACTTCATTGTATTAACTCACTTTTTCCAGTTCAATCAACTTAAAATTTTAAGGCAACCCAGTTTACTTACTTTTTAAGTTAAACCAACAATTTTTTTTACAGTGTAGTAATCACAACATTTTTTCTTTTGTCAAATCAACTTAAGTAATTTATTTAGTTCAGATAACATATAATTTTGAGTTTCTGATGGTTAAATTAATCTCCTTCATTGTATTAACTTTTAATTCAATTTTAAAATTTTAAGGCAACCAGGTTACTTACTTTTTTAAGTTAAATCATCAATATTTTTTTACAGTGTAATTGTACATCTGTAAACTGGACAGATGCAGAGAGAGAAAAAGAGTCAGAGTGAGATACATCTAGATGATAAATCTCACCAAACCTGTCAGGAACAAACTATTTTTGTGAAGATGATGTTTTGTATTGTCACATTATTGGCGAGACAATTAAACACAAAATTGAAAATTTCCATTCATCTCTAGTGAAAAAAACCTATACCAAAATGTATTTAAACTACATTTATTTCATACAAAGTATACTACAAATCCTGTAACGTATTGATTGAGACTTACTGATATAAATATTATATCTAAACTTTATTTGGAGTACTTTATTGCATAATACACTTTTCTTAATATTAATTTGTTTTAATAGGATTGTTTTAATTTTTTAAGGATAGTATCATCAGATAACACCAGCAAGATATTTAAATTTTACTTGCAATAATTCCATTTTAGCACAATCAGATGTACTTAAGTATATCTTTAATAGCACTATTTCTGGATAACTAAAGTACATTAAGTACAAATTAGTTAAGTATATCAATTTAGTAAACTAAAAGTACAATTTCAGGGGTTTTATATTAAGTACTTAAATAAATGTATTAGTAGTGTACCTACCATAAAATAGATGTATTTAGAATATATTTTGGTACATTTATTTTTCACTAGGACTGTCATGCAGAAAAAAAGATACATTATTTACATTCTACATTTGAATTCAATACAGTGAAAAAACAAAGTCTATTACCCTGTTGCTTTCATTTAGCTCATTCCTTCAACTATTATAACGCAAATTGTTATAAATAAAACGAAACAACAGTTAAACAAAAAAATTAAACAGATGCATCATGGTAATTTAGTGAAAATGTCATGAAAATAATGCCTTAATGCAAAACATCATAATGGTGCTAAAATTAAGCTTCATTTTATCATTCATTTCATAAAGTGCCCTATTTTAACAATTTAAAAGTGTGGTCTAAAGCGCACTTAGAGCGTGTCCGGATCCACTTTAGCTAGTTTAACGTCAGGACAAATGGTCGGCGCACCCGGAGCACGGTCTAAAAGGGTTGTCTCTATTCTCTAAAGTAATGGTGCGTTTTTGACGTACCCACCATCTCCCATTCAAAAGCCAGTTGGACTCATGCTATGGCGAATTCGCTATTTACATGACGGGATTTGCAAACGGAAAGATTGAACATTTCTCCAGAGTTGCATCAAAATAGCAACACGTCAACAATGCGCCAGAACACACCTCGTTTTCAGACTAGCAGCCCATGGACGGACAAATGGGTGCAAATGCATCTGCTATTTAAACAACGTGGCGCAGACATGAAAATGATAACAGCGTCGGGCTGAAACTAGCAAAACACACTTGCGTCGCGTTTGGTGCTGCATTGCACCGGGTGTATGATAAGGCCCAAAATGTTTTCTTTCTTTCTTTTGATTTTGGGTTGAAACGTGATTTGGTGAGACTCCTGCAGACGGCTGTGTGTATTGTGAGGAGAAGTGTGTCTAATGAAGGAGCAGGGCAGACATGCTGAGCTCGTCATAATATATTTGCAGCATCTGCATCAGAGCGTCTGACTCAAACACTCTCTAAACATACGGACACTTTTGCAGTCTCATATCTTGCGAAGTATAATTACTGATTTTAGATATGAACAGGATTTAATCGAAACTCTCCATGGAGCGAAACTAATATCAGGGCTTTCCCATTGAATTCAAGCTTATACAGTACACACACACACACAAAAATCTAAACTTCCAGAACAGGCTGTGTTTGACTCTGAATAATAAGCTGACACATCAATCCCTGTCATTACACATCGTGGAGCTGAAAACACCCTGAGACTTTGCTCTTTCACAGCTCAAAACAAGCTTCATTTAAACCTAGTGTAGGTAATTTAAGAGAGGCTAGCAATAGCAAGCTAGTTTTGAAAGCATGAGATCCCACCCTCCCTTCAGAGCGTCTCCAAAACACATGAACGCACGCAAACAGCAGAGTCTGCAAAGTGTAACGAGAGATGGGGGTGAACTACCTCATGCCTCAAAGCTCCCTCAGGTGCTCTTCGGTCATTTCTGACTGAAAAATTTTCTGTTTTGAATCTCTAAAAATCACATCTTCATCGGAATGTTACGAAACTTGGTGACTTTTATGGCATTATGTATGTGAATACAAAAAAAAAAATTGAGGTCATGATCCGAGCATGCTAAGTGGTCGTAAAAAAAATAGTCACACTTGTGGTCTTCGGTCAAAAATGACCGACCCATAGGAAATGAATGGGAAATTGACAAAAAAAAAAAAAAAAAATTCTCTGAATTTTTGTAAGTGCAATCTACAAATCGGCCACAATTCTAAAAAAAAGTACACCGCAAGAAAGGGGTGACTGTCTACAACATCTAGAGTGCAAAACAGACAAACCCACACACGCACAAACACATACAAACACACTTTTATACACATACACACCAATAAATTTTGATTTCAAAAAATATGTTTTGAATTTTTAAAAATCACAGCTTCATCGGAATGTTACTAAACTTGGTGACTTTTATGGCATTATGTATGTGAACACACAAAAAAATTGAGGTCATGATCTGAGAATGCTGAGTGGTCTTAAAAAAAATAGTCACACTTGTGGTCTTTGGTCAAAAATAACCCCCATAGAAAATTAATGGGAAATTGACAAAAACTCAAAAATTCACAATTTTTTCTTTATTTATTTATTTTTTTACATTTTTTTTAATAAAAAAATCGTTTTTGAGATTGTTTCAACTATATATTCAAATCCACCAACAAAAAAAAAATGTGTTCATAAACATCTGCGGAATACACATGCTTCTCCATAGAGAGCTGTACATGCCATCTAGTGGTTACACCATGATTCTACGCTTTTTCTCTATACTGTAACCAGATGGTGCTAATTTTCTTCAAATTTTTTTTTTTTCTGAAGGCCTAGACTCTATATTAAACTAAAATACTGCATTAATAATTTTTTGAAAAAAATAATATATATATAGAAAAAATATATATATATTTTCCATGGCAAAAATAGACCATAAATATTGCATAAATATTAATAAATTCAATCAAATTGTCTCAAAATACTAAATTACAAAGAATAAATATTATAGAACAAAAATAAATTGCATTGGTTTTACTGCGATGGAGGAAATTTAATTAGGTGTCCGGTCACTTTTAACCGGGAAAAAAAAAAAAAAAAAAAAAAACTTTTAACCGGGAAGATAACAAGTGTGACTCCGAAACGAAGAGCACCTGAGGGTTAATTAAAGACCAAACGTTTGTTTCGGTCATGCTCATTTTCCAATCTAGCTAGTTTTCAGTCAGCAGGTGAAACGGTGAGGTTGAGTGATGTCATTCTATGGAGGCGTGTTAAGAGCGGGTTTTAGGGGCTAAATTTTGGACTCAGTGCTTGAGGTCTGAGAGCTATTGTCTGGCACTCTGTTAGCCCTGGCTCGCCAGACAGTGGGAAAGCGGCTAATGAGATCTCTTCTTTGTTAGGAGAGATTCATGTGAAAATTACTGGGGTTTTATTCTTAGGAGAAACATCTGAGAAGCATAAGACTTGGTGAAAGTCCTATTAAAATAGTTGTAAAATCCAGGAAAAACACTTCAGATATTAAAGATATCTCACTTGGGATTTTTCTTCCCAGTGGCAGTCTAAAGATTAAAATTGAGTGTTGTGTTTGTCTTACTTTGGCGAACAGTGAACCCACAAGTCTTTCAGTGGCAGATTTAAAAGCAGCTGTACTCTGTTTCTTATATAATGCTTCATTTGTCTTCTCCACCTGCAGCAAACACAATAGAAAGACAATTTCTTTCAGTCAAACATTGATGTAATACTGTAATGACATATTCATATTAATGAAATTCAAATAAAATTTGAGCCTGTTCTTCTTATAATTAGACTATAGTACACAAGAACACACTAGGATTTCATATGTTTATAATTCCTGCATGAAAGCTGCTGATCACGATCAACTTATATTGTATATATGTATATATATATATATATATATATATATAAAACAAGTTTGAAATTCTCCAAAAATCCACAGAAGAAAATTAATTAAATTAGTTTATAGCAGCAAGAAGCTGAATAAATGCTGACAGATCTTTCGCTTTTGAGTGAACTATTTCTTTTAATTATGTGCTGGTGTATTTTAGCAGCTCTGAGGTGCCTGTGTGATCTCTGTTGACAGAATAAAAATTCCTCTCTGGTTCAACTTATAATGAAAAATCATAATCTCCACTATCGTGACGCTAGAGACCAGATACACCAGGTCCTCAACTCAGACTGCAGGTTACGTTCAGAATGAAATACTACCTTTTTACACAATACATTACGCACTGTAGGCATTCTATTTTTTAATAAAATGTCATTAATTGAAACAAAACCGAAGTGGTTATTTGTAAAAATGCCTTTTGACGTCGTAGCCCTCAAACCATATTTATTCACTTTATAGCCCTTAATCCTTTAATTGTGGACAAATGTGTGCACAGAGGACTCAGGCGTGATCCTAATTTTTATTTATTATAAATGTTAAATCACTGTCTTCGATAAAGTTTTGTCTATCCATTTATGGTGTGTTTTTTTTTAATTTTGGGGGTATTTTTTAATTTATTTACTTCAAAAAGTACCATATTTTCTATGCAAATTATGCTTATTTTTATGTTTATTTTTAAAATTATTAACTACATTAAAATATAATTTCAATAAGTTCTTAGAGCTAAAACCTAAAGATGAAGTGACTTTGCGGTCACCTGGTGTCTTATTCTGGCTTATTTTGTAATGCTCTAAATGACAGTTTTTCCCATTCATTTCTATGGGTGCCCATTTTTGACCCAAATACAACATTAAGGAGTTTTTTTTCACTCACTTAACATTGTAGAAATAATTTGTGTGCGTTCAGGAGGCAAACTTAGGAAAAGTAGCCAAGTCTTGTACCACTCAGATCAAGGGAAGTATTTTTTAAAAATAAATCAAAACTATTTTGCCCACATTTGTCCAGAATACAGTTTTAGGGATATCCAATGAATCAAGGAGGAGATTTGTGGTTGCTATTACATTTATCAATTGTAATCAAGTGCATTGCATTGTGGGATAAAGTATCCCCCAAAGTGTGCCTATTGCACATTTTAGCGTCTGTGTGTGCATACTGTACTTAATGTACATTACTGTACAAGATTATTTTTAAAGAAATTAATACTTTTATTATGCATGGATGCATCAAATTGAACAAAAGTGACAGAAAATACATTTAATTATAATCTTAAAAAAAATCTTTTGAACCTTTTTATTCATCAAAGAAAATGTGTCATGGTTTCCGCAAAAATATGAAGCAGCACAACTATAATAATCAGAAATGTTTCTTGAGCAGCAAATCAACATATTAGAATGATTTCTGAAGGATCATGTGACACTGAAGACTGGAGTAATGATGCTGAAAATTCAGCTTTGATCACAGGAATAAATTACCATTCATTTTAAACTATATTCAAGGAGAAAATAGTTCTTTTAAACTGTAATAATGCAATTATATCCAAGTTTCCTGTGAAATACTTCACAGGGAGGGAGGGATTTGCCGGCCACAATACATAATGTTAAATTTGAATCTTACAAATATGTACCATGATAACCACAGTATAAGTGCATCCATTTTATTATCCACCAGGGAAAAGTCTCATCCCTTAGAAAAGTAAAAGCACACTTCTCAAAAAGCCAACAAGCAAATCAAGGTTGCATTCACGTCCGTGGCATGAATGATTGATTCTTCATTCAAATCCCTCACCCTGAGAATACGCAACAGTAATTAACAGTGATGTTTGCTATGGAATACAGAAACTGCGGTATTTTGGCAGAAACTACGGTTTTCACGGTACAATTTGAAAGGATAGGCTCTAGGTAAACTCCAGGCAAAACTGACATTTAGTGAACGCTGAGAAATATTTAGTTCAAGGGGATTTATGAAAGATTTATTCGATTCGTTGGGTGAAGCCCCCTGAAAAGTCTGAATAAGCTCCCAAGGGCTCTGGCGGATTAGTCTACAATAGACAATAGACAATGAGAGCACACTTTCTGGCCTGAAGAACGGCTCACCTTGTACTGAGCCGGCCCCGGGGTGCTCATTTCCTCTTTGCTGGGGAGAAAAGGGCGGCGTGGTGCAACAGAGCCAAAGGCGCCCTTCCTTCTGCTCCTCAGACAGGCTTTCTTCAAACTCTCCTGAGCCAGGCCATAATCAAACACGTTATAGGCACCGGGACCTAGAAAAGCACACAGCACATCCTGATTTTACCGAGTGAGACGAACATATATTGTTGATCCTGGTCTGAAAATTTAGTCCTAACCCTAAACCGGTGAATAACACTGGCGTAGAAGCACCTAATCCTGGCTGTGAGCCTAAACTTGACATAAACTAAACTTGTCCCTCAATTCTGATTGGTTGATTGGAATGTTGCTCAAGGATCAGCAAAGATGTCGATCCAGGAACATCCGCAAATACATGCATGAGTAAGACATTTAGTTACTATTGGACTACTGGGGTTGGTAAGATTTTTTTTTACTGTTTTTGAAGTCTCTTCTGCTCAGCATGGCTGCATCTACTTGATCAAAAATACAGTAAAAACTGTAAAATTGTGAAATATTATTATAATTTAAAATAACTGTTTTCTATTTGAATATATTGTAAAATGTAATTTATACCTGTGATCATCATTACTGCCTCCTTATTGTCTTACTTGTTTCCCGCCACTTCTTTGTCTCCTAGGTTACTCATTGCATTCTAGTTTGTTTCTATGGTTACTCATACTGTAAATTCCCTAATTTGTATCACCTGTGTTAATCCAATCATCTTTGTTTTATATATATATATAGTATATCTACTCAAGGGACAAATCTATAGAAATGAAACTTGGGTATCTTTTAGAGTATTCAATGTTCTGCTTGTTAAGCTATTATCACTAAAGGTGTCACTTTTGTTGCCAGCTATTTTGACAATTGGATGTTATTTTCAGAGAACAGTTAATATATACTCTTAATACAAGCAGCACATTGAACATATCCAAGTTTCATTTCTATGGATTTGTCCTTTGAGTAGATATACTAAAATGTTTGCTGAAATGTGAGGGGTGTACTCACTTTTGTGAGATACTGTATATATTTGTATATATATGCCTGTGTTTTTGTTGTCATTGGTCGGTTCTCGTTATTGCTTATGTTCAGTTTAAAACTGTCACCGTCCCACAGGTGGGACACTTGCCATTATATTTTTAAAACAATAATATCTTAGAAAATACCTTAAGTAATATTGACAAACTATATATCCTTTGAAAGCTTACAATCTCTAGTTTCCATATTCGGTGACTGATTTTCAAAATAATTTACACAGGAGCCGTAATTTATCAGTTTGCGACAAGAATATTTTCATACTCATAAAGCGTGTTCAGACCTTTATTTTGAAATAGCGATGAACATGAAAAATCATGAAAAAAGTTAGAAACCTCAGTTTGATTTCATGCCAAGAGTTCAAAAGATAGCATCCATTCAATTATTTTACAAAAAAAGGTCTGAAAATGTTTTAAATATTACGAAAAAAAAAAAAAAAAAATTCACCATTTGTGTTATGGCAATAAGCTATAACGCGCATGCGTGTTCCTTGTATGGGTTTCTTAGAGGTTGAATTCATATCAAAATCTGCCAAACTTCCCATTCTACTTCTGAATAGGATTTCTACGGAGGCGTATTGCATTCACTTGAAGAAAAAAAAAAATCTACTCTGTTTTTCTGAATTAACGAGTTAATTTTTCATGAGAAAATTTTTTTGCTGTTTTTCTGAATTAATGAGTTAATTTTTCATGAGAAAAAAAAAAATTTTCTCTGTTTTTCTGAATTAATGAGTTAATTTTTCATGAGAAATTTTTTTTTTGCTCTGTTATTCTGAATTAACGAGTTAATTTTTCATGAGAAATTTTTTTTGCTCTGTTTTTCTGAATTAATGAGTTAATTTTTCATGAGAAAAAAAGTTTTTCTCTGTTTTTCTGAATTAATGAGTTAATTTTTCATGGAATTTTTTTTTTGCTCTGTTTTTCTGAATTAACGAGTTAATTCAGAAAAAACAGAGCAAAAACTTTTTTTCTCACAAAAAATTAACTCATTAATTCAGAAAAACAGAGAAAAAAATATTTTCTCATGAAAAATTAACTCATTAATTCAGAAAAACAGAGACAAACTTTTTTTCTCATGAAAAATTAACTCATTAATTCAGAAAAACAGAGCAAAAAAAATTCTCATGAAAAATTAACTCGTTAATTCAGAAAAACAGAGCAAAAAAAAAATTTCTCATGAAAAATTAACTCATTAATTCAGAAAAACAGAGCAATTTTTTTTCTCATGAAAAATTAACTCATTAATTCAGAAAAACAGAGTAGATTTTTTTTCTTCAAGTGAATGCAATACACCTCCGTAGATTTCTACTTCATAAATTGTGTGAAATTTGTGGAAATAATGGTTCATATCAACTCAAAACACATATGGAAATGGAGGCGCCCTTATATGGGCAGTAATGGAGTCTGGTTGTGCCCTAGTGGAAGCGTTCGGTACTGCGCCCAAACAAAATCTCACTGAAAGCTCATTTTTTGAGATATCAACCTAAAATTTGAAACACAACTTGTTCAGATTTTTGGCTTTCGATTTTTCTGCAGTTTTAGATTAGCCCAGGTTTTGAAAATATATATTTTATATAAAATATGCATAATTCATTTTTTTACATTGTACATTTCTATAAACTCAAACTTCTATAACTTTTTTTCATTTTCACTTTCCTAATTTATTTCACTTCGAGAAAAATCTGCCAAATGTCTTCTTTAAAACAAGACCAATCATATGTCTATATTCCAAAGCATTCTTGAATTACAACCATTTAAGTTTGAAATGAGCATTTCCATGTCTATTCAAAAAAGGGGGGTGACAGTTAAGAGGTTAAAAAATTGTACACTATCCAGGCACCTTTGGCATTCAATTTTCGACGTACTATGATTTGGCATCTTGCATGCACACAGTATATGCAGACAATATGCAAGATTAGACAGAATCCCTCTTGAGTGACTTTAATAAAATCTGATTGGTTGTTTTAAGAGTGGTTTGGAATCTGATTGGCTGCTGTTGTAAAGCATTGGTCTATCAGTATGAAATCTACTAGTGCTAACTTTGCCAACCTCATGATTTTCCCTGTAGCAAGCACAGTCCAAATCTGACCTCCGACTGAACCCCACAGATACAAGACATTTTGCATTCAGAATGTGGCCCAGATTCACATTCAAACAGAACAAAACACACCGGCACAAACCTGGCGTAGCTTTCGATCTGTTTTCTGGCAGGAAGCGTGCAGCTGTCAGTCCAAAAGGATTCTTCTTCACCCTTCTGTCTTTCTTCAGGATCTCCAGAGCACAGCGCGGGTCTTCGTACGCTCCTACAGGGGGCGTTTCATCCTTGACCGGACTGAACCGCTGCGAGAACCGGCACAGTACTGAGATCAGATGAAAATCGACACGAGGCGGCATTCACAAACCATTTGAGTGCTAAAAGATAATGAAGCTCTGATAAATTGTGCACAAGACCAGAAACGTGTATTAGGCAAGTAAATAAGGTCCATTTTGATATCATGTGACTAATCCAGTGCAGCTGTTATTAGAACTTATTACACGGTTCTCTTGATTGGTCAATAACGTAATTTTGAGGTCAGTTATTCCTTGATAATGATCATCGTCAATTGCAACACTGTACAGTGACCGCTCATCCTTCTTTCATGTTTCTCGTACCACACCATGGACATGCTGGTGGCATCTATGCCTCAGTTATCGACTATAAAAGGAGGAGGGCTTCAGTACTAATAGTAGGCCTACAGTAATATTGTTGAACCGTTTGTTTTGTTGCTAGAATGAAATGTAATAGATCATCAGATAATAAAAACAAGTACGGTTTCTTCTCAAATCAATATTTCATGTCCATGTCATTATTTATTTGGTGAAATCTGTGAAATAATAGTGAGCTAATAAACTCAAATCCATATTATTTACTTATGTGGAAAGTAGCCATGTAATAAGCGTTATAATGTACACACAGTCGGATGTTATCACAAAAAAAATATATATATATATAAAAATAAAATAAAAATTTTAATAAATAAAATATATATATATATATATATATATATATATATATATATATATATATATATATATATTTTTTTTTTTTTTTTTTTTCACATAGGGTACAAGTCGGGGTCCTGATCCCCCTGTCAGAGTTTATCTTGCAATAACATCAGGCTGGATGTACATTGTCTCTTATGTATGAATGTCCAAAAATAATGCAATGTGTTTTTACCTGAGCTTTAGACAGGAAGGCTGGGCTCAACACAGGACCATGTGGTTTACTGGGCGTCTCAAACTGACTCTTTATGTGGTAATGCCCTGGACCTGGGACACCCTATAAATACAAACACACACACAGATGCACACCAAAAAGAAAAAGAAAGCTTATTTGCAGCATCCATGCAGAAATGCATCTAACCATGAGCTCAAGTCTTGTTACAATAGTGCCCTCTACAGGCAAGACACAACGTCTACATGTCACATTTACACCCGTTAAAACTGGGGTTTTCAATCTTTTAGATGCCACGGACCCCCAAATACGCCATCCTTGTGTGAGGAACCCCATCCTAAATTTAAAAAAGCATCTATGTTTTAAAAACACACAATTTATACATTATAAAAAATATTATAAATCTAAAAATTTAATAAATATTATTTATTTATTTATTTTAAATGTATTTTATTAATATATATATATATATATAATAGAATAATTATAATTAATTTAATCACATTATTTATTTATGTTAAGCCAATGTTTTTATTTACCTATTTATTTAAATTTGATTATTTATTTATTTTATATTTTTTTTACATTAGCTTTAATTTACATATAACTTTAACTTGCAGCTTCAGTGCCGTCAAATGTCTTATAAAAAAAAAAAAAAAAAAAGTCCAGTACAAGTGATCCAAAAAAGCTACACGTATAGAACAGGGACTTAAGACAAAATGATAATCTGAGGTTTGAACCTTCTTCTCCTCCTGCAGAGTCACCAGCTCGTGGTATCGAGGGACGACCAGCTCTGAACGGCCTTTCTGCTCTCGCGTGAGATTCACATTCTCATAGTGGACAGTGTGATCACTGGAACACACACAGGGATGCACACAATCATAGAGTGCTGAAGGGATGCTGTATTTCTGTACAAACGAGTTTGGATTTTAGCCTGAAGTCAATGGGTTTTTGGTTAAATGCCTGGAAAAAAGGTCTGTGGTGAACACAAGCTCAAGATTTTTTCACATTTTATTCTATGACCTAAAATACATCAGCAATTGTGTTTTCTTTTAAAAAGATTTGACTTGTCTTGAAAAAGATGGTTGCTAACCAGAGTCTCAATGGTACGGAGCCCCTAAAGGGATGTGGTGGTGGAAAAAAATTTAGGATGGGAGAATTTTTTTTCCCAAAACTTGGGAGCTCGGACAGACACTTCCCGTTTAATGTCCCGCTGGCAGTGCTTCAGAGCTCCGCACGTTAATGGAGCGTTTTATAGTGTTCGAACTTGGACTCAAATATAAAGAAATGCGGTCAGTGTTTGACTCAAGGAGATCAGTGAAGTTGGCAATATATCCACACAGGCTATTCGAACTTCCCCGATCAATATTCTTGAGCTAAACATTGTTAAAACACAAACGACACCTATTTACGATCACAGTAACATAAGACAACAAACAACCCAATTCTCCTCAAAACAAGCTTCTGGTCACAAGTGGACAAGCTCAAAATGTGGCTTTTTACTTCTCACGATTGTACTTAGGCTTCAAAATTCAATAAAAATTGTATTTGTGAAGATTATCATGATGGACAATGACGCATGGTGTACAAATCATTAACTTTTGTTGATCACAGAGCTTATTTTCTGCACTAATCCAAAATCCAGTAAAAAAAATCGAATAGTTTTTTGTCGAGGGAACCAGGGTGATGCTGACTAAACCAGGTTGGCCTACAAAAATATGTCACCACTGCAGCACTGACTTGACTTACTCGTATAATTTGCAGAAAAGTCAGTCATGCTGATTAGATTTTAATAGATCAAGGAAGTGATTTCGAGTTTTGTGTGCAGTATGCATCAGACGGTCAGCGAACAGACTGTGGGTGTGCCGTCTGAGGCCGTGTGAATTTTTTCTGAAGTGTGGCAAACAAGGTCCAGATGCTTCAGAATAAATTTTGAAAAACAAAGCAAACAGTGTTGTGTTGCACCTGAGAGTAAATCAATACAACTCACTCCTGTAGTTCATACTGTCCTGGTCCAGGTACGTCTTCGCCCTTTACCTTCTCTCTCCGGCCTGACATCTTCCCAAACTGCACACCTTTATACTTCTGAAAGGATGACAGCTCCTCCTGCAAAACACATATATATATGTGAACTCTTCATATATATGAAGAGTTCAGATGCAAAAGCCTCTAAATGCCATTTGAAATTTTCTTCTAGAATGAAGTTTTTATCAAGCTTGTATATTTAAGTTCAGTAATTTCACTTAAATGGCAATTAATACGTAATCTTCATTGTCCTTTAAGTGAAATTACTGAACTTAAATAAACAAGCTTGATATCATTTTAGGAGAAAATTTCAAATGGCACTTAGAGGCTTTTGCATCTGAACTCTTCTATATATATATATATATATATATATATATATATATATATATATATGAGGTCAAATATTAGTTTACAATATCAGCATTTTCATTGGACATAATTATACAGATTTATGTTTTGATGGTCAAATGTCATAGAGCATACTTTAAAGTCCATTTATTGAAACTAAGCTGCAAATAACACAAGATCATCCAGAACCATGAAATAATCATGTGTGGGGGTTTAAATATGTATAAAATAACATGTTGGTAATATATATATATATATATATATATATATATATATATATATATATATATATATATATATGAAGAGTTCAGATGCAAAAGCCTCTAAATGCCATTTGAAATTTTCTTCTTTAATGATGATTTTTATCAAACTTGTATATTTTATTTAATTAATTTCACTTAAATAACAATTAATAGGTAATCATCATTGCCATTTAGGTGAAATTACTGAACTTAAATATACAAGTTTGATAAAAAATCATCATTAAAGAAGAAAATTTCAAATGGCATTTAGAGGCTTTTGCATCTGAACTCTTCATATACACACACTCACCTAAAGGATTATTAGAAACACCATACTAATACTGTGTTTGACCCCATTTGTCATGTTCAAGAATCCAATTTGAAATGATTGGAGCTTTGTGACATGGTGCATTATCCTGCTGGAAGAAGCCATCAGAGGATGGGGACATGGTGGCCATAAAGGGATGGACATGGTCAGAAACAATGCTCAGGTAGGCCGTGGCATTTAAACGATGCCCAATTGGCACTAAAGGGCCTAAAGTGTGCCAAGAAAACCATTACACCACCACCACCAGCCTGCACAGTGGGAACAAGGCATGATGATGTTCTCATTCTGTTTACGCCAAATTCTGAATGTCTCAACAGAAATCGAGACTCATCAGACTTTTTGTCCAATTTTGGTGAGCTCTTGCAAATTGTCGCCTTATTTTCCTATTTGTAGTGGAGATGAGTGCTACCCGGTGGGGTATCCGCTTCAATGAAAACAGCGCATGACTAAAGAACGGTGATTAAACTGACTTGAAGCTACTTATGCGTTAAACTGTTTTATTGCACACCTTCCAGCCAATCAGAATCGAGTATTCAGACCATTGGATAAATGTATATTTAGAAATGTAATGTAAATCAGCCATAACATTGCCTATTAGTCATAATGAATCATAATATATATCACTATCAGCCAAATTTTCAGGATGCACTGATAATAAAACCTTGATAGAAATGGTTGATGAAACTCATTGTCAAGCGCACCATGGTCTTGAAACAAAGCTGATGCAAGTGAAACAACACAGAATGCTGGAATATGTCGATTATGACCATTTTAATCTACAAAAACAGCTAAAAATGGGTGGAAAATGACTAGCAACCCCTAAGACGAGCAGGAGAAACAGAGATGCACCGTGACGGATGGCCCTGTGCTTTGATACAGGGTTCGTCCCCCTCTGGAGGAAGTTGGCAGCTCAATGGCCAATGAAAGATGATTTGATTAAAGCTGAGTCCAGCATCTGCTGCATTATTGTAAGTGAATATTGAAATATAACGTAAAGAATAATTACCCAGGGTTTTCGGTCCTGACAGTAAAATGGATGAGTGCTGCACTTTGTGACTTTTTAAAATAATGCAGCGATCATTAGTAATGGAAACAGCCTCAGCACTAATGATGCAGAGCGGAGGGGCATTAGACGGTTTTCTGTTAATGGACACATCTGACCTCACACACACACACACACACACTCAAACCGCTCCATTAGACCTGTATCTTTTTCATGACTGAGTGCACATCCATTTACACATACTGCTGGTAATCTGTCTGACCGGTAAGGGGTTGTAGAAGGCCGGGCCGAGGGTCTGGTCTCTGGTGGGGGGTTTGTGTCTGTGTAGGACACCTTGAGCATCCTCTTCATATCCCAACGCCTGCGCGGGAGACGGGATGGATGGAGCATCAGGATTCAGCAGCATCTTCGTCACTTTATAGACGGTCTGCGGGCAACGTAAAAACATTTACTCAAAAAACAAAAGATAGAGAACTGCAGGGAGAAAGTATGAGAACCCCTTTGGATTTACCTGGATATCTACATTAATTAGGGTTGGGAATCGTTTGAATTTGAACGATTCTGATTCCGATTCCGATTCCTTGTTTCGATTCCGGTTCCTAACGATTCTCGATTCCGATTCTTTTAAGAGGCAGGGTCAAAAAAGTTTAGCTAACCTTGCTAACCAACGGCCTTTCTGAAGGAAATACTCCTTCTGTCACAAATTTTGCATTTTGCCGAGATTTCGTTATTTTTAGAAAAGTGAAGCCACACTTTGGATCGCCGACGTAAGCTACTCATGTTCGACTCGCGCGGTTATGCCAACACTTCCGGTAGACGCTTCTTCGTTGGTGTTGTTCAGCGGTTTCTTCTTCCGCTCGGCGGACTGTGAATATCGAAACTAGGAATCGAAATTTTAACTTTTGAACGATTCCGGAAAAAACGAAAAGTTAGTCTCGGTTCCAATCGATACTCGATTCTCGATACCCAACCCTAACATTAATCACTGCACTTTGTGATGTAGTTACATTGTAATTACATGTACTTACTATAGAGTTACGGTTACTTGTAATTATGCATAATTTACTTTTATTACTACATGAAGTAACGTGGAACTACGTCACCTTAAAATAAAGTGTTACCTAATTGCTCATCATCTGATATTTAACTAAATCTTGTGTTTTTTTGTCTAAATATTGTGCGAAATTGGTGTGAAATGGTCACAATTCAAAAAGGTGCAATGATCCTACAAAGAGGCTTTATTTTCTTCATGCAAAATATTATTTATGTTTTATATATATGTAGTCTCCCAAAAGTGTTTAATAACTATTTTTTAATGAACTCTGATGTCCATTCATATCCAACCCGACAAGCAAAGAATGTTCATCTTCCCTATTTTCATACAAATCTTAGTCAATTTTCCTTAAAATATAGAGAACCGTCACTTTGGAATACTATTCCCAGTTATATTAAAACTAGTTTATCATTGTCAGTATTTAAGTCAACATTTAAGTGTTGTTCATGTGTTGTTTTTTAATTGTCTGTGATGAATAGTTTGGTGTATATGAATTGAAAATCAAAAGGAGAGGCTTTATTATAAGCCCTTGTGGGTTTCTTGCCTCTCCTGCACAATCCATTCCATATATATCGTTTTTTTTTTATATCTGTCTGTTTTATCTAGTGCTAAATAAATAAATTTAAAGAAATATATATGTTTCTTTTGATTTTGGGGTTAAAATATGACCTGGACATTTCGTGTGTGAGATTCACCTTTGTATGAAATCTAAGTAAATTTGTCTTGCCATAATTACAACACTTGATATGATCTTCATAACTCCAGTGTCCATATAATAAGTCCATGTGATAATCCAAACGTCTCACCTTAGGACTCTTCTCTGGATTGGTTGTTCTGTTCTCTGAAGGAGACACATTGTTCGTGACATTGTACGCTCCCGGCCCTGGCACATCTGACCCCACGTCATCAAACCTCTTGGAACGATTCTGAAGACTGCTTCCTCCCAAAACATGATTCTGCAATATTCCAGTTATTTTGCATGTGTCACTGACATGATTGCACAGTGATATTAAAACCATAACATAAACATACCCTGGTAATGCCACTGTTATACTGTCCTGGTCCAGGAGAGAGGAGAGCACTGCCCGACCCCAGAAACCCGGTCTCTCTAATGGACAGCGAGAGGAAGGGGGCATACGAATCTGTAGAAATACATCAACAAAAACACTTACAAATAATAATAACAATTCTTATTATATTGGTACTAATAGCCTAGATTGATCACATGTGCCTAAACTGGGAAAGAAGATAGGTCTGCAAAGAACCAATGAATAATCTTTTATGTAATATCTATACTTCTTGGTAAGGTTTAGAACTGCCTTAAGAAAATTAACCATGGTTTTATTATAGTATAAATAGTAACCATGTTTTTTTTTTTATTTGACCATTTGATGACCATTTGTATAAACAGTTTTAATACAAATACCATGGTTAAACTATGGGTTATAGTTAAGCAAAAGCATGGTTAATTTGTGGTTAATATGTTTCTTTTTTTATGTGTAGTAAAACCATGGTCGGTTTCGGGGTCACTTGCATAGACAAAGGGATAACGTTAGTTCACCCCAAAATGAAAAAAGTTATCATTTACTCACCTTCAAGATGTTCTAAACCTGTATGAGTTTCTTTCTTCTGTTGAACAGAAAATAAGATATTTTGAAGAATGTTGGTAATCAAACAGTTGATTGGACCCCCTTGACTTCCATAGTATATTTTTCCCTTACTATGGAAGCCAATGGGGTCCACCAACAATGTGGTGACCCCATATTCTTCAAAATATCTTCTTTTGTGTTTAACAGACGAAAAAAAAAAAAAAATCATACAGGCCTGGAACAACTTATGACAGAATTGACATTTTATGGGTGAACTAACCCTTAAGAACTAACGTTAGTTTGACCAACTAACTTAATGTTAGCAGTTAACCAAAGGGTTAACGTTATTTTCCATCTTACTTTTCCGGATCTACCTTTTTATGTAACCGATTTTAAGAAGTTATGACCAAAAATTAAATGACTAACTTCTAAGTAGTTTATGCGAACGGCCAATGGTCTTAAAAGGTTTTAAAAAAAAATGACTTTATTTCACGTCAAAATAAAACTTACTGTTTTTGTCGCTGAGAGACCTGCTGATATTATAAGATCCTGGTCCAATTTCAGACGTGGTGCTGCTTAATGTTAAATGTGTGACCCTGGGAGCTCGATCATACATGTTGATCAATTATTTATATTGAACATGAAACGTGTTTAATTAACTAATGTAACACAGTGTGTGAGAGCAGTGAAGCGTCTACCAGTCACTTCACAAACTCTCCAGTCACTGGAGCGCGTTGCCTGGACGCCACAAATACGTTGAAGTTCATGAATATTAATTAGGTAATGAAGACGTCACATGCTTCGTAGATTTCCTTGTCACTCAACCTGTTATGTTACCAAGTTACCAACCTAATGTTCATGAGTTAATCCGTCGACTGGGCACTGCAAACGCAGTCATGGGGGGAAAAGTTAAACAAAACTATTAAATCATAGAGTCTGACTCTAAAGCGATAAAAAACGACATTTGTTCATTTATACAGTATTAATAACTAATGATCGTTGCGACGGAAACTAACTTTAACTGGAAAATAACTTTATTCTAGAGCTGCCAAAAAGCCAAAACAATGTGTTACTTTAATTTATTTTTACCTATTATCACTGTAACTTAAAGCCGCTTTGGAACAATCTACATATTTAAAAGCGCTATATAAATAAAGATGACTTGACAGAATTGGTCAAAAGTTTAGAAACATTACTATTTTTAAAGTTTTTGGTAGAACAATCGTATGCTCACCAAACCTACATTTATTTGATCAAAAATATGTAATATTGTACAATATTATTACCATTTAAAATAACTGTTTTCTATGTGAATATATTTTAAAATGTAATTATTACTGAGATCAAAGCTGAATTTTCAGCATCCTTACTCCAGTCTTCGGTGTCACGTGATCTTTCAGAAATCAATCTAATATTTTAAATGGTAATAATATTTCACAATATTACTGTTTTTTGATCAAGTAAAGGCATACTTTTTTAATAAAATAAAATGAAAATTAAAATATATATATACAGTGTTTGGCAGGTGATCCGCGCCGGCGAGTGGCGCTGTGCGCGAGGATCAGCTGTTCACAAACCTGCGCGAGAATCCCCGAAGAACCGTAAACAAAGAGCTCCGGTAGAACAGGGTCACGGAACCACAATTGCTGCTGCTGTAAATATCAACTGTAAGTTTAAATACACTTAACACTCCTTATGAATAGCATTTTCTGTACTTCTGTACACTTGAATACAGTAACAGAAGAGCTTTGCCGTAACACTAAGTTTGTTTATGTGTGTTCCGCAGTGAAAGCAGGACACGTTGTTGGTCGAGCATGCCCAGTAACGCAGCTCAACTCTTGGAGTCAGACGATACTGAACCGGATCTCCCGGTACTGGTACCGAACCTGAGCGGGTTGAGTCTCCGGGATAATGAGAGTCCATCGGAACCACGTGGTACTCCTCATCTGGGGGTCCTGGGTGCGGTGTTAGACCTCCAGCCCCTGTCCCAAACTAGATCAGAGGAGGAAAACAGCACCAACAACAATAGTATCAGACATGATGCTGATCTGGACCAGCTGAGGGCCCTGGCCCTCACAGGCATGGAGGATGGGCTCTTCCAGGATGGGCTGGGCGAGTCTCAAGGCTTCCACCATGTTCAGGGGAGGATGATGATGGCAATGATGATGATGCAGGAGGGCGAGAGATGTGCACTAAACACCAGGAGGAAGAGCGTGAACACAACAGAGTGTGTGATGGTGCCCACATCTGAGCATGTGGCGGAAATAGTTGGCAGACAGGGTGGGTTTGTTTGATTTGTCAGGTTTAATATTCTAATATTGTGACTCATCTTGTCTCCCTTTTCATCCAGATCAGGGCTTAACATTAAGGATTTCTTTTTGTGCCAGGCCTGTTGGGTTAGTGATTCAGATTTGAACTCGCCCTGCTGATATTTTCATTGACCTCACCTCAGAGAGAACATTAGGGCTGTCAAGCGATTACACTTTTACATGGCTGAGAAATTACCCCCAACATATAATTTAAAGTCATTATTGGGTTAAATGGGAAAATCTCAAACAGACTTTACAAAAATGGATTGGCCATTGAATCATTGGTTCACTTGTGTGATATTTCCCTCATTACTCATGCGATATTGCATAACTGTATCATGATATAAGATAAACTATGTAGAACTGGCGCAAGGTGGCTGCATTAAACGCGTTAATTATTTTAACTCTTTATTTTTCCCCATACCTAATTAATTAAACTAATGCGTTAAATCGACAGCCCATATACATATATACAGGAATAAATTGCATTTTAAAATGTTAAACTAGAAAAGTTTTTTTTTTTTAAATGTAATAACAAATATTAAAATATTATTTTTAAAAACAACTGTTTTTACTGTATTTTCAATCAAATAAAATCAGCCTTGGTGAGAGACAAAAACATTAAAAAAAAAAATTCTAAATTAGCCTATTACAAATTTTAGATTTAGAAAATATGCGTGTTTATATTTATATGAACCATGTAAAATGATAGAAAATGTACTCTTTAAAAAAAGTTTAGATTATTAGTCATAACAAATTGTATGGGCCAAATTTTCAATATCAGTGCATTTATAATGAAATCTTGATAAATGATTTTAATAATCCATGCTGGAACTGACCTCATTGAACTGTCTGTTACTATGGATTACAGCTGCCCCACTTATCTGTGATGATGTAATGATTCGTCACCGCACTGTTTGAAAACAAGTTGCGTAATACAAGTGCACACTGACAACACCCCTGATACAACACCTATCTATATTAGTATTGACCAATCAACATCAAGGACTGCTCTAATCATGCCTAAGAGGAGATCACTTGTCTAATAGTGTGATTGATTGATTGATTGATGTCGTCTTAAGCTAGCAATGTGTTGACTCGTCTGTATTTCTGCTCTCTTCAGGTTGCAAGATCAAAGCTCTGAGAGCAAAGACCAACACTTACATCAAAACACCCGTCAGAGGAGAAGAACCAGTGTTCGTGGTGACCGGACGAAAGGAGGACGTCATGACGGCGAAGCGAGAGATCATGTCAGCGGCCGAGCATTTTTCCCTCATCCGGGCGTCTCGGAACAAACTGCCGCCGAACGTCGGGCTCAACAGCGTCCCTTGCCATCCGGGACAGACAACCATCCAGGTACGGGTGCCGTATCGAATGGTGGGGCTCGTGGTGGGACCGAAAGGAGCGACCATCAAGAGGATCCAGCAGCAAACCCACACTTACATCGTCACACCAAGCCGTGACAAAGAACCGGTGTTTGAGGTGACCGGCATGCCTGAGAACGTGGATCGAGCGCGGGAGGAAATCGAAGCCCATATCGCTCTGCGCACCGCGGGACACGTGGACACCAGCGCGGACGACGACGACTTCCACTACAACGGCACCGACGTAGGCTTCGAGTCGGGGAGCAACAGAGCCTGGCTCTTCGCGAACGTCGATAACGGCGGCTTCCACGGCAACGCCTCGGGATACCGAAACGACAGCTCCAGCTCGCTCGGAAGCAACTCGAGCGAGTCGTACTACAGCGGGAAAGGCAGCGGCGCGGCGGATCTCAGTCCCGGTAGCACCGGCGGCACGTTCTGGTATGGCGACACCCAGTTGCCCTTGGGATCCGAAGATCCGTCCGGATACGACGGGCTGACGATGACGGCGCCGTCCACCAATCCGTTGTGGAGCGCCTTTGATCGGGGAGGCGCGAGTTTGCCCAATACGCCGAGGCTCTCTCCGTCCCTTCTCGCTCGCCTGTCCCCGTCTCTTCCGGAGGCCCTGGATCATCATCCGCTGGTTCGGCTGGTGCAGGAGAATTCCCAGAGCCTCCCGGCCTTTGGTACGGCGTTTTCCCCGTCGGGCGACAGCTCTCCGCCGGACGTGCGCACCTTCCCCAAACACAGCCAGGTTCCCGCGTGCGTGCGTTGCGGAGACAATGTGGCGGCGATTGTCCTCGGGGGGCAAAACCTCGTGTGTCTGGAGTGCTCCAACATCCTGCAAAGCGTGTAGAGAGGAGCAAACTGGTTTATTTTTTACATTGTTAAATACTTCTTCCTTCTTTATTATGTTTAAATAACTGGGAAATGCAGGTTTTCAATCAATTCATCTCAAAGATTTCCACATTTACGTTTAGCCGCTACGTCGTTCTTACGGCAAGCAGTGCTGGGGTTTAGCAGCGCTAAATCGTGTTTTTTTTTGTTCGTTTGTTACTTTGTTTTTGAGGTATTGACATTTTCATGTGCCTGATTCCATGACGGTAGCGGTGCACGTTGGCGCCGTTGCTGGAAAAGCATCTGTGGCCTTGAGTTTCTGTTTTGCAACACTAGAGTCAAGAAGCACGCGATCATACAAGAGCCGTCCTGACCTCCACGACCCCGAAGCCTGTACTCCATAAACGTTTAAATGGATAGTTCACTTTGAAATTAATTTTTGGTATGTTTTAGCTTACCTCAAGGGCATCCAAGATGTAGGCGTCTTTGTTTGCGCAGTAGTTTCAATTTTGATATAATGGAGGTCTATGGTCACCACCTCAAAGAGCATGCACAGAGAAGTCCAAATTAAACATGATGTAATGACTCGTAAATGTAAGTACACATTGATGGCCTAAGACACCAAACGAGCGGTTTGTGTGAGAAAACGAACAATATTTTTATTGTTTTTATCTCTTGTAAATCACAGCCATAAAGCGCCCGCGCTCTCAGATCACTTGGACGTGGCCGTGGCCGGCTGTACTGTTTGTTTTCTCACACAAACCGCTCGTTTGGTGTCTTAGGCCATCAATGTGTACTTACATTTACGAGTCATTAAATCATGTTTAATTTGGACTTCTCTGTGCATGCTCTTTGAGGTGGTGACCATAGACCTCCATTATATCAAAAACATCAAACTACTGCGGAAACAAAGACACCTACATCTTGGATGCCCTTGAGGTAAGCTAAAACATACCAAAAATGAATTTCAAAGTGAACTATCCCTTTAAGAGCGTTACACGTCGTCATTAAACACGAGCGAAATTCATTTGCGTGAGAAATTTAACGTCACATTTTAGATCAATTTAAACATGGTTTCCGCTTGACTTACATGAACAAAATCCCAGTTTCGCATTCAATTAATTTCAATTTTGGGAAAATGCCATGCGTATAAAATCTTAAAATGCACATGTGCAACATTTTTGTATTTGGTAAGAAAACGTGCGCATAATAAACTGATGAAAACTAAATATAATCGTGATTGCGAAACACATGACTTTACCTCAACACATAATGTGATTGGATAACTGAACTAACCAGTGGATCAATCTCATTGCACACCATTTAAAATATTGTTTTAAAGGGATACTCCACTATTTTTGGAAATAGGCTCATTTTAAAACTCCCTCAGAGTTAAACAGTTGAGTTTTACCGTTTTCGAATGCAATCACCCGATTTTCTGATAATTAGAAGAATGTCAGTAACCAGACAGTTTCTGGTCTCATTGACTTCCATAGTAGCAAAAAAATATACTATGGAAGTCAATGGGACCAGAAAGTGTCTGGTTACTGATATTCTTCTAAATAGCAGAAAATCAGCTGAATGCATTCGAAAACGGTCAAACCCAACAGTTTAACTCTGGGGGAGTTGTAAAATGAGCCTATTTCCAAAAAAAAAAAGTGGAGTATCCCTTTAAACCCGAGACAAAGTCTGTCATCAAAATGACTTGGCTCTCATTATTACACTCCCAAAACATCACAAGATAACATGAAAGCGTTTGTGTCTGCATGCTCTGATGCACAATTCATTATGTTTGGGGAAAAGTCATAGGCTGGTTGCAGCAACTTTTTATCAGTTTATTAATACAGTCTGTGCGCCAGTTTCACAAGATTTTGTTCTCTTGAACACATACGTTGGAAACAGCTTTATTCATATTTTAGCTCTAGATGAAAACACGGGAAAAATATGGCCGATTGTTTCACGAACGAGGCCCTTTATATCACGATTATGTGTCCGTAACGACTCCTCTCATTGCCTTAACTGAACGGGGCGTTTAGGACCTGAGAGGAGCGATTCTGTCGACGAGCACGTGCTTTAAACAAGTGCAGGCTGACGCGACTAATGACGTCATTTTTTCGCAATCACCACTAAACTCAGAGAAACTAAGGCATCCATAACCTCTCAAGATTCACTTTGACAAGTTTTTTTTTATATATATACAATTTTGTAGTATTTCTGTAGTATATATTTCATATTCAAATACATATATATATATATATTAAGATTTAAGACTATTTGGCAAGCAGTCGGCTGCTGGTTGCCGTAAGTATTAGCTTGTAGAGTGTTGGCGTTAGGTACTATAGAGCAGGAAAGAGCACACCTGCATGATTTATTATCTAACGATTCCTAAATCGCAACAAAAAAGCCAAGGATATAAATATATATATATAAACGCTGCATTAGGTTTGCATACTACCACATTATGAACAAAGTAAAAGTCCTATGTTAAACATTTATCTAAGGGATTTTTACCATCACACTGCAACAATGTTTCTGTATTTGATAATTTTATTGTTCTTTTATTATGTATATACACATATGCAGGGACATGATGGCATATAAGTTGTATTCAAATTTCAAAATATATTTTATGATATGGCCTTACTGTCCTGTGGCCAAAGCACTGATATTATATATTTGCTGTAAAAAAGAATTAAGATTTTTATTTTTCTGATATTAAAGTTCCTTAATAAATTGTTTCATTTTAAACTCATTTGCCTAAGTGCTCTTTGATTTGGGTTCATCTGTGTTCGTACGGGCTCCACACACACTGCTGTATGACAATAGACATAAACTGTCACCATCCCACTAGCGGGATATTTAAGTTTACTTCAAAATTTTCCTACTAAATACGGCAAACTATATATCGTTGGAAAGGTCTAAGATGCAAGAATACATATTTGATGATTTTTCAGAAAAAAGGATATGTTAGAAGAGTAATGGATTAATATATGACAAAAAATCTGTATCATTGCAGCAAAGTTTTCACCTTTGTTACAAAAAGTCAACAACCACACTTTTAATCATTCAAACTTTGATTTGTGTGCTAAAAGTTCACAATAAAACATTTTTAATCTAGTATTTGTCAATAAAAAATATAAAAGAGTATTATCCTCCAAAAAGTATATTCTATATTATATTATTCTCTAAAATATAATATTATATTTTTAATCACCTTTTTTATTACATCACATATTTAGTATGTTGGATATCATTTGAAAGCTTACAAACTCAGAAATCATCCTGTGAAAACTGTTTTGAAATTGGATGTTGAGTTACCATAGAAACGGCTCTCTAAATTATTTTATCAGGCTCCGCCCCTTTTGGGCATAATTTGTGAACAAACCCTTCTTTTAACCATGACAAAACACATATTGTCAGAAAGGTCTGAGTCTCAAGTTGACAGAAGTGATATTTGGACAGAAATGTATTAATATGTTATGGCAGAATACACTCAATGGAATTCAATGTCACCCGGTGGCAATTTTTGGTATTACGCCTAAACAAAATCTCATGGGAACTTCAATTTTTGCGATATCAACTTCTAATTTGGAACACAACTTGGTTAGATATATGGCTTTGACTTTATATATATATATATATATATATCTTTTAATGAAAGAAATAATATATATTTTATTACATTTTCATAACAATAAACTTATACTTCAATAACTTTTAATTAATTTAATTCTATTAATTTATTCCACTTCAACAATAATCTGCCAAGTGTCTTCTTTTAAAAGAGTCCAAACGTTAGTCTTTAGTCCAAAGGGTTGATGAGTTACAACCGTTTAAGTTTGGGTAGTGCATTTTCAAGCCAATGCTCAAAGTTTGGTAGTAAAGTTCTCCGTTATGAAAAGTTATAAATCAATTTGACTACAGTAGGAAAAGATGCAAGATTTTTTTAGATGGTAACCAAACGTTAAATTTAATAGTTTCAGAGAGAAAGTTTTCATTGTTAAATTACACTAATGACTGAAAGTAATCAAAATGATGGTGTTCTCATATCTACAGTGTTTCAGTCATATGGCGATATCAATCTTCTGTTGATCAGATGAACATGTCATTATAGGTGAAGAAACACACTTCTCCTTCAACCTGAACAAGTCAACCAGGCTCAACAAGTCACTCATTCACACACACTTCAACGGTCTCTCTGGTTGAACTTGACACGCAGGCTGTACTCGGAATGGAATACTATGCAAACTATATACTGCATACTTGCTTTTTGTTTGTTTGTTAAAATATGTGAAACGGTTTGTTTGTAATATACAATGCTAAACATTTACCCCTCCGGTGCTCTTCAGTTGTTTTAAAAAAAAAAAAAAAATGAAAATAATAATAATAATATTTTTGTAAAACAAAAAATTTGTAAAACGAAGTAAAAAGAAATATATATATATATATATATATATATATTTTCCTTCATTTTACAGTTTTTTGAGGTATCAAGCTCAATTTTGAAACACCACTTGTTTAGATTTATGGCTTTGATTTTCTTGCAGTTTTAGAGTAAACATGTTTAGTAAACTATATTTCATATGAAATTTGAAAATAGTATTTTTGTGCAACTTTTTTACGTTCACTTTTTTTAAAATTCACTTCAGCAATAATCTGCCAAGTGTCTTCTTTAATGAAAAGAGACCAAACTGAGGTCTGTGCTCCAAAGCATATGACTCATTATGACATTTTAAGTGGGAAATTTCATTTTCAGGTCTATAATTTAAAAAAAAATCAATTAAATACCATAAAATCCCCTGAAATATATATATATAAAAACATGTAGTACATTAATTTCATCAGGAATTTCAGTCATTTTAACTCTCGCATGCGAGGAGCACCAGAGGGTTAAAACCAATAGTTTGTTATATTATTGTCAAACTGAGTCAAGTTACATCTTTAATTTAGCGAATGGTATCCAATTACGATCACTAATGCAATTTTTGTATTTGTAATCTTATTTTATGTAATAATATATTTAGTAGTCAAGAATGAGAAAACTTCAGTACTTCCATATTACTTTAGTATTATGCATTATAATAACAATATACTGCAAAGTATAAGTATGGTAGTATGCCATTCTGAACACACCTTCAGACTCCATACTGTTGCCAACTGTTTGATTATCACAGGCCGACGTGATCATGCATCACTAAGAAAAAAGATGAACAAATGTGCATACAATTAAAAGACAAGACAAAACTGGTTAGTACAAAAAATGTTTTCCAGTATTCAGGATATCTAAACCACCTGAGCTATATTTGAGTTTTATATCAAAGATAAAATGCATTTCTAAAAGTAATCATATTTCACGTCTTCTAATAATGTAAAAACTGCGAAGAAAAGAATTATTCACACCAAGCAAATTCACAATCCATTTCTCATTTAAAGTGACAACAGAATACCAAACTTTACTTCAGTGTTCTGTCACTTTATATGAGAATCTTCAGTAAAAACAACTTTTCAATCCATCTTGAACCTTGAAATTGTTGGGTGTGTGGATTCTTCATTTTGTTTCTATGCACCCTTATCTACACACTGGTGCAGGACTTCTTCATATTGTCCAATAGTGTAAAACAAGAGTGTGTATTTGTTGTGACTGCACTCATTTGTCTGCTCTCTGAAAGAATAGAAAAGTGATTGATAATGTTCCAGGAAAAACAACATTTACAAGTGATATAAAGTAACCGAGTGCTTGATATAAACAATAGAATTATAAAAATACTGCATAGCAATTTAAAACACACACACAAAGGACAATATTCTGGCCACACACTCACCGCAAAGATATGGAAATGCCAAACACAAGATGAACAAATGTTTGTGCAGTAGCTATAATATTCATGTATTTATTTCACGGATTACATTATAAAACCGTTTTTAGTTACATTGAATGGAACAATTTAAAAACTTTTGCTGATAATTTACTCACCACCATGTCATCCAAGATGTCCATGTCTTTCTTTCTTCAGTCGAAAAGAAATTAAGGTTTTTGATGAAAACATTCCAGTTTTCTCCATATAATGGACTTCAATGGGAACCAAACGGTTCAAGGTCCAAATGAGAGTTTCAGTGCAGCTTCAAAGGACTTTAAACGACACCAGACGATGAATAAGGGTCTTATCAAGCGAAACGATCGCTCATTTAAAAAAGAAATAACAAAGTTTAAGTTTTATAAGCACAAATGCTTGCCTTGCTCTGTTCTGTGTGACTCTCCTGTTCAAAATGAACAAATCTTTTTCCGAGTTCGTTCTTTGAATGAACCAAATCACTCGAAAAAAGATTTTTTCATTTTGATGAACGAGTTCGTACAGGAGAGTCACGAACGCGCATCACAGAACAGAGCAAGGCGACCATTTGGACCTTGAACCGTTTGGTTCCCATTCAAGTCCATTATATGGAGAAAAATCCTAGAATGTTTTCATCAAAAAACCTTAATTTGTTTTCGACTGAAGAAAGAATGACATGGACATCTTGGATGACATGGGGGTGAGTAAATTATCAGCAAAAGTTTTTAAAAAAGTGAACCACTCCTTTAAGTAATCCCGAATTTCTGTATACTTTCTGTAAATATGAAAACGGCCTCATTCATGTAAAACAAGCAGATTTTTTTTCTTCATTAAATCATTCTTACAAAAATTGTTTACAGAGGAATGGTTTCACGAGTTACGTAATCCAGAATTTCTCCGTAAATAGTTGGTAAAAACCATTCTTGCATAAATGACTGTCTTCAATTTACATGAACCATCATTTATGAAACGCAACAATTTATATTCGGAATGTTTGTGTTTGAAAAACCTTTCAATTATGTGCAATAAAGGAAAACGGTTTTACGAACTATGATGAACGATAACCTGAATGAATTTCTTAGTAAATTGCTCATAAACTATGTGGTATAAATAAAAAGGATTAGCACATGGTTCATCTTGTGTTGCGCATAACAGGATTAATCTCTGACGTGTGTATTTGGCTACAGTGTGTATAGATCCGAAACTCATGACGACACTGGATTAAAATGCAATACGATATCATTTCCAAACGAGTCCATCTTCTATGTGAACATCAAAAGTGAAGGTTTTAAAAAAACAGTTCGGTTTGATCTAGTGTTGTATTGCAGCATTTGCTGGTTTTCAATCTTATGTGAGACGCCACGGCTGAAGACGTTTTGTGCTATATGATTCATGCACTGTTCTACATGTCCGATCATCAGTCCAGAGGTTGTGGGTCGGCTATAGGCATGGTGTGCAGAACCTCGTCCAGGAGCTGAAGGGCCCGGTGTAAATGAATTTCGATCCAGCACGGGGTCTCCTTGATGCTCTGACGAGGGTAATCAGGACCCCAGCCCTTCACGAAACTCATGCGCAGGATGCAGAGACGCCGCAGGTCGTCCACGCCGATGCCTGCCGCCGCGGACAGACCTGAGGATAGGATGAAAATCACTTTAAGAGGTGTGTTTGTTCTAAAACAGAAATGTTAATGGAAATAAATATCATGAAAATCATTCGGTTCCTGTAGTTTTGTTTAAGAAAGGAACAAAACATCATGAAATTCATTTGGTTCCGGTATTAAAAAAAAAGAAGAAGAAAAATCATAAATTCCATCATAAATAAACGTTAATTGAAACCATGAAAATCGTTTGGTTCCAGTATTAAAACAAAGAAGAAGAAAATTTTTAAAAAATGTGTTCCATCTTAAATAAACGTTACCTGAACCGAAAGTCATGAAAATCATTTGATTCCAGTATTTTTCTCAAAAAAATATGAAAAAAAAAAAAAATCTTTTGGTTCCAGAATTTAAAAAAGGAAAAGAAAAGAAAACTGAAAATGTTATGAAAAATATTTGGTGCCAGTATTATTATTTTTAAAGAACTGTGAACAGAACCAAACGTCATGAAAACTATTTGTGTCCAGTATTTATTAAAAACAATTATATTACCCGAACCTACGGAAGCGTATTGCATTCACTTGAAAAAAAAAAAAACTACTAACGAGTTAATTATCTCAGAATTACGAGATATATTTTTCATGGAAAAACGTTTTTGCTGTTTTTCTGAATTAATGAGTTCATTATCTCAAAAAATTATGAGTAACTCATTAATTCAGAAAAACAGAGTGAAAAAAAATGTTTTTCAAGAAAAACGTATCTCATGATTCTGAGATAATTAACTTGTTAATTCAGAAAAACAGAACAAAAATAAAAACCAATTTTTTTTTAATTATCTCAGAATTACGAGATATATTTTTCATGGAAAAAATGTTTTTGCTGTTTTTCTGAATTAATGAGTTCATTATCTCAAAAAATTATGAGTAACTCATTAATTCAGAAAAACAGAGTGAAAAATAAAAACCAATTTTTTTTTAATTATACGAGATATATTTTTCATGGAAAAACGTTTTTGCTGAAAAACGTTTTTACTCATTAATTTCTGAATTAATGAGTTCATTATCTCAAAAAATTAGGAGTAACTGATTAATTCAGAAAAACAGAGTGAAAAAAAATGTTTTTCAAGAAACATTTAATTAACTTGTTAATTCAGAAAAACAGAACAAAAATAAAAACCAATTTTTTTTAATTATCTCAGAATTACGAGATATATTTTTCATGGAAAAACGTTTTTGCTGTTTTCTGAATTAATGAGTTCATTATCTCAAGAAATTATGAGTAACTCATTAATTCAGAAAAACAGAGTGAAAAAAATGTTTTTTAAGAAAAACGTATCTCATAATTCTGTGATAATTAACTTGTTAATTCAGAAAAACAGAACAAAAATAAAAACCAATTTTTTTTCATTATCTCAGAATTACGAGATATATTTTTCATGGAAAAACGCTTTTGCTGAAAAACGTTTTTACTCATTAATTTCTGAATTAATGAGTTCATTATCTAAAAAAATTAGGAGTAACTGATTAATTCAGAAAAACAGAGTGAAAAAAAATGTTTTTCAAGAAACATTTAATTAACTTGTTAATTCAGAAAAACAGAACAAAAATAAAAACCAATTTTTTTTTAATTATCTCAGAATTACGAGATATATTTTTCATGGAAAAAATGTTTTTGCTGTTTTTCTGAATTAATGAGTTCATTATCTCAAGAAATTATGAGTAACTCATTAATTCAGAAAAACAGAGTGAAAAAAAATGTTTTTCAAGAAAAACGTATCTCATGATTCTGAGATAATTAACTTGTTAATTCAGAAAAACAGAACAAAAATAAAAACCAATTTTTTTTTAATTATACGAGATATATTTTTCATGGAAAAACGTTTTTGCTGAAAAACGTTTTTACTCATTAATTTCTGAATTAATGAGTTCATTATCTCAAAAAATTAGGAGTAACTGATTAATTCAGAAAAACAGAATGAAAAAAATGTTTTTCAAGAAAAACGTATCTCATAATTCTGAGATAATTAACTTGTTAATTCAGAAAAACAAAACAACAATAAAAACCAAAAGAGGACAGTAACCCCGACTACTCGGCTTCCTCCACAGAACAAGAGCCTGCTAGCTTAGCTTCCAAAACAAGATGGCCGACACTATGTGTTCATTCTGTGAATGAGATCGCCCTCTATGGGCGGGTTGAGGACATGTGGGACAGACCCGACCACTGACTGTAGTCTTTAGCTTCTGGACAAAAAAAATCCTCCGATGATGCAAAATGACAAAAAAATAAAATTTCCAGACAAAAAATACATAAATCTCTCGTCTCAGGGGGATATGAGTGTGGAAAGCACGGTAATTTGAACATACTCCAGGTTTCCTACTAATGCAAAGCTTAATGCTAAATCCTGAAGTATCCCTTTAGTAGTGTCAGAAAACAGATGTAGCCTCACTGATAGCAGGGGCGATGCCACCCACAGAGCCCGGTCCCGGGATGTTCCCCGCCACCGCAGCCGCCTGCGCAGACGCTGCAGCCTGAGCCGTCGCTGCCTGCTGCTGCATCTGCCGGTGACACTGACGCAAGTCAAACACCTGCACACACACACACACACACACACACACAACAGAGGCTTTCAGCACTGGATGAACGTGTTATGCATCCCGTAGTCCTGCTGACCTACATTAGATGGACATGACATCAAATAGGAAGCACACTTGTTAGTTACACAGCACTGAAACGACAAATACTACGAAAAAAGAGTGATTTTTTAAATGTGGTGCATAAATTCATAGAGAAATATTGCGATAAATGCTGCTGTTGACTAGGTTTTGACTTTTTTCTAATTTTATTAGTTGCATTTAGTGTCCTTGTTTTACTTGGGGGTCAGATAAACATTGATAATTGTAAACATAATAGTTGAATATTTCATAATTATTTGTTATTATAAATATTCTGATAATAAAACATGAATATTATCATTTAATATTATTACTATTCTGATTGAAAACAAATAATGATGTAATATTAAGATTTAATATTATAATGGTAAACATAATATTTAATATAACTTTTTTTAATATTACTAACAGTACACAAAAATATAATTTAATATTATGTAATATTATAAAAATTCTTATGATTACTAATATTATTTAATATTACTATTATTGACAACATTTAATATTACAAACAGTACACAAATAATTTGATTTGATATTATTACGTAATATAAATATTCTGGTAGTAAACAAATATGTTTTGCCATTATTTAATACTACTAGTTTTCTAATTGTAAACATAAATATGATCTAATATTATTTGTTGTTTAATATTACTAACAGTAAGCAGAAAATATGATTTCATGTGTATTATTAATATTCTTATAGCAAAACATAATTATTTAATATTATTACTTACTAATTTATAATCTGTAAAAAATATTTAATAAAATAAATATTATAAACAAATATTGTGATTAAATATTGTATAATACAGTCATAAAACATTTCAAAATTTAACTTCAAAGTGAACTATCCCTTTAAGAGCATGTGATTTCAGACACAGCACAAGTCCCTTCTACTTGAATGGGGAAATCCTGAAATCTCGAACTCACAATTAAATGGCGAATTTGAAACCAGCAATAAACTGTCATAAAACTCAGTCCCTCCAGGATTTCACGATTTTTTTTTGTGATTTTTGTGATCAAAATGACTGATTTTGTGGTGGTAATTTCCTAAAATTTGTGAAAAAATTAGCGATTTATATATAACATTTACCATAATAGTATTCAGTCCTTCCAGAAAAACGCTGAGTTTTTTTGTGATTGTTGCGGGCAAAAATTGATTGATTATGCGGCCCGTTTTCTTTAAAAATGCGATGGAATATGTGGGATATTTATGCAATTTTATGAGATGAAATTGCAGGAATTTGCAAAAATTTAGGGAACTTGCAAAAATTGCGGTTTGATGAAAAAGAGAAAAAAAGTGATTCCCCCAACATCCTGTTAATATAAGAGTCATTTCTTATTACTTCCTTTGATAAACAAGCATACTACATCATAGAAAGTGCTGGGAATATTTAATTTCTCATCTTGTTTTAATTCAGACTGTAAGAGTGTAAATAAGGTGTGGCCCCTTTAAGAGCTGCGCGCTCCTGTGTGGTGTGCGCCTCGAACACCCCATGTGTGCGGGTAATTTCTGTTTGATGCTACTTCTTTTATCTTATGTTGTTTATTAAGTAACGACGTGACGGTAGAACGTGTGACAGACAGTTATACGAGTTCGATTTGTGAGATGTCAATCGCCTCCGTGAGTCTGTCTGGCATCGCGTAATTGCGTCACTTCATAACGTTCCCATGGAAACAGGGGGAAATGGCTGCCCTTGTGTGAAGCAAACGCAACATTTTTCAACTTTCTGCTAAGATACATGTGACTTTTTTTGCAACGAAAATGCGAGGATTATGAAATTATGCAAACCCCGCATATTTTGCACGGAAATCGTCAATTTATGCGGCGAAAGTGCGGCGTATTTGAAAAAATGCGGTCCCCGCATAGATATGCGGACTTTGGCTGATTTTGCATTGAATTCAGCGATCGCATAATCGCGTTTTTCTGGAGGGACTGAAAACTGTTGTTTCTTATAAGTAATATGAGTGCACATCTTTGTGTATCTGAAGTCTTTGCTAACTATTAGCATGGCGACCTCTAAAAATAAGTGTAGCTTGACTTGAGTTTGTCTACTTTAAATCAAGAGTAGCCTCCTCACACTGCCATACTCACACATCATAGTATTTCCATGCTAATTTAAAACAATTAGCATGGTGCTAATTGAGTTTATTGGTGAAAACTAAATATCAGGTGACGTGGTTGTGTTACCTTGATGTAGGCACTGGGGTAGATTTTGTGGACGGCGTCACCCGGAGCTCGTCCAGCCTCGCGGTCCAGATAATAACTCTGCACAAACACTGCGTGATCACTGAGGCAGCGCACCCACACGTCACCCTCTCCTTTACACTCCAGCTGGACACCTTTACCGATATGAAGCCTGGAGGAGACACACACACACAGAGAAGAACAGAGAGAGCTTGACTTGTCTGCAGTTACAGAAAGGAGAATCATGGGTAGATCTGAAACACATAAACCAGAGCTGTAGGACTGGTTCACGCTGAATCTAGGTCATCATTAGCCGCGTTTCCACTGCCGGGCCAGGGCCGGGCCGTGCTAGTGCGTGCCAGGGCCAGTCGCGTTTCCACTGTCACTTCCGGGGCTTGATCGGGGCTTCCTCAGGGCCAACGGCCAGGATTTCTGGCCCGTCGAATACCTTGGGCCAGAGGGGGCCAGCTCGGGCTAGAGGCGTGCTCAAGGTAAAAGGCGGAGTTTATCGGTGGTATGGAACGTTATGATCTGAAGCAAGATGCACATAGGGATGTCCATGTTTAACCGATTAACCGTTTAAAATTGCATAACATTTTAATTTGAACGTATAGGCCTATGCCAAATGCTGGGCAACAATATATAGGCTAGCTATATCGACGAATTTTCAGACATTTGTTTGATTTTTTTTGCCCCTTAAACATTTAAAATATTTGACAAATTAATATGAAAAAAATATATATTTTACTGGTTTTCTGAGGCCAAATTAGAACCTGGAAATGATATTTTCCCCGCAGTGCTGAATGAGAAGAGACGTAACCACAGCCTACAGAAAGGGGATTTATTGGTGATTTATAGGCTATAATAAATGTGTCTGATAATAAAATAATATAAAATAACGAGGCATTAATTGTTTATTAATAAACTATTGTTTTCTAAATGATTTTCGGCTAAAAACATATCTCCATCTCCGGATGCACATTTAGAGAGAAATTAAGCAAACATAGAAGATAGTGGCTTTCGATTCGAATTTGTTCGTTTTAAATTGGACATTTAAAGCTTTAATCTACAAAGGATATAACCCCTGTAGACTAAAGTTTTAAATGTCCAAATTAAAACGAACAAATTCGAATGCGGTGGCTGTTTCAGGTCTCGCGCTTCAGTTCACGGAGATCATGAAGCGCGCCTTGATTAATTGTTAAAGCACAACGTTTTCTTGTTATAAATAAATGTATTTGCGAATAATGTATTATTATTTTCTGTATGACCAGAAATTAAAGAGTATTTTAAGTTGTTTCCACTAAAAGAAATGCAATGAAACTGTTCACATGGGCGTCTCGCAGCCATCAGTGCGTGCTCCACACACACTGATATGCGCTGATATTTGTCAAAAATATTGTGTTTATTTGTGCTCTGTTCCTTTTTTGGATAAAGGCGTCTTCTACATATGCAGCCTAATAAAATGTTACAATAATGATGATGATGGTTATTATTATTATTATTTGCAGACACGGAGTTTTTGTGAAATGGACGTTTTGCTTATTTTCAATTGGCAATTTCAGTTTGAAGGGTGATGAAAATGCGGCTTTAACTGCTCCGTACTTGCTGCGTTTTATTTCTATAAATTAATTTCGTTTCAAATGGGGTCCAATCAGTTATTAAAGGTGTTAAAAATTTACTCTGTATCTCGAGGTTGCGGCGCGCACACTATGCACCGAGTATTAACCGATGGGCCTCGGTTAACGATTAATGAATAACTTGAAAACGTGCCTGCAGCCCTACTTGTTATATCGCGCAAAAAATCGCTGCTTGAAATGGAGAATCGCCTGTACTGGTCTCGGGACACTATTGCAGCCACTACGGCAGGTGAGTTAATGCTATCTTCCTAATTTAAAAAATAAATTAATTCATAATACCCGCTGAAATGGGTTGGGTTTTATGACGTTTGATCCTGAAAGGCGTGTTAGGGGTGGGGTCTGGGGCAGCGCTGTGGGGCTACTGGCCCGGCAGTGGAAACGCAAGCCCGGTGCTTGAGGCCCGAGGCCACTAGCTCGGCCCGGCTCGCTGTTAGCTCTGGCCCAGCCCTAGCCCGGCAGTGGAAACGCGGCTATTCTGTTCTAATTTAAATAAAAATATCAGGGCTGTGCAAAAATTAATTGCGATTAATCGCATCCAAAATAAAAGTCTGTGTTTACATAATATATTTGTGTGTGCTGTATATAATTATTTTGTATATACAGTATAAATACCTATGCATGCATGTATATATTTAAGAATTATTTGCACTTAAATTCTGTGTATATATATATAAATACATAATCTATATTATATAAATATAAATATTTAATATATGAATAACACATTTTCTTAAATATATACATGCATGTGTGCGTATTTATATATACAAAATAATTAGATACAGCACACACAAATATATTATGTAAACACAGACTTTTATTTTGGATGCGATTAATCGCAATTTATTTTTGCACAGCCCTAAAAAATATCCGTATCACAACCATATTTTATGTTTAAAGTAGGGATGCACCGAAAATTAAACTCTGGGCTGAAAGAAACAGAAGATTCTCGATGCGCTTGACTGAAAACCGAAAATGCTTTTTACATTTTATTTACTTATTATTTCAAATTAGAAATAATTTGGATGCAATTTGGATGCGATTAATCACATCCAAAATAAAAGTTTGTGTTTACATAATATATGTGGGTGCGCTGTGTATTATTATTTTATATATATATATATATATATAAATACACACACATGCTTGTATATATATTTAAGAAATATTTTCATGTACAGTATATAGATTTCTATATAATTTATATTATATATAAATATACATTTTATATAAATAATATATTTTTCTTAAAAATACATGCATGTGTGTGTATTTATATATATATCGAAAATAATTATACACAGTGCACCCACATATATTATGTAAACACAAACTTTTATTTTGGATGCGATTAATCGTTTGACAGCCCTGTTTATTTATTTATTTTCATCATATTTATTTTGTTCATTAGTTAACCCCTGCACTCGTGATCCAATTGTAAACTGATGTATGTAAAGCAATACCGGGCTCTCTCGATGGCCTCGGTGCGATGGACGTTACTCAGCTGGCCGAGACAGAAGCAATCTCCTCCTGAAGGGTCCACATAACCGTCCACTGTCACGACGGGACAGTTGGAGGGCACCTTAAACGTCTCGCCCACCTGAATGTCCATCTCAAAGTATGCAATCGAGCACCAGTAATCTGGAGCTGAGAGAAAGACAACGAGAAACAGCACGGTTTAATATGAGTCCTGAATTATGCATATTCAAAATACTATAAATCTTAAACCATGGCTGCTTAATATTTTGATCACTGACGATGGGAAAGTAAATACACTGCTGTGTGTGAGAGGACATTACGGTAGCAATACTACAGTTTTTCCGTAGCTCAACTAAAGATGAGAGGCACTAGTGATGATAAGGTGATGAAGTAATGGTAAAACCTCTGTACTGCAAGGGGTTGTGGCAGAGACGTTGGAACTATTTTGTGAGAGGGGGGGCGGGATTCCCGGTGTGTGGGGGATTCCGACAGGGGGGGCTGTCGGAATTACGCACCGTTTCAAAATATTGGTATTAAATCCATTTTCTGAGAATTTATCAGTCAACTTGTTGATTAAAACGATTGATTAAAATGAAATACAATTTATAAAAACGAAATTCTTTTAAAAAACATAATAAGTCAGAATTACTGTGGGCTATGTCTGACCCATTCCAAATGTTTTCCGATATGGTGACTCTACTGATGGACCGCTCCTCGATCCATCAGTGCTTGAGTCACCATATATCGGAAAATAAAACGTTTTAAACATGAATAAAACATATCCTGTTACGCAGAGCATTAATTTAGTTCGTTTAAATAAGAGATCTAGCGCTAAAATGTTTTGTTTTTGAAATCAAGAGGAACGCTTGTTGCCGCTGCTGTCAGTTGTAGGCTATGTTCTCTGTGGCGCGCAGTCTTCACTCGGACGCGCACTTTAATCGCCTTTACGTCGGAGACTCTATTCATTCCGGTAAAATCACAAAATAAATGTGTCCTATGCTTGATATTGACTGTAACCACAGATGGACATATTCTGTTTTGATGAGAGAGAAAAAAAACTGTACCTAGGGCGGATTAGAACCGTAACCTCTGGCACTCTGGGCAAAAGAGCTACCACTAGACCATTAAAACGGTCAAATGAAGTCTGGCGGATCGACGTATTTATTTATGGGTTGAATAGAAAGGCTGCACAGTTTGACAAGTTTGTACCCAGCACTTCCGAATGTGTCTCTGTGCCCAGCAAATTTCAAACTGACGCCCGTGCTTAGGTGAATTTATGGGTTGTGGGTAATATGAGCCCATAATTCATCTATGGATACACACTTTTTATCCATACATACCACAAGTACAAAGGAATTATTTGAATTAGCTTTTATATTTACATTTTTTGTCATTTCTTTTAGTTCTTAGAATATTTTGTTTTACTTCATTGTTATTTTAGTTTTAGCTATAGTTCAGTTGTATGTATTTTATGTCTTGGTGTTTTCCTGCAAAACTTAAATTAGAAATTTTTCCTGCAATTTGTTTTTCATCTAATATTTCTATTTAGTTTTATTTAATTTGTATTTCAATTAACAAAATAAGTTTTCAATACTTTAAGTTTAAGTAGTTTAAGTTAAAGGAGTAGTTCACTTTTAAAAAAACTTTTGCTGATAATTTACTCACCCCCATGTCAACCAAGATGTCCACGTCTTTCTTTCTTCAGTCGAAAAGAAATTAAGGTTTTTGATGAAAACATTCCAGTATTTTCTCCATATAATGGACTTCAATGGGAACCAAACTGTTCAAGGTCCAAAAGACAGTTTCAGTGCAAACTGTTCAAAGGGCTTAAAACGATTCCAGCCGATGATGAATAAGGGTCTTGTCTAGTGAAACAATCGCTCATTTAAAAAAAAAAAAAAAAAAAACGTTCATTTTGATGAACGAGCTCAAACAGGAGAGTCACACACAACAGAGCAAGGCAAGCATTTGAACTTATAAAAGAACTTTGTTATTTATTTTTTAAATGAGCGTTCGTTTCGCTCGATAAGACCCTTATTCATCGCCTGGTGTCGTTTAAAGCCCTTTGAAGCTGCACTGAAACTCTCATTTGGACCTTGAACCGTTTGGTTCCCATTGAAGTCCATTATATGGAGAAATCCTAGAATGTTTTCATCAAAAACCTTCATTTCTTTTCGACTGAAGAAAGAAAGACATGGACATCTTGGATGACATGGGGGTGAGTAAATTATCAGCAAAAGTTTTTTTTAAAAGTGAACTAATCCTTTAACGATAATAACCCTGTCTGGGACAGAATAATCCTTATCTCACACCCAGTCCAGTTTCTATAGTTTGTGAATCGGAGAGCAGCCTGTTATATTGCTTACTTGGATGTGTGGATATGGGCGGTTGGAACGCCAGCTCATTGTGGACTGACCCTGAGAAAGACAGAAAAAAGAAAAACATTTAGGGTGCTTTACACAGCCAGTTTAGTTCGAAACAGGACGTGGTTTGCATGAAAAATTGGTCATGTGAACAATGTTGGTCATTTCGCACTGGTGTACTGAACCCGAGACGACCTGAAGGAGGTGATCGGATAGACATTTGTAATGGTGTCTGAATACATAGTAGAGTCAGAGAATGTCTAATATGGGCAGTGGTGGAATGTAACGAAGTACAAATACTTTGTTAATTTACTTAAGTACATTTTTCACGTATCTTTACTTTACTTAAGTAGAATAAATAGTGCCTACTTTTTACTTTTACTTCGTTACATTTTGCAGCAATTATTATACTTTCTACTCCACTACATTTCTACAACTTCTGTTACATTTTCATTACATTTTCTGATCAGTTTTTCCCCTGCAAAAAACGTAATCTGACCATCCGTTCGTTGCACGTTTGTCTCACCGGTGACGTTTGGTTGCCATAGATACATCAACCCGTCACACTAAATGCGTCTCGGACGCAGTGTGTTTATTGTGCAATTTATTCGCGAAAATGTGTTTTTACGTGCATAGGAAACGCACCGTGTGTAATATACGTTTGGTTAGGATTATGGCAAGCCAAGAGGTTCAGAATTACACCATAAATGAATCGCGTTTACTGCCAAACATAGTTATTAACATATAGTAAGGATAAGCATGATGTGTAAATTGCCTAATTGCAAGCTTTTTTCAGAAATGGTGACAACTATTTTTTTTCCATAATTATTGAACATCATTATAGGAGTATTAGGTTGAATGAGTTAGAATTAAATGTTTTATTAAATCCTTAGAAAATAGACATTAAGAGAATAAATTTTATATGCAAGTACTTTTACTTTTAATACTTAAAGTACATTTAAAATCAGGTACTTTTTACTTTTTACTTAAGTATGGTTGCCATTGTGTTACTTCTACTTTTACTAAAGTAAATATTTATCTGGTTATTTGTACTTTTACTTAAGTACTGAGATTCAGTACTTCCTCCACCACTGAATATGGGGAGAACTTTCACTCTCGGTAAACTTCCGGTTCTGAACTGGTTGCAGTTCCACTCTGGTTCCATATGAGGGCGCTCACAGGACGAGTGCAGAATGAATGGAGGTCTATGGCGATATACCCCTCAAAATCCACTTTTCTCAGGATATCATTTTTTGCCTAGTAATTTGAATGTTGTTTTTGAAAGGAGATGCAAAGAAATGACAGATTAATGGGTGTTAGATTTTTTAGAGTTTCACTTATTTGGTTTAAAAAGTATTTTAAAAAGTCAATGATGTCATACACATTGTACGACCAGAGATACTGCTTTACGGCAATCCTTCAGTCACTTTGGTACGTTCTTTTATCTCGAGGCATCGACAACACAGCTGACACAGGTAAATACACGTGCTAGAATAGTTAAGTCCGCTTTAACATTCTGGTCCCGGTATCTCTGGTCGTAGTCAGTCCTTCACTGACCAATCAGCGTCCGTTAGCAGAATGCTAGCGTGTTATGGGCTACAATCGTAAGAAATCGAAAGGACATAAGTACTCATTCATTCAACTTTCGACCTATAACTCATGTTGAACTTGCAAAACCGACATTCAAATCTGAGATTTCTCAACGTCAATCGGGTCAAAGAGACTAATTTAGCCGTCTAGCTCCATAGACTCCCATTCATTCTGCACTCGGATGATCGCCCCCCAGTGGAACTCTGGTGGAACTACAACCAAAATTCGGTACAATGACTAAATAGGGAGTGGCCAGGCTTTCCGTAGACGTGTACAGCTGATCTATGCTCAACGGCTAGAGAATGCCCATAATGCATTGTGAGGGTCAAATTCCGAATAAATTCCTGTCTGAATGGTGAATCAGCCATAAATGTATTATATTGCAGATTTCATTAATGTTCAATAATTTAATGTACAACATAATTCAAGAAAACTGTGTCTTATTTGAAGGGGAATATAAGAAGGCCAAATCCTGACTGGACGGGAGGATCTGGGGATGGAGGAGGGTAACACTCCTGAGCAACACGATCAGCTGAATGGACCTTATATATAATGGGGATGCAGTGATAGGCGTCGTATGGATGAGCTGAGAGTCAGCTGATGCGAGCTTGACTGACTCAACCTGCCAGAACTGATGCTATGCTTGATTTGTGCTGATGTAAGATTTGATAGAATCGAGCGACCAACTAGACCAATGCTGCGGGGCGCAGTTATTAAGAGCAAAGCAGACCGTGATGTATTTAGTCACTCACAGTACTGGCCCGTGTGAGGCAGGGGAGGGTGATGCTGCAGGTGCCCGTTCTGATGGGGGATGCTGGGAGGGAAACTAGTTCCTCTGGGCCATGAGCTGGGGGCATCTAATGGAGGAAAACACAGATTTCATCCGGTCATAGAATATCATTACACATGGCATTTCTCAATGCTTTTTTGTTGTAGAATAAGAATGAACATAAGAGACTTCTTTCAAACACACACACACACACATATATATATATATTAGTGCTGTCAAACGATTAAAATATTTAATCGCGATTAATCGCATTAATGTCATAGTTAACTCGCGATTAATCGCACATTTTTATCTATTCTAAATGTCTCTTGATTTCTTTTTGTTGCATTATTTTTTTTTCTCATTTTAATGCTCTTATCAACATGGAAAAGTGGAAAAATTATTATTGAAAATAACATTGGAATAGTGTTCAATTTCACACTAACATATACAAATAATCTCTCACACAATGTAACACTGTCCATCAATAAAAGGGTGAAAGAAATACTGACGAGGTCCTGATATTGACGAGGGGGCGGAGAATTCGCATCATCTCTGTGTGTGTGTTTGCTTGGCCATCATCAAGTAGTGTGTGTTTCAGACTGGACGTGCTGCGATGATGATCGCTCAGTTCACAACGACAAAACACAGATCACTTGGTCTCGTCAATGGGACAATATGGCAACTTTTTAAAAGTAAACTTTCCAGTCAGAATCTTCTTAGGGCATCCATTTCGGCGTCTCGCGCTCGTCATCCACTCAAAAGTAACGTTACTATTTGGCCGGCTCGCAAGCCGAAACGAGTGTGTGCGGCACAAAACGTCCTCGCGCTGCGCTCTGAAACGCATTCATTTCAATGGCTTGCGCCGCGCGAGGACGTTTTGTTGCTTCTTTAACCAAAGCGCAAGCGGATCAAGACCGTAAACAAAACAACAGGCACGCCGCAAACACATGTTACTTTCGGCTTGGGAGCCGGCTTTGAGTGGATGACGAGCGCAAGACGCCGAAATGGATCAGGACGCATGCAAGCATGGGAAAAAACTACAAAGTTTGCTAGGACAAAAAGACCGTTAATCGCGCGATAAAAAAATTAATTCGCGTTAACGCCGTTAATAACGCGTTAAACTGACAGCCCTAATATATATATATATTAGGGGTGGCACGGTTCACAAAACCCACGGTTCAGTTTGTATCACGGTTTTAGGGTCACGGTTTTCGGTTCTGTACGGTTCTTGTTATTTTTTCTTTTAATCTTTAACACTCCAGAAATGTACTTCAGCATGTGATATATAGCTTAATTATCCACACTTTAGGATACAGTATTAAAAAAATATATATTATATTCATGCAATCATGCACAAACTGAATTTGACTCTTTGACTTTAAGCACATTTTGGGACTATCTCAGAGGAAAGCTAGGTGAGATTTAGATACAGCAAGAGAGAAGAAATTGACATGCTTTTTGTTTATTTGGCAAAAAAAAGGAGAATGTGTATCACTATCTCTACAAGAACTTGTGCATTTTTATCACATAAATCTTATTTACACAAAGAAATTAACTTTCATGTATCAACTGCTAACTTTTGTAGCTCTTACCAAAATTCTATTTTTAAAATGAAAAAGAGAGGAACTCTTAAAACACTGTCTTTTAAATGTCAATATACATGAAACCTCATTGCCTATAGATAATTAAGCTATAGCAATAGCAAAGGCCATAAACATAAAGTGAAATTGAAATTCAACCTCAACACAAAAACTGTATCAACAATGCTTCTATTCCCAAAATGTGAGGGTACTTTTTTCCACTTAAAATTAAAGTGCAGGGTTTGGAAACGTATGACTGAAGCTCTTATCTATACATAAAGTGCCACTGTAGTTAAATTAAAATATCATAACATGAAATCCAAAATGTTCCCACACACCGGACTTATACCATAGACTTATACGACGCTGGCGCATCCTCCAACTCCCTCATCTCTCCCACTTGCCATTTCTCCGCGTGCCGTGACCTGCAGCGCTCCATACTCCACTTTTACTGGCTTGTTTATTAACTTGAACCGGCGCTGCACAGAGCGATCGGTAATGACATCAAATACCGCGAAAGTGATGAATGCATACGGAGCCGACTCGCGCTAGATTGATGTTATTCACCGATCGCTCTGTGCAGCGCCGGTCCAAGTCGAACAAGTTTATGTCACGCGAAAAGAAAACACACGTCACATACGGGCACGAGGTTACATTGCGCATGCGTCGAACCGTGAGATGCACACGCGCTCCGAACCGAGACAAGCGAACCGAACGGTTCGGGTGTTTTTTCATGTACCGTGCCACCCCTAATATATAAATATATATATAAATTTCAATTACATTGCACCATTTGACAGTTGAAATATAACTATATAACAAGATGGATGAAGTGGTGAATGACATGTACACAGGCAACGCATTCAGTCTCCAGTGGCCACTGGTTGCACTAAAGGATGAAATAACGTCTTACTGGGTGGTCCGGCAGCCATACTGGTGAATGCAGAAGTGGAGGCGGAGCTTGTGGAGTCAGCTGGGGGCAGGAGGGCGGGGCTGTTGAAAGCGTCGGGTGGAGCAGAGGAGGCGCCAGTGTGTTGGATGGTTTGAATACTATGACCTCCATCAGCCGATGAATGTGACGGCTGACCCTCAAACTCGTCCTTCACCATGAGCTCTCCACTCGGACCTACACATCAACGTGAAAAACGGCGTATTCACTAATCTGCAATGGATCATACACAGCTATTCGGTCATTAACCCAAAATAAATACCATTGGGAATACCAAAATATATATTATCCTGCTTATTTCACAGCTACTTAGAAAATAAAGTATAAATGGACATGAAATATTGATTTGAGTTTAAATTATTTAACTACGCCAGAAGAAATGGAGTGTGGAGTGATATGAGAAAGACTGGGGTTGGTTTCATTTTTTTAAAACTGAGGAAGAAAGTCTCTAATGCTCAACATTTGATAGTAAAAACTGTAATATTGTGAAATATTATTGCAATTTAATTTGAATATATTATTATCAATGTTGAAAATTGCTGCTTAATATTTTTGTGGAAACCATTTTTTCAGGATTTTGATAAAGAGAAAGTTCAAAAGAACAGTATTGAGACTTTTTTTTGGTAACATTACAAATGTCTTTCAGGAAAAAAAAACGTTTGAATGGTAGCGTTTAATTACACAGTTTAATATTATTTTAATTTTATATATGGATATTTTACATACATACAAAAGAAATACATATATATATTTATATTAGGGCTGTCAAACGATTAATCGCGATTAATCGCATCCAAAATAAAAGTTTGTGTTTACATAATATATGTGGGCACACTGTGTATAATTATTTGTATATATAAATACACACACGTGCATGTATATATAAGAAAAAAATATAAATTATATATAAAATTGATATTTATATATATATAATATAAATTATATATAAATCTATGTACAGTATATACATGAAAATATTTCTTAAATATATACAAGCATGTGTGTGTATTTATATATAATAATTATACACAGTGCATCCACATATATTATGTAGACAAAAACTTTTATTTTGGATGCGATTAATCGCAATTAATCGTTTGACAGCCCTAATATATACATACCATAATACAGGGTATATGCATATAGTAGTCCATAAAAGAGCAACTTTACCTGGGCCACCCAGAGTCAGGACAGACAGATCTGAAAATGAAAATTAAGACAGAAAGAGACCATATATTATTAGAAATAATAAGAATATGACATGAAACAATTTTTTTACCATGACAAAGTTTCAAATCACAGCAAGACAACAGAAAATAATTCACCGATGCTTGGAGACACGACCCTCTCATAGTGATACGGGTTCACACACACATTGTCGCATTTCAGGTCAAAGGCAAACTGGCAGTACTTCACATGCTTCAGCTCGTTCTTGTGCAGATCGGGCCATCGCCACAGCCGTGTGTATATGACATGAGGAAACCCTTTACGACCGGCCACCTGAAGATAAGAAATAGGACAGAGTCTCGTACATGTAACTTCCTTTTCTAACTTAAGATGGTGTATTTTCCCGAGAAACAGACCTGCAGTCTCCCGTCTAGCGTGCGCTGTATAGTCACACATTTACTGGGATGAGCTCCGTTCGTCGTGATGGCAGTGATCAGAGAGTCTAACTCATCTTTCTTCTCTTTCAGCTTCTTCACCAAACTTTCTATCGCTCGTTTGGCGAACGTCTCGCTCTCTCCTCCCTGTCGATGGCACATGAGACTGTGGACGATGCTCAGACAGGCATCATTACTGGTGGGTGTGCTGGAGATGGACATGCTGCTGGAATACACTCGAACACAACTCAACGTCCTTCAAACCTCTCCAGCTCCTGTCTTCACACCTTGATGTTGAGACGTGATCCACACTCTCCTAAAAAACACGGAGAGACTGTAAGGACGACTTATTCACCATTAAACAAAAACTGACCATACATTGTTGTTGTTGTTTTTTTTAATTTTTTATGTGCCCTTGTAATCTTTAATCAAAATATCTTTCCCTCCCTCTGGATGTGATGACCTGTCACTCACGTCAATAGTAAATGTCAACGATTCAACCAATTCCTGATTGGAAAAGTCCCACCCTACATTTGCTCTAGTTCATTTAGCGGTTTCCCTTGGACATAAGTCAAAATAGGGAAGAAAATATGATTGCAGTCTCTGTTTAATGCCAACTAAACTATTTTTACACTGAGCTGTATAAAATAAACATATAATTATTTGTCATGACATGTATATATGAAGAGTTCAGATGCAAAAGCCTCTAAATGCCATTTGAAATTTTCTTCTTTGATGATGATTTTTATCAAACTTGTATATTTAAGTTCAGTAATTCACTGAACTTAAAAATACAAGCTTGATAAAAATGATCATTTTAGAAGAAAATATTAAATTGCACTTAGAGGCTTTTGCATCTGAACTCTTCATATATATATATATATATATATATATATATATATATATATATGTATGTATATTGTGTATATGTACATACAATGTATACATGCATATATATATAGCCTATATATATGCATGCAAACACACACACATGCGCTCAATATACAAAATGATACTGATAAATCAGCTAAATTAACATTTATGTTTTCTGTCAAACACAGTGATGAACTCATACTGATCTATTAATACATTCTAAACTCTTAAAAAGCACATCATTACACGTAATTATTGTAACAGTCAAATATGTGAACGTGAATAATAATAAATCACAGTTCACTATGACAATACAACTGATCTCACTGTGAAGCTAACGAGCTAACTGGCTAACAGATACTCCTTAAATGTGTGGGGAATGGACAAATAAAGTATCTACACGAGTGCTATAGTAAAATGTTGGGTAGATAGCCTATTAAAAATAAAATAAGAGAACATAAACAGAAACACTTACGATTCATGGAGCAACGACAGGGACATTGTCTCTACGTAAGCTCGGTGATGTCATCATCGCTCAAGTGACGAGCGTAAGTAGACCCCGCCCACACAGATGCTCTTCTGCCTTCATGACTGTGAAAACTAGTGTAAAACTGCTGGCTTAATATATTACATAGACAAGACAATACTTAATCTTGCCAAACTCTACTTGGTTGAACTAAAGGTTCTAACAACACTAAGTTCTTAATAGCATACAGTCCTACTTTCTTCAGTACATATTATAGTATACTGTACTCAGTACGCACTTTTTCTGTATGCACAGAACTGAGACCTGCTACATATGCACACTGCTTGTTTTACTCAGTTTTTGACCCAACTAAATTATGCGACAAATTCAGAGGCCCAAAATGGAGTAAAATATGCAATTTGGAGCAAATGTTGTTATTTATATGTCCAAAAAAGTAACATGAGGTAGCTTTTAATGTAAACCAATGAGATCTTTATAACAGTACAGCATATACTTACATTAAATGCATAGAAATACAGTATCAGTCGTCACTCTATAACTACCTTAGCTTAGTTTAATGATCAAAGCGGTTTAGTTTTTTAGTTGTGAGGGCAAACCATAATACAATGATTGAGAGATGAGCTAATAAACATTCCTCAAAAGCCTGATGATCATATTTGATATTCACATTCTAACATGCCTTTCCTAAAAAATGATGTATGGGTGATCAAGTAAGTAAGATCAAGTTGCTTCAGTCCAAGTGTTCAATATAAAGTCTTACGTTTGCTTTATAAAAATCATAACGTATTTCACAGTAAAAGGACAAGTTGAACACTTTTAAAATTACACTAAAATGCCTTTTTCGTGCTTTAAAAAACCGATAAACTATCAATCAGCCAATAGAAAGCATTTAGTAAATTGTGTACAACAGATTTATAGGCCTTAGACGCTCATGTATCAAACATGATATAGTAGGCGTTAAAGGGTTAATATCATCATCATACCCACAGAGCACAAAAACAGCTCATGCATGTCATTTTAATACAGTAGTCAACAATTGAAGTGGTTCAAAAGTTGTCCTAAGACAAGAAAATTCATGTATAAATTTAATGAAAGGTTTTGATCCACTTTAAATGTCGACTCCTGTATTTCAGGCCGAATAAAGTCAAGTGAAGACTTACCAACCTCAGGCCACTGGTCAACAGTCTCTGCTTTAGAAAATGAAATGATTAGCAATGATTAAACATGTTTAAATTAGAGCCAGACCGATATATCGGCATTTTCCATAATATCGGTATCGGCAGTTATAATGGCCGATAAATGAATATTTAAAAAATAAAATAAAAATGGACGAAACACGCTTCAATCATCTTTCCTTGGCCTGTTATATTGAAAATGTATGTTTTACAATGTTATCTATTGCTAAATTATGGCTCATCATAGACTAGCTAATCACAAAGCTAGCTAATCATCAGTGGAAGACCGCTAACGTTAACATTAATAAGCTTGGAAACCACAATGAACTTTTTCTGCCCAAATAAAGTAATGATTACTGTATTTATAACTAGCATATGTCTAGTTACACTCCCTGCATTGTAAAATGTAAGTTATACTTGCGAGGAGTGAACATTTAGACATAGAGAAAAAGTTTCAAACGTATCTTGTGCCGAAAAGTTAGCTTTTCTTTTACACGTGTGTGAAATCCAACAATATTTAATAAAAAAAAAAAATATCGGCCGATATATCGGATTTTAAAACACAAAAATTTGTATCGTTATCGGCCTTCAAAATCCTTTATCGGTCGGGCTCTAGTTTAAATCACCCCTGCTCATATTAAACTGCACGCATACACTCATACGCATTCATGAATTCACCTCTGAATCAACGAGAGTGGAAAAATGACAGGCTTTATTAAAACTTAATTTCCTTATACTAAAATATAACCACTGGGAATTGCATCCGGAGTAACTAGCGCCTCAGATTCTTCTTGAGTGCAACCGGCAGCGTGAGAAAGTCTTCAGCGAGAATGACCTCAGTGCTCGACCCCTGCAGCACGAACTCAGCTTGTCTCTTCAGCTCCGTCACGTCGTCGTCTCCGTCCCGCCGCAGCGCTTGGGGTTTGTAGCGTTGACTGAAGTGGTGGAGAACGAGTGTGTGTGCCCCGCACGCGAGCGCCACCGCGGCAGCCATACTGGGAGTGCTGTGTCCGTGATCCACCGCCTTCTCCTGCTGCCCGTCCTCCAGCGTGGCCTCGTGCACCAGCACATCTGCCCCCTGACACGCGCTTTTAAAGCCCTCGCCCAGCGCCCCGCTGCAGTCGCCGAAAACACACACCTTACGGCCCTTCACCGCCGGCTCCAGCACCTCGCTGGCGGCCAACACACGACCGCTATCTAGAGTCACAGACTCTCCGTTCTTCAAACGACCGTATAGAGGTCCTGGTTTCAAACCTACAAAATAAAAAAAGTAGGGCTGTCAAACGATTAATCGCGATAAATCGCATCCAAAATAAAAGTTTGTGTTTACATAATATATGTGGGTGTATTGTGTATAATTATTTTATATATATAAATACACACACATGCATGTACTGTATATATTTAAGAAATATTTTCATACTGTATATAGATTTATATATAATTTATATTATATATAAATATAAGTATTTTATCAATAAATATTTTTTTTCTTATATATACATGCATGTGTGTGTATTTATATATATATACAAAATAATTATATATACAGTGCACCCACATATATTATGCAAACACAAACTTTTATTTTGGATGCGATTAATCACGATTAATCGTTTGACAGGCCTAAAAAAAGCAAAAGATAATGAGAAATACAATTTTATTTTAATATTACAGTTCAATCAATATCTCAATGGCAAATATCAACTGAACTGCTTGATTCTAATTAGAGCCCGACTGATAAAGGATTTTGAAGGCCGATACCGATAAATATTTGTTGGTTTTAAAATCCGATATTCCGATATATCGGCCGATATTATTATTATATTTTTTTTTCGAAAACGCGCAACAAAGCATTAACAGATTTCCCTAACATTAGTTATATTTGTAGTTATTTATGAGTTTTAACTAAAACAATATGATAATGCATTTTAAAAAGAATGATAAATAAAGTAATAATTAGTCCCTACATTGCCTTATATGCTACCTTATAATTACAATGTCAGCTTGCTTATCCCTTTACCTGCACTTTTTAAATTCTTTCAAGCTACATCAAACCATTTTCAATCATCAGTTGCTGCCTGCCTTCTAAAACCTACTATTTAGCGATTCTTATCTAAAGCCATCACAGAACGACACAGTCTGCAACACACACTTGGCCTCGTTGGATTTCACACACGTGTAAAAGAAAAGCTAACTTAATACGTTTGATACTTTTTCTCTACGTCTAAATGTTCAGGATGTGTGGCGGCACGTTATACACGAGTGTTGCCAACAGGGACGGTGTAGAGTGCCCTCTGGTGGACAAACTATACAACTCCAACACTCATGACATGGTTGAATCATGATTCGTCTGTTTTTACTTTATTTTTTAAATATTCATTTACCGGCCATTAGAACTGCCGATACCGATATTATGGAAAATGCCTAATATCGGCCGATAATATCGGTCTGCCGATATATCGGTCTGGCTCTAATTCTAATATCCTCAAAAAAATATAAACTACATTATCGCAGACGCAGAGCAATATATTAAACGGTTCTCTGTCGAATCGAACAGTACGGTTTGGTACGCACTTGCAACTCGTTTTATCTCAAATCTGACGATGCATGAACAAACAAATATGGTTTGTTGAAACTAAATAAAACAAACAGACAGAGTAAGGCTAATGTATTTTTATGTCGATGGATTCGCATTCTGGCATAATGACCAGTCATTTACGGAGGTTATTGGTCCAATTTTAAAAAAACAGGTTACCTAGTTCTTTCAACAGCTCTGTGTTCAACCGTCCCGGACGATCCCTTTCCTCCACCGAGAACCCGAACGATGGCACTCTGTGATACAGCTTAAACGCTTTAACCACAAACTGTGTGTCATCAACGAGGTCATAGCAGTCAGTGTGCGGGTCCAGGCGTATGGTTCTGCCGGGACGCTCCTGTGGGTGAAGCGCATCACTGCTGGAGGTCAGTGCAGGACTGAGACGCCCCTCCACAGGACACTGCTCATCCGATGGCTCCAGCTCGTGCACGGCATACGGGAAGAGCAGCTGAGAGCTGGACAGCTCTAACGCCACACGAACGAAGTGTCGTAACCCTCGCGGGCCGAAAACGTCCACACAGGGCACAGGCTGATCCGGCTGAGGGTTCGAGTTCAGACTGATTGTGCACAGCAAACCAGGGAGACCGAAGAGATGGTCACCGTGGAGGTGAGATATGAACACTTTGGTGATTTTGCCTGAAAGAAATTCAGAAAAATGACTATTATTACTGTATTTTTTTTATCAAATTAATGCAGTCTGAGTATGAGACTTCTTTCAAAAAAAGTAAAAATAAATAAATATATACACACCCCAAACTATGAACATTAAGATGTTTATTTATTCCAATTCAAAGCATGTCGATTTTTCTAAATACTGTATGTATGTTCATGACAATTAAACATTTTCTGTCCAATTTTTTTCATTACCATAATGCAATATTTACATTTACAGTGGTTACACACAGTAAATGACTGAAAAAAAAGCTTGATAGCCCTCAAATCTGTCTTTGTTTATTTTAAAATCCTTATTTTTGACAGATTAATTCCAGGAAGAGGACGATCATGTAAATATAAACATAAAACCCCTGATTCAAAATTAAACTTGATCTAAAAGAGCAGTGAGTGTGTGACTGACTTGCTTTGAGCGAACTCCTCATGAACTGAGTCTGTGTTCCTTCTCCACAGTCAAACAGCCAGCTCTCCCCTTCAGTACGCAACACGAGCGCAGACGCGCCGCGGTTAGGAGACGGGTATGCGGACCCGGTCCCGAGGAACGTGATGTCCATCGACATGCTGTTGTTCTGTGCACATGTGGCGGACAAATAACGTCAACACTGCGTTAGAATAAACCTGAACGTCCCCCATAACCAGCTAAACCACAACTGACACGCGCGCTCAATCAACATCCGGGGTACGAGTTCATATTTGCGTACTGCATGCTGCACACTACACTATGGAAGACCATTTCCGCCACATAAGCGAATCGTTGATTTATTGTAAATCATAATAATGAGATAAAAAGACGAAATTTTGACATGTTTAGTCACATTGATGAGGTAATTTCTTTTCAAAAGTATGAAAAAAAAAATCAAGAAAAAGTCATCATTTAAATTTTTTATGTATTAGGATTAGTCATGTCTAGTCATAATTATTATTTTTGTCATAATTTACCTTGTCATAATTATGACATAAAAAACTGTAAATGATGACTTATTATAGATGACTTCCATAGTGTACGATAAAATGTCAAAATTATGACCACACAATACAACTCTAACTTTTTGTACATTTTAAGTATACTGTATACTATTTTAAAAAACATATGCACTAGGCCAGTTCTTTTCAATCTTTTACAGTAGATGACACTGACCCCAAAAATATGATCATTCGCATGCCAGGGACTTCCAAAAATTTAAAAGATAGCTATAGGATATACTTATGTATAAAGAAGACCCAGTTAATACTTTGAGAAATGTTTTGCTTTTTTTACTCACTGCAATTTTGCAGGTGCAAATTCAAAGCATTCATGTATTTATTTTGAATTAAAAAACATTTTGATCAAATAGATACATTTATTTATTTATTTATTTTAATCATATAAGCATTTTATTTATTTAAATTAATTTGTAATATTTTATTTTAAATCTATTTATGTATTTACTAAGTTTAATCGTACTACGTTACACTGATTTTAATACTTTTATTTATTTAAAGAAATCTTATTTATTTTAAGCTAATGCTTTTAGTTATTTTTTTGTTTAAATTACATTTTATTTAAATTAATGTATTTTAAACTTATTTTAATCATGTTTTCATTTATTTATTTTAAACATTTTTATTAGTTAGATTAATCTTATTTTTCTTTATTTATTTTTTACTTTTCTACACTGCTTTTTTATGATCTTCAATATTGTTTTTAAATGTTTTGCGTTTTAATTCCAATTTTGTGTAACTATGTCTTCAGGTTTGCAATTTCAGTCTAATAATAAGCCAAAAAAAGATTTGTTGAGATGTTGGATCCTGGATTACTACTTACAGGCTTTCCAGAAATAAATACTTTTATATTGATCTTTTTTATTTATTTATTATAATTATTTCTTATTTATTTCTTGTATAATTGTCTTACCATGCAAAGGCAGTGCAAATAACGATTCAAGAAAAATATGTTAAAAATTACATAAGTATGATTCTCGTCAAGTTCCTTTCATTATTATGGGATGAATCAGTAAAAAACATGTAATAGGCTAATTTAAATTAGCCTACATTTAAAAAAGTACTTTAATCTATAATGAGGGCAGCAAACAGACTTCTGCACAGATTAGAGCACATGTTTATTCTGCAGACTCCACCGGTGTGAGGAAGAACTGCATTCAGAAACATTAAAGACATTAAACAGCTGCACAACACTGATCAAACTTACTAAATCCTTCAAGGACTGACAGAAACTAAGCACATTTTGGTCAAGGATATGAGATTGTTCACTTTGTTCGATATGCTGATGAAAAAATGAAACAGTAAATGGGCAGTTTTTAAACTTCTATGAAAGGTAAAATACAAATCATGATAATCTATGAACTTGTTGCTCTTGTGATCTTTGGCTACTTCGTTTACAATGGCATATAAAACACTGTGCGATGAGCGGTGACTATATAAAGGTGTATAAGCAGGCACTAGTTATTATGAGGTACTACCACAGAGGTACTTTTTCTGATTGGTCAACAGGTGCAGTCAAATCATTTAATATTACGACTATTTAAATATATAGTTTACGGCCGTTGCGTGAAACCTACATATAGCTGTGATTGTCTTCTATCTGTAATATCACTCAAAATACTTCTCACATCATTTTAACTCAAATCAACATGTCCATATGCATTTATTTGGGAAGCAGCTGTGTAACAAGTTAGATAATGTACAGTCAGCCAATTTATTTTGTGATAATGACATTGATTTCCTGTTTTTTTCTTATAAAGAATGTGTTTGTATCCTACGCATCCATACACTCACAATCACAGCTACAAATGCACACCACTGTAATATTGTGCAATACACTAGAAGCTCTGCTAGTCCTTCATGTCCTGTACTTCCTCCGCTACTATGAAATAAATAGATCTTAATGACTCTCACAGACACAACAAGAAACAAACACAAAGAACAAATGGAGTGTGACTTCATTTAGAAAACGTTTCATTGCACATACAGTAGCATTTAAAAACAAATGTGAGGAGTGACAAGGCACAGTATTACACTCAACACTGGAGGATAGAGTATAAAAATAAATAAATAAAATACATTCTGCATATAATAAAGGAAGCCTAATTAGACCATTAGTTTATTTTGTGACATTACGTTTATAACAATTCGGCACATTTATCAAAAAATTAATTACTATAATGGCCGAGTTTTGTTTTTAATTCTCAGTGGATTTCTCTCTCTCTCTCTCTCTCTCTCTCTCTCTTTTTTTTACTATATTATATAACAAAATACTTTTATGTGTAAATGCTTTTATGCATAATTTATTAGCGCATTTTGGATAAAAAGTGCTTCATTGTGACAAAAATGCAACAAAATCCTTATGATTCTAAAAGAAGGCTTAATTATCTTTATGCATAATACTATTTTGCATTTATTTATTTTGATTCCGGGGTTAAATGTGACCAGGACATGTGCAAGATTTGTAAAATTCATCCAAAAAACTGAAAATGCTATTTAAACAAGGGGTCAGAAATATGAATAAATACTGGAAGTTGCAAAAAAGAAAAAGAAAAGAGGAGTGCCTAATAAACTCCCTTCATACTTCCTTGTTTTTGTTCTGCCTCTCTCTAGGCGTTTCTCAATGTCAAGGAAGGATCCTCGGAAGCCGGAATTTCGAGGATGCTACGTCATCGACGTCCGTCGAAGGACTGTTCCAATGTCGAGGATCCTCAGAATTTCAACCAAGGACTGAGTCCTTCGTTCGGAAAATATCCCATACACAGGAAAGGATGCATATGTGTAGCCTTCGCGCTCTTAAATCACCCACAATCCTATGCGCAGCTTTGCTATCTTGTTCAAAAACTAAAAAATGTCGACCGTTAGCGGAGTCGGAGTGATAACGGCAATATGCTTTCAAATGTAAGCAAGTATAATTTCAGTTTAGCCATTTATTTAATCTTTGTTAAACTATTTCACATATCGGCTTTAAAGCTGTTCCCTTTTACTGGTGATTAACTTTTTAATTTTTACTTCATATAACGTTATAGCCTTTTTTGTTGGTCACATATTTTACAATTGCATATGTTTTAACAGCTAGATCATGTTGCTATGGAGGTAGCTAGTTCTGTTCACTCCGGTAATATAATCGTTTTTGAATGAATAAACTCCTTTTTAAATCAATATTTTGTGTCAAATTATTGATTTATTTGGTAGGTAACGTTAGCCATGTTATAAGTGGGAAAATGTATAGCGAGGCGGTTGTTACAGCGAATAAAACCCCGCTGATCAAGACCCCTTTGCTTTAGAGTTTGCGGGGTTGTATTCACTAACAACCGCCTGGTTATACATTATCCCTTATACTTTATTTATTTCTATGAGGACAGACAAGACAAAATAAGGACTGTCAAGTGTATTTAAACAGTGCAGTACACCAGCGATTTTTGCAGCGCCGAAGCTGACCTTTCACTGATGTAATGACGCAATGATGTGCACTTGCTAGCCTGTTCCATTTACATGTTCTCCGAATGCTAAAGAGGACCCTTGCCTAGCCTCTGAAGGAAATGACTTGGAAGGACCCGTCCTGCTAAGGAAGTATCCTTGACATTGAGAAACACCTTCTGTCTGATATTTTCCTCATGTGTTCATCTAGTCTACAATGGGGCTGTGAGAAACCCCGGGCCAGTCGTAGACGTCGGGTGCGAATGAATCGTAGTTGATGTCCCACAGAACTGATCTGACGTACGCTTCCTTATCCACAGGCTCTGGGTATCGGAACGCCATTCCTTTTGAATACACGTACTGCACCACCTGTGCACAAAAACACATGCCTTAGCAGTAGGTTATGGTACACAACAAATGACATTCACGTAGTGATGCACCAATGTGAAAATTTGTGGCCGATACCGATAACCGATATTACTATTGCTGTTATGGCCGATACCGATAACCGATATTACTATTGCTGTTATGGCCGATACCGATAACCGATATTAATATTGCTGTTATGGCCGATATCAATAACCGATATTTATATTGTTGTTATGGCCGATACCAATAACCGATATTTATATTGTTGTTATGGCCGATACCAATAACCGATATTTATATTGCTGTTATGGCCGATACGATAACCGATATTAATATTGCTGTTATGGCCGATACCGATAACTGATATTAATATTGCTGTTATGGCCAATACCAATAACCAATATTAATATTGCTGTTATGGCCGATACCGATAACCGATATTAATATTGCTGTTATGGCCGATACCGATAACCGATATTACTATTGCTGTTATGGCCAATACCAATAACCAATATTAATATTGCTGTTATGGCCGATATCAATAACCGATATTAATATTGCTGTTATGGCCGATACAATAGCCGATATTAGTATCACTGTTATGGCCGATACCAATAACCGATATTAATATTGCTGTTATGGCCGATACCAATAACCGATATTAATATTGCTGTTATGACCGATACAGATAACCGATATTAATATTGCTGTTATGGCCGATACCGATAACTGATATTAATATTGCTGTTATGGCCAATACCAATAACCAATATTAATATTGCTGTTATGGCCGATACCGATAACCGATATTAATATTGCTGTTTTGGCCGATACAATAGCCGATATTAGTATCACTGTTATGGCCGATACCAATAACCGATATTAATATTGCTGTTATGACCGATACCGATAACCGATATTAATATTGCTGTTTTGGCCGATACCGATAACCGATATTAATATTGCTGTTATGGCCGATACCGATAACCGATATTACTATTGCTGTTTTGGCCGATACAATAGCCGATATTAGTATCACTGTTATGGCCGATACCAATAACCGATATTAATATTGCTGTTGTGACCGATACCGATAACCGATATTTATATTGCTGTTATGGCCGATACGATAACCGACATTAATATTGCTGTTTTGGCCGATACCGATAACCGATATTACTATTGCTGTTTTGGCCGATACAATAGCCGATATTAGTATCACTGTTATGGCCGATACCAATAACCGATATTAATATTGCTGTTGTGACCGATACCAATAACCGATATTAATATTGCTGTTGTGACCGATACCGATAACCGATATTTATATTGCTGTTATGGCCGATACGATAACCGACATTAATATTGCTGTTTTGGCCTATACCGATAACCGATATTAATATTGCTGCTTTGGTCGATACCGATAACCGATATTACTATTGCTGTTTTGGCCGATACAATAGCCGATATTAGTATCGCTGTTATGGCCGATACCGAATTAACCGATATTAATATTGCTGTTATGACCGATACCGATAACCGATATTAATATTGCTGTTTTGGCCGATACCGATAACCAATATTAATATTGCTGTAATGGCCGATACCGATAACCGATATTAATGTTGCTGTAATGGCCGATACCGATAACTGATATTAATATTGCTGTTTTGGCCGATACCGATAACCGATATTAATGTTGCTGTAATGGCCGATGCCGATAACCGATATTAATATTGCTGTAATGGCCGATACCGATATTTCCCAATGTCGATATCTCTGTATAGAAAACACATAGCGAGGATTAGGGCTGCACAATATTGATAAAAAAATGACATTGCGATATTTAATTTTTCTGCGATTTAAAAACAATTTCACCAGATGACTTGAATAGCTCTATTTGAAAAGAATGAATCATTCTAGAATGACTGGGGTGGATTTGTCATGGAGTATCTAATAGAAACGAATATTAATAGAATGTTAACTAATGTAGTTAACTAGAGTTTAATAAATGGAACCTTGTTGTAAAGTGTTTCTGGTTAATGTCTCTTGAGTTCAGTGTTGGACAGATCATTTGTTTTAACCATTCATTAAAGTGAATCAGTTCAAAGGAGTCGTTAGTTCGCGAAATGGACGTGTCATTTTTGCATGTCTAGTGTGTTTTAAGTAGGCTATATCAGAAAAGAAAATGAAGACTCAAAAATATTTACAGAAAATGTACCCATTTAAACTTGTTTTTTATTATTCAGTTTGGGTGAAAGTATATGGTGTTTTATAAAAAAAACAAAAAAAAACGAGTAAACTAAAAAATAAGATAAATAGTAAAACCTGAGAAATTAATCATTTTGCAATGCTCTCTATATATATATATATATATATATATATATATATATGTATAAATATATAAGCTTTCTTTAAGTTTCTGTAGCCTACACAGACAGGTACATGCCCAAATCAAACCCGAGTGTACGTGTTTTTTTTATGTTTGCGGTCTTGAAAACATATGGAAGTATGACTGAAAAGACCAGATCAGAGCGGTTTTCTTGGTAGTTTTTGTTGCTTAACATTTACATGCAATTATTGTATCTCAACAAACTTCAAAACTATGAAGTTTATTAATGACCAACTTCTAAAAACAAATTTATAGTTGTCTTTGTAAAGAAATGCTCACTTATTAGTCCCTGTGGAGCCGCTGCAGTGACGCTGTACAAGCACATTCGGTGACGACGTAGTTACGCTGACGCGCCGCTCGCGCTTGCGGTGTGAAACGGCCATAAGGCTTTTTAAAGACCAGTACACTCATGTTTACTTGGCTGTTCTTTTTTTGTTTACATACAGACTGCGTCCTAAAACACACACACACACACAGTCTCACCTTGATAGCCATCTGTACTGACACCTCTCTGATGTTGGACAGCGGTGGATACAGTCGGCCCTGACTCAGCTCTTCTTCTGTAAGCTGATCCGCCAGCGTCTAAAACAACAAAACCACTGTTTTATCAAATATAAAACATTAACTAGAACAAGTTCTGCTTTTTACAGTCATACAATGCAGGGCTATTAACTTATAAACAGTAATTGGGTTATTTGTGATTAAGCGATATTTATTAATTGCTATAATTTAACCGATTAAGCTAAACAACCGTTTCTGCATATACAGTACTGTACTGTAATTGTTCAGCAATCATGCAATCAAGGGTGATTTAAAAATAAAGCAGCTTGTTGGACTATAATGTACAAAATATTTCAAAAACATTTCACATTATTTATTGGAGAAAAGAATGTTTATAGAAACCAGAGTGTTTATGATTATGATAATAAATTACAATAATATGATAAACACCACAAGCAGCATAACATATTAGGTTTGGGGAGGTTTTTTTAGCTAAAATAACCAGAAGCGGATGATACCGGAAGCCAGACACATTTCAATTACGAATAGCCACAGCTGCTCTTACATTAAAATGAAGCTGGATACTTTGGTCTTTGTGCATTTACCTTTGCGGCCTCAAGAAAGACTGTGTCACTGATGTGTCGGACTCCACTGAGTATAACAGCCAGAGCTACACCTGAAATCACAATTACAACCTACAGGTCAACACGAGATGACAAGCTTACCACATTATTTCCTAAACATCTTATTATGCTTGTTAAATATTAGCGACATTAAAATGTAGATGTGTTCAGAGCGAACCACCAAAACATCCATTAATTTACAGTATAAGACTAGAATTATTACTATAGTATTAATACCAGGGAATATATAAGCATTGTTGCCCTGTCCAGGGGTCAGTATTCTGCCATCTTCTAGTGACACCGGTCCAAATGGACTGCCGCTGGCGAACAAACACCGACCCTGTAACAGAAACAGTTCAATTTCCATATTCATACGGGTATGACAATCCATGTCCACGTGAGATCGGTGTATGACTACGGGTGTAAATGTACTTTATCTTTGATAATTATGACTAAGATATTACTTGGAGATAGAGTGAAAAGTAGTCTGCTGTACTATTATAAATATCGCACTTATTTTACATTACAATCAGAATTTTATACTACTTATTGTCATATAAATATCAGCATCTGCACTGACCATCTGTCTGAATTGAACTGAACTGTATCCATATATCCATATTCCCACTACATCATATGAAATGAGCCTTAAAAAGTCTTGTGCATCAATTAAAAATACTAAAACCATAAAAAAATATATATATTTTAGATTTTTTTCTTTAAGAACTTCATAACCAAAATCATACGTCAGGCATCAAAGGGTTAATGCATCGCTGATATTTCACCTGTGTGAGGCTGTACGCGTCTTCAGCTGTGCATTCTGCTTTGGCAGTGGGGTTGCTCAGGGCGAAGATAATCGGATGCTCATTCAAGCTGCCCATTGCTCTGATGACATCATGGGTGAAGAGCCGGCCGGCCCCTGACACACCTGTTTACATTGAGAAAAAAGTCAAATATGTATTTATAAAGGATTTATGGGTTATGCATGATGCATTCAGCTTTATGCATAAAAAAACTATATGCAAACAACAGTGACGTCAATGCATTCCCTCTATTCGTTAATCCATTTCAACAGGACATTTACATACAGAGGTCTTAAAGGTACAGCAACAAAAGGAGCTCCTTTAATTCTAGGTCATGAAAAACTAAATGACAACTGTTGAGGTGCTTGGAACCCTTGACTAACATTAAAAGGTAACTGACTAAAATGAAGGTTAAAAAGACTGGATTTCAGTGCGAGGCGTAGAGGAGCAGCTCGTCTTACCGATGATCGCTGTGGGTTTAATAACGTTGACTGCGTCTAAGAAGCTTTTCACGTCCCCAGGATCAGAGTGAACAAAAGCCTCCTGATTACTGTCCGTCTCATAAGCTCTGCCCTATAAAACAGAGAAACACAAACATGATTACTGGAGGACTCTCAAGCATGTGAAAGAAGAACAAGTCGGTCAATGTCACAGATTTTCTATTCCTGTTTAGAGTTTTTAGAGGAGACTTGTCATGTGAACTCAGTATTACTAAAATACTACGACAGCATTTGGGTGTTTTCAGAGAATACAGTGGTAGTACTGTGTTATTTTTGTATTATATTAGTTATTAATATTTTGATTTAACTTGTTTTTGTGTTTATTGCAATTTGGGTTTAATTTATTTTGATTTCAGGTTTGGTTTTATTTTTCCAGTAAGTGATTTTAGTGCTTCAACTTTCAAAACTTTTTCCATCTAATATTTATATTTTATTTCAGCTTTTTTAATTCAGTAGGTTGGTAACAAGATTTGATGACTTCAACTTAAATGAAAAATTATTTTATTTAAAAAAAAATACTAAATTATTAACAAAATAACATGAATGGATTCAATGTCTCATTTCTAAATTGAATGAATCGGCGTGTGTGAATAAATCTTGAAAATGAAATATTCAATGATTTACTCTTATTTTGATACAGTTCTAAAATTCTAAAATTTCTAAACTAATTCTAAACTTTTCTCCCAGTACATTTACATTTATATATATATATATATGAAGAGTTCAGATGCAAAAGCCTCTAAGTGCCATTTGAAATTTTCTTCTAAAATGATCATTTTTATCAAGCTTATATATTTAAGTTCAGTAATTTCACTTAAATGAAATATATTTATATATTTATATATTATATATTTAAGTGAAATTATATTCACTTAAATATTATATATTTAAGTGAAATTATATATTTAATATTTATTAATATTTAATTATAACATATAATATATTTAATTATAATAAATTATTAATATTTAATTATAAATATTAAAATATATTAATATTTAATATACTTATATATTTAAGTGAAATTACTGAACTTAAATATATAAGCTTGATAAAAATGATCATTTTAGAAGAAAATTTCAAATGGCACTTAGAGGCTTTTGCATCTGAACTCTTCATATATATATATATATATATTTCTCTTATCGCAAGCATCTGCGAAAATGTCTCACTGCAACATTGCCAAAATGCCAAAAATCATTAGGATATTAAGTAAAGATCATGTTCCATGAAGATATTTTGTAAATTGTCTATATATAAAACATTTATTTTTGTGAGTGAATGCAGCAAAGTCGCGAACATAAATGGACAACTTTAAATGTCATTTTCTCAATGTTTTGATTTTTTTGCACCCTCAGATTAGTGAGTTATTTTAACCTTTATCTTATACATTTGTCACGAATGATGCAAGATACAGTGATACTACTTTTACAAATGATGTAAGATCTAGTGATGATGTAAGATTAGTGAGATATTTTGTCACAATGTTCAGATATGGTGTAAGAATGCTCACCTTTACTAACAGACCATATTTGTCAAACATCCAGATCTTTTGTCTGGCTTCTGCCTGAGACACCCCTGACTCCATCATCGACATGGTGATCAGGTTAGCGATTCCCAGAGCTGCCTAAATTAAGTGGAAATTGCTTAAAGCTTAAATACACAGAAGTTTAATCTGAAAGCAAACCACACAGATTAAAAGGCAGAGTTTGCATCATTGTGGCTTTAAACTGTGTCATGTGGGCTCACCTCCCCAGCCCCCAGAAACAGAACTTTGTGTTCGGTTATTGGCTTTCCTACAACACGCTGAGCCGCCAGTAAACCTGCCAGAGCAACGGCGGCAGTGCCTGTGACACACAAACGCATCAGCAAATGATCATCAGGGTGCATTTCTTGAAGAAAATACCAATGCTTGTAAGGAAAATGAGGACCAATCACAATTCAGTATGCAAATATGATGATGACCTAATTATTCTCATTTAGATTTTGAAAATGCCGTAGTATATTTTTTATTATCTTAGTAAAGCAACCGCATAAACGGTACCTGATGTGTTGAAATCAATAAGTATAAGTGATAGTGATTCTTGCTTAGCAAGTACTGGTACTCACCCTGGATGTCATCGTTGAAGGTGCAGTACTTCTCCCGGTATTTCTTCAGGAATCGGAAAGCGTTGTGATTTCCAAAGTCCTCAAACTGGATGAGGGTGTCTTGTCCGTACTTGTCCACCACAGCTTCCATGAACTCATCTATGAGATCGTCGTAGCGCTGAGAGCGGTCACGCCGCTGGTAAAGACCCATGTAGAACGGGTCCCTCAGTAACTTCTGCAGAAACACACAAGAGCGCAAACACGCAGATAAAATAGCTATTGTTTTAAAACCTTCTGTAGTGTAAACATACATTTACAATGAACAAGACTTTACAGCGTGATTGACTCTTGCATTCAAAATTTGAAGTTAGAAGATTTAAAAAATTAAAAGAACTGTTGCCAAACATATAACATGCTAGACACATAATACTGCAATAATGATGCAATCATAAACACTTACCCATAAGCCTATTTAAATCCAAACAGCAACAGTGGATGGATGGATGGATGGATGAATGGATGTGTCAGATGGAAGGGTGCATGGATGGATGAATCAATGTATATGTCGGATGGATGTATATGTCGGATGGATGGATATGTCGGATGGATGATAGATATATATGTCGGATGGATGGGTGGATGTATATGTCGGATGGATGGATATGGCGGATGGATGGATGGATATGGCGGATGGATGGATGGATGGATATGGCGGATGGATGGATGGATGGATGGATATGTCGGATGGATGGATAGATGGATGGATGGATGGATGGATATGTCGGATGGATGGATAGATGGATGGATGGATGGATGGATATGTCGGATGGATGGATAGATATACATGTCGGATGGATGGATATGTAGGATGGATATGTCGGATGGATGGATGGATGGATAGATATACATGTCGGATGGATGGATGGATGGATGGATGAATGGATGTGTCAGATGGAAGGGTGGATGGATATATGTCGGATGGATGGATGGATGGATAGATGGATGGATGTGTCAGGTGGAAGGGTGGATGGATGGATGGATGAATGTATATGTCGGATGGATGGATGGATGGATGTATATGTCGGATGGATGGATGGATGGATAGATATACATGTCGGATGGATGGATGGATGGATGGATGAATGGATGTGTCAGATGGAAGGGTGGATGGATATATGTCGGATGGATGGATGGATGGATAGATGGATGGATGTGTCAGGTGGAAGGGTGGATGGATGGATGGATGAATGTATATGTCGGATGGATGGATGGATGTATATGTCGGATGGATGGATGGATGGATAGATATACATGTCGGATGGATGGATATGTAGGATGGATATGTTGGATGGATGGATGGATGGATGGATAGATATACATGTCGGATGGATGGATGGATGGATAGATGGATGGATGTGTCAGGTGGAAGGGTGGATGGATGGATGAATGTATATGTCGGATGGATGGATGGATGTATATGTCGGATGGATGGATGGATAGATAGATATACATGTCGGATGGATGGATGGATGGATGAATGGATGTGTCAGATGGAAGGGTGGATGGATATATGTCGGATGGATGGATGGATGGATGGATAGATATATGTTGGATGGATGGATGGATGGATGAATGTATATGTCGGATGGATGGATGGATGTATATGTCGGATGGATGGATGGATAGATAGATATACATGTCGGATGGATGGATGGATGAATGGATGTGTCAGATGGAAGGGTGGATGGATGGATGGATATATGTTGGATGGATGGATGGATAGATATATGTTGGATGGATGGATATATGTTGGATGGATGGATGAATGAATTATGTTGGATGGATGGATGGATGGATATATGTAAGCTGGGTGGATATACTGTATATGTTGGATGGATGGATGGAAGGATGGGTATATGGATACATATGCTGGATGGATATATGTCGGATGGACAAGCAGACATCTAGATCTAGTCATCAAGTCTTGTTACACAAATGGTTTGGGAATGAATGGTAGCCAACCTCATTATCTGTGCCAACATCAATGCAGACCGGCAGGCAACTCTCAGGCCGGATTCCAGCGCAGGCCGTATAAAGACACAGCTTTCCTACAGGAATACCCATACCATACACTCCCAGATCCCCCAGACCCAGGATACGCTCCCCGTCCGTCACCACTACAGCCTACAGACACACAGAGACGAATGTGTGACTAACAAAACGTCTCTTAGGAAATCAATCAATACATACATCACAGTCTTAAAGAGATAGATCACTCAATAAACTAAATGTCATCATTATACTTGTCTGGAACGACACAAGGGTAAATAAATCATGACAGAACTTACTAATCAAATATGCACTTCAATAAAAATCAAATAGCACTGGAATGTTGAAACCCAATACCTTGACAGTGGTTTCTGGCCAGTTATCCAATATGGAACGGATATGTCCTTTATCCTTAATGGAGATAAACAGACCTCTGGGGAGAATAAGACAAAACTTCAATCTCTCGAACACACAAGCTGCATTTCTGAGACAAGCTCCTCCATAACAACAACAACAAAAATAGTTGTGGATATAAAACATTAAAGTTTAAAGTTTATAAGCTCAAATGGTCGCCTTGCTCTGTTCTGTGATGCGCGTTCGTGACTCTCCTGTTCGAACCCGTTCATCAAAATGAACGAATCGTTTCCCGAGTCAGCTCCTTCATTTCATTCGTTGAATGAACCAAATGACAAGAAAAAAGATTCATTCATTTTGATAAATGAACCATTTGAGCTTATAAAACCTTAACTTTGTTATTTATTTAATAAATGAGCGACCGGTCGCTTGATAAGACCCTTATTCATCGTCTGGAATCGTTTAAAGCCCTTTGAACAGTTTGCAGTTTGTACTGAAAGTGTCTTTTGGACATTGAACCGTTTGGTTCCCATTGAAGTGCATTATATGGAGAAAAATCCTAGAATGTTTTAATCAAAAACCTTCATTTCTTTTCGACTGAAGAAAGAAAGACATGGACATCTTGGATGACATGGGGGTGAGTAAATTATCAGCAAAAGTTTTTTTAAAAGTGAACTACTCATTTAAGGCTGGGATTTTACACAGAAATGGGTTCATAATTAATGAAGCGTAGCTTACTTGGGTCGCCTGAAGATGTGTCCATACTGCGTACATGCGAGGCCGACAGTTGGCGTGTAGACGATGGGCATGAGAGCTTCGATGTCTTCCATGAGCACGCGGTAGAAGAGACGCTCGTTCCTCTCCTGAATCCCCATTAGGTAGATATACCTGCTCAAATTAACCCAAACATGAATCAAAACCAACATTTTTAAATGAAATAGTATATTCAGTGTAAATATTCAGACTTTTTATCTAATTTGATCTTTCAGGAGGATCATGAAAAGCAGGTTATGATATTTATATGATTATTTGAAGCCACACAGCATTAGGTCACAAAATTCAGATTTAAATGGAAATTTTAGAACAGTTCGTATTATCAGAAATGTGTAGTGATGTGAATGAATGTACTTTTGCAGTGGGTCGGACATCTTCTTCAGGTTTTTCTGGAAACGCATGGCCTGGGTGTCCTGGGTCTCGATCTTTGGTGGCAACAGACCATGAATGCCCAAAATCTGCCTCTCCTTCAGAGTGAAAGCCATGCCCTGTGTGCACACAAATGCACAGTGAATGCTTACACAAGATTTGTACTTTTTCACTACAGTAAAGCTGTGGGTAAATGCAAGGCCGTCACTAATCAGATCTGAGTTAAAGTTAAAATAACCCAATCCAAAAGTTTTTATGCAGCTGATTTTTGGCCTATTCAAATTAAATTGGATTAAAATTTGGAACATTTTAAAATGCAGGATTTTTTTCTTCTCTTTTATGACAGTAGCCTGAACAACAACAAAAATGTATAAATAAATGATAATGAAATAATATAAAACCTAATCAAAATATTTTATATTTAATAACATTATACAAACCTATGGAAGCTTGTTTCCGCCACAGAATGAAAAATAAAAAAGGTAATTGCGACTTTTTTTCTCCCAATTCTGACTTTTTTTCTCACAATTGCGAGTTTACATCTCTCAATTCTGAATTTATATCTCCCAATTCTGACTTTAAATCTCGTAATTCTGAGAAATAAAGTGGCAATTGGGTGTTACGAGATATAAAGTCCGAATTGCGTGATATAAAGTCGCAATTGTGTGTTATAAAGTCAGAATTACGAGATATAAAGTCAGAATTGCGAGATATAAAGTTGCAATTTTGTGTTATAAAGTCAGAATTACGAGATATAAAGTCAGAATTACAAGATATAAAGTCAGAATTGCATGATATAAAGTTGCAATTGCGTGTTGTAAAGTCAGAATTACAAGATATAAAGTCAGAATTGCATGATATAAAGATGCAATTGCGTGTTGTAAAGTCAGAATTGTGAGATATAAACTATTCTGAGGGGAAAAAAGTCTTTTTCTTTCTTAGAATTGGTCTGATAACTCGCAATTGCGAGTTTATATCTCATAATTCTGAGAAAAGATGTCAGAATTTCGAGATATAAACTCGCAATTATGTGTTATAAAGTCAGAATTGTGAGATAAAGTCTCAATTCTGCCTTTTTTCTCGCATTTGCGACTTTATTTATCAGAATTGCGACTTTATATCTCGCAATTGCAACTTTATTTCTCAGAATTGCGACTTTATATCTCACAATTGCAACTTTATTTCTCACAATTCTGACTTCATATCTCGCAATTGTGAGATAAAAAGTCACAATTATTATTATTATTATTATTTTTTTATTCAGTGGTGGAAACAAACAAATGATTCCATACAAACCTGATCAATACATTTTTTATTCAAAATAAAATTAAGCCATTTAAAAAAAAAAATCTGTCACTTAGAGAGAATTAAATATATATATATATATATATACATATATATATATATAAGTAAATAATAACAACCACAACAACAAAAATAATCATCATCATCATAGTTACAAACCTGACAAACGTATATTGTTTGACATTATATTAATTATTATACATTTTGGAATGTGTCAGATTTCAAGTTCACATTCAAGACTACACAGTCAAAAAAAAAAAAAAACTGTTAACATTTTATTGGTGCAACAGCAAAGTTTCTTTGGGTTAGAGGTTTGTTCAAAGCCCCAACCATAAATATGAGCACTACTAATGATGCTTGCCTTAGCAAATGACACAAATCACAGACAAAGCCATAAACACAAAGAAAACTGCAGATGGTCTAATGCATTGTCTATCTCACAGAAGTATGTGACATATGAAGAGCAGACAACACAATAGGTCAAACACTGTTTTATGTGTGTCTGGGGGTGAGCCGGAGCCGCCCTGCACTTCTGTATATTAAAACCACTCATGACTCTTTGACCTGGGGTGCCACAAAGGTAATGCATACACCCTGTGTGTGAAACCGAACACATGGCGTCTACAGTGAGGAGATCAAGGCAGAAGAGCGACCAATGAGAGTCACCGAGGGGGAAACACCCATCTATAACATGCAGCCCATGGAGGAATTACATTCACTTTACATTCCATATGCCTGGAGTGTGAACATATGTGTGTTTGAGCATGTTTGAGGGGTGCGGGACCCTTTCTAACTGGGCTGGTTGGTTGCAGGTCTGTTCTAATCAGCAATAATATAAAAAAAAGTTAAATGCAAATAATAAAAAGCAACAAACTAAATATTGGTGGATAGTTGGTTAGGATATACTTATCAACTTTTAAATGGGAGGAAAAAACACTTCCTATGTCTTTTGTAATTGACATCAAAGGCTTCCAAACTAAGTGGTATTTTGGTGCAAATTCATCTCATTTGGTAAAAGCTTGTGAAATTGGACAGATGATGACAAGGACATGCTCAAAAACTACACATGCAACCCAGACTACATAAAATACAATTGCAGCAAGGATGGTTTGTGCTGTGTGGGTTCAAACACTAGCCATTGAACATTTTAGCTTACTTTTTGTACAATAAACAATTTATGTTCTGCGTTGGGTCATTTCTTGATGTCCAAAGTAAAACAAGATTCCTGAAGCAAAACCAGTGGTCTAGCATGGAAATTAAGCACACACCAATGTTTTTCAGGATACGTGGCACTTCTGCTGAGTCACTCCACTAATGTTTTCCAGGCAAATACATTCAGACCTTCAAGGCCTCAACTCAAAAGTGTGTATGCATCTACGGTGGGGAGTAAAACACTAAAAGTAGCAAAAAGACAATAGGAAACATTCATTATTAGGTTGAGTTATTTAGTAAGCAAGTTTATTGCAGTCACTGCAACTGAAATCCTCATTGTTTTTGTGGCACTAAAATGTATTTTTATTTAATTAATTAATTTAATCTGAAAGCAGCAAATGAGATGACTTCCGACTAGAGCCCGACCGATAAAGGATTTTGAAGGCCGATACCGATACAAATATTGTTGGGTTTTAAAATCCGATATTCCGATATATCGGCCGATATTTTATTTATTTTTTAATTTATTTTTTTAAACTGGACATGATAGTCACAAATTTTGTCATGCTTATTTGAGTAAATAGAACTGATGGGGATGATCTTTTAATTGTTATTCAAGCAATGTATGTATCACAATTCAACAAGTGTTGCCAACAGGGTTGGTGTAGAGTGCCCTCTGGTGGACAAACTATACAACTCCAACACTCAGGACATGGTTCAAGTGTGTTTCGTCTGTTTTTATTTTATTTTTGAAATATTCATTTATCGGCCATTATAACTGTCGATACCGATAGTTTGGAAAATGCCTAATATCGGCCGATAATATCGGCCTGCCGATATATCGGTCTGGCTCTACTCCCGACTCTTCTATTTATGATATTGGAAACAGTAAAAGAATAGCGACTGGAGGAGACATTATGACCGGATGGACAGCTTGTATTGAGTCTAACCTTGTTGGTACGTGGGTTGAGCATGAGCGGTTTCCCCTTCTCTTTAGTGTGAACCCATCGGCACATGCTCACACACGGCCTCACACTCATGCTTAGTCTGGACAGCATGGCTGCAGTGATACCGATACAAACCTGCAAAAGAAAAGAAAGAAATATACAATAATACAAAGAAAACCACACTTTATAGATGTTAGATTGAATTATTATGGCTGTTCTGTCAGCAGACATGGATTCTCACACCACAATCACTGAGAACATTATGAGTCATCATGGCTGTGCTGATAAACTTTCATGCCCGTGTCCTTATCCTAATAAAGAATATCAGCGCACACACATCTCTGCAGCCTTTCTACAGGCTGTGACCCTGGACATGAGAATTACAGTACAACAAAAGCATTCAAATGAAAATAAAAAGACACTTACCAAAAAGATCAATTAAAATAAAGGTGCTATATGTAGTTTTTAGCGGCCTCTATCGGTGATGTTTCAGATTGCAACCGATTTTTATGAGCGCTCGTGCTTGAATACAAGAGCGAACACTCATGATGCCGGTGTTGTGCCGAATTTCGACTTCGAATTTCATAATAATTGGGCAGGGGGTCGAAATTCGGCATGCAAACTCCCATTGCAATGATACAGTAATAGGATACTTTTATCAGCTTGACGTTGAACTAATGCTCCATGATAACATTACATTTGTGGTGTCATCTAGCATAATGCATTTCACTAACTATTCGTGTATCTTTCACAATCAGCAATGTCAACATAGGTGAATGTATAATATGATAACGAAAACGGTTAGTGAACTACTAGACTGAACAATTTCAGTGTAACAGTAAGATCGTAGGAAGTAACATTATTGTACTGAACGTGTCTGGAAATGTGTATTATAAACAATATGATAGTAGTGGGACGAGTGGCGTTACACAGTAGATCTAGTACATAAAATAAAAGTTACATCCACTTTTTGTTATCCTGGAACAGTCTTTTGTGTTCATTTCATTGCTATACCTTGCTATTTTATTACAGTTTACCATTATTTTAGCATATCTGAAAACTTGTAATTTATCCCAATAAAATAGCGGAGGTCTCTCGGTAATTCAAACGCTCTGCCGATGTTGATCCGTGTTTTCGTCCTAAGTCGATCCGATTCACGTTTGGCCTGACAAGCTTCAGCAGATACAGTTTTGTAAGTGTTTTATATTTATGTGGAGTGTGTGTTGTGCTGGAGGCAGGAGTGTTTTGGTGTTATCAGACTCGCATAGACTGTATATATAAAGGAGAGAGGCTCAGGAGCGCTCATGATTACAACCCCTTCACACACAGGCAATAAAAAAAGGATTCATTTTAGAAGAAAAGTTACATATAGCACCTTTAAAAAAATAGTCTACCTGCATGTCATATATGGCCGTTAACTGGTATCAGAGAACAATGAACATGAAAAAAATGTGTTGTTAAATTATTAAAATAAAATAAAAATTGTTTCAATGGGTTTGGCTGATAAAAAAAAAAAAACGTTTGGGAATCCCTGGTCTAAATAATGCTAAGAGTATCTAAACCCTCGGCACCCTAGAATCTCCAAAAAAGGAAAATAAAAACATTAAACATTCACCCACCCACTTTACTATAAAATATGGACCTTTTATGAATAAAAAACATGTTTTTCAAAGAAAGAGTATGGGTAATAATTACAAAATGTTGATTCTTGGATGAATTATTTATGCTATTTACCTGCATAATCTGACAATACTGATCCTTTAACAGTGAGAAAAGATTCCTCAAGTAATGCAAACAAAAACAGTGTTGAATTGAAATTATTAAGCACGAAGCACAAACACATTAAACCAGCTAAATTATCCTACGCATTTCAGGATGCAGATGTAAAATCACTGAAGTTGCTGAAACACACAAACATGACTGCATGTGAGCAGTTGAACATAGTCATGTCAGCACTGCCTGCTTCACTTAGAGGAAGAGAAACTGTACAAACCCAAAGCCAAACCCTTATACAACAAGAAAACACCTCTACCAGTCATTTACGGTCACTCTTTATCAATTTATTATACGGTGTTCTTCTGTTCTGGGTCATTAAAAAATCAAAGTACACAGCAGAGGTGGTGTGCATCACCTCACCTCACCTGTTGCTAGGTCGGGACTCGGGAGAGTTTCATCTAGTGTGATTCACACACAGCAGAATAATTACAATCACTGTGACCTGAGTTTAAGTGTACCGCTCAAGGGTGCAATTATGACAGGGCAGAAAGTTCAGGGATCATTCCTAACTGGGACAAACAGTTCACCCAAAACACTAAACACTCCAAACAGGCTATTATGTCATTTTACATTTGCATTGGGGCTACGATTTAATCAAGTAAAGGATTTGCACTTAAAGGAGTAGTTCAGTTTTGGAAAAACTTTTGCTGATAATTTACTCACCCCCATGTCATCCAAGATGTCCATGTCTTTCTTTCTTCAGTCGAAAAGAAATTTAGGTTTTTGATGGATTTTTCTCCATATAATGGACTTCAATGGGAACCAAACGGTTCAATGTCCAAAAGACAGTTTCAGTGCAAACTGCAAACTGTTCAAAGGACTTTAAATGATTTCTACGATGAATAAGGGTCTTATCAAGCGAAACGATCGCTCATTTAATAAATAAATAACAAAGTTTAAGTTTTATAAGCTCAAATGTTCGCCTTGCTCTGTTCTGTGATGCGTGTTCGTGACTCTCCTGTTCGAACTCGTTCATCAAAATGAACAAATCTTGGTAACACTTTAGAATACTGTATCTTACTTACTGCAGAATTAATAAGGAATTATTGACGAACTAATAGGTAATTCTTCATTAACTACTTCTTCACTACTGTTAACTACTAAGGAAGATGTGTTAACTAATCAGTATGTAATATAATTTTATGATTATGTTAAGTATCAGTTAGTTAATCAATAACTAATGAATTCTGTCATACCTCCTGAAGAACTACTACTAATTATCTACTAATTAAGGTTCAAGAAAAATAACTAAGAAGTAACTACTGAACAGTCATACAAAACTAACCTCAGATTATTTGTATATTTTATATCCAGTACTGTGTGTGTCTGTTTTCCTCAGCATATAATGCCACTGAGTAAATTCATGTATTTGAGGCAACGACTGAGGGAAACTGAAAATATAGAGAACTTATTAGTAATTAATAAATAAGTATCAAATAATTCTGCAGGAATTACTTAGAAGCTGGAACAGTATTCTAAAGTGAAAATATAGGGAACCCATTAGTAATTAATAAAGAATTATCAAATAATTATCTAGGAATTAGGCTACTTATAATCTGAAACAGTCTTCTAAAGTGAAAATATAAGGAACTTATTAGTAATTAATAAATAACTTTTAAATAGTTCTTCAGGAATTACTTAAAACCTGGAACAGTATTCTAAAGTGACAATACAGGGAACCCATTAGTAATTAATAAATAATTATCAAATTAATTATCTAGGAATTAGGCTACTTATAACCTGAAACAGTCTTCTAAAGTAAAAATATAAGGAACTTATTAGTAATTAATAAATAATTATTAGATAGTCCTTCAGGAATTACTTAGAACCTGAAACAGTATTCTAAAGTGACAATATAGGGAACCCATTAGTAATTAATAAAGAATTAACACATACTTCTGACTCAAATCAAACTTACTGTAAATAAAAAAAATATTAGCATATATATATTAACGTAATCATCTAAATCTTTGTAAAATACACGACAGTTACTTGCGACAAAGGCGAAGAGAAGTGAAAAAGGCAACAGTGGCAAGGAACCAAAACTCCATCAGGTGACAGAATGGAGGAAAAAACCTTGGGAGAACCCAGGCTCAGTGTATGTGGCTACCGCCATATTGCCGGAACTTGTATGGTGCAAAAGAAGTTTAAAATGTATAAGAACTAAGTATAATAATAAGGTGTTATATACATGAGATGTTTTTGCTTATTTGCAAATCATAGCCTAAGGTAAATGTCTGCACTTATTTTTCTTATTAGTGCTGAAGAATGACAAACTGAATACTTTGTATGACTGTTAATTAGTAGTTACTTCATAGTTATTTTTCTTGAACCTTAATTAGTAGATAATTAGTAGTAGTTCTTCAGGAGGTATGACAGAATTCATTAGCTATTGATTAACTAACTGATACTTAACACAATCATAAAATTATATTACATACTGATTAGTTAACACATCTTCCTTAGTAGTTAACAGTAGTGACTTCAGTGTTAATAAAGAATTACCTATTAGTTCTTCATTAATTCCTTATTAGTTATGCAGTAAGTAAGATACAGTATTCTAAAGTGTTACCCAAATCTTTTTCCGAGTCAATTTGTTTGTTTCGTTCGTATGACACGCAAAAAGATTCGTTCATTTTGATAAACGAGTTTGAACAGGAGAGTCACAAACTTGCATGTCATGTGACCAGTTAATGTGTGTGTTGTTGATAACAAAGAATGGAATATATTTTCTTTCTATTTGTATTTTTATAACAATATGGTACAATAATATAATCGTATTCAAATCAATGTGAGTTAAAAGGAGTTAAAATGTGTCCCAGAAAACAAGGCGGTTCCTCCCATGACCTATGACCTTTCACATGAGACACTGAGGGTTATTTTAGGGACCAAATAGGATGTCACACAATATCTGGCTGACTGACGTGTTCTTGCTCAGTGAGAACAAGCCGATGATTTGGCAAAGCTGCACATCAAAGTTGATGAACACATCCTGAGCAAGCAAATGCAATGCTTCTGCCATCATTTCTGTGATTTATGGAACTACATCAAATTAATTGCATGATTTGATTAAGGGATAAGGATAGGTCATCCATTTAACCTAAAGCGTTGAGGATACCAGCCCAGATCTCATACCACTAATTCACACTACCCAAATGAGCGATCGTTTCGCTTGATAAGACCCTTATTCATCGTCTGGAATCGTTTAAAGCCCTTTGAACAGTTTGCAGTTTGCACTGAAACTGTCTTTTGCACCTTGAACCGTTTGGTTCCCATTGAAGTCAGAGAAAATCCTGGAATGTTTTCATCAAAAACCTTAATTTCTTTCCGACTGAAGAAAGAATGACAAGGATGTCTTGGATGACATGGGGGTGAGTAAATTATCAGCAAAAGTTTGTTTTAAAAGTGAACTACTCCTTTAAGCAATCTAAAATAGTTTTAGCTAAATAACAGGTCTGGATCTCCATCTTTTTACCACATGTTTTTTGTTTACGACAACAAAAGCACTTGAACGCAACACACTGGTACCAGTTCACAAGTGGAAAATATCATAGCACGTGAACACACCATTAGGCTCTGGCTCTCTATTGACAGTCTACGCAACTACCACTTTCCAGGCCCATAAAGGTAGTAACATCATCTTTAATGGATTAATATCAAGTAATCCATTAAAGTGACTCCAGTGGTTTAAGCTCAGTTTTTCTTTTCGCAAAAGAAGCATAATTTACCACTTTATTTACAAAATATTAATCTCCAATGCGCTGTTTTAATTAATCTTCAAACAAAGCACTCACGTCACTTCCTAAAATTGAAACCACTGGAGTCACATGGATTACTTTAATTATATTTTTACTACTTTCTTGGGCCTGAAAGTGGTTGCGTAGCTGACAGAAAGCTCTCAGATTTCAATAACAATCATCATTTGTGTTTTGAAAATGAGGGAAAGTCGGGTTTTTAACGACATGAGGGAGAGCTTTTGGGTGAACTAATGCACTGTTTTTCGTTGGAAATTTCCGACTCAGTGCAGAATAATTTTTGTTTTGTAGAGAAAACAGCCTTTAAAAGTGCAGCATGCAGTGCAATATAAATATATTACAGATTCAAAAAAGATACATAAGTATTTTGGATGTTTTCTTTCCACTATTCTGAAATAGGTAAGTTGTGGGAGCAAAACAGCCCAAAATCTCAAACCCAGTGGATGAAACAAACAGTGGTTTCGGCTTTGCTGTCTGTATGACTTGCCGTTAATCTTGCCGTCACCAGCTTAGATCTTTAATCTATTTGAGACTATCTTTATTCTTAGTTAGACCTTATGAAAATATCTACCTTAGTTCTCTGAAACCATTAGTTAATGCAGCAAAAATGCAACAGGTGTAGAACCAAATTGTTGATCATATTAAACAGGAAACCTATCCGTTAACTTATTTGAGATTCACGTAAACACACAATGTAGAATGTGGTGCGCGTGAGTCTAATATTTGAATGAAGTGGTCTAGTGTGGTGATGATGACAGTTGCTGTTCAGCTAAGCTAACAAAACGGCCAAAACACTCAATGTAAGCCCACCAGAACTCTCATAAAGGATATCTCAAACCTTACCTTTTCCTTTAAACGTCTCAGAGTCCGCTGGTCACAATAATGCGCGAGTACACATTATATTTAATATAACTGTACCGGTCTTTTATCACTGCGTCAGGCCGTGCAGAATGAGTGATAGTCGCTAGAGACATTCACACACACACGCCGACAGCCAATCAGAAAGGAGGAACGTCATAGCGCTTGAGTTTACCGTAAAGCTCAGTATAGAAAGCGCAGAGAAATACCGACCATAGAAGCGGAAAGAAAATGATGAAATTACCGTAAAGATCTTACACAAACAAACCTCATTCCTCATCAGTTGTTTTTGCAAGTCAGACTTGAGTTTTGCATTTTAGTCGTCGATTTTTCTAATAAAGTAAGACAATAATAATAATAAAAATGTTTTGATATTTAGATATTGATAATAAAAAGCCTATTATTATTTATTCACATTAAAATACAATGTTGTTTTTGACTGACTTTTAATAGAAAAAGGAAGAAATCTTGATTTCGTTTGCATGTTTTTTATTTTTATTTAATCTAATTAATTTATTAACTGCAGTTTTTATTCTTTGTACGTTCTGAATGACTTTGTCACTTTTATTTAATGATTTTATTTGTTACATTGGCGAAAAAATATTCAACTGATATCACTGCAGTGTGCTGGGACATTTTGAGATAAATAAATGCCTGCTTATCTCTGCATAATGTAATTGCGTTACAGAGCGCATGTCTATTCGCCCTATGACCAGAAGAGGTCGCAGTTGAGTCTGTAGTTTTGGCAGTAAATTTAGAAGTCCTGCAAAACTAAACTAAACCAACCATTGACAATGTGGAAGTATTGAGATAGGCCTACTTTATTTGTTTATCATGCTACAGTACACATAGGTGTGATTCGGTAGCATTTCTTAATATTTGTCATAAACAAAATTGAGCAGATCCATAGCTGATGTATGTAGGCTATTCATTTCAGTCCCCCAGACGTTTCAAAGTTTCTCCAAAATGAAACGTTAGAAGCGTTAGAAGCTTTTCACAACACTTTGGTGTCCATTATAATGAATAAACATAATTTTTATCATAAAATAATGTATTTTGTCATGTCACAAGGCACTTCACTGAATTTGTTAATATTTACCATAATGTGCAATGTGCAATAATTTTTATGTGTCAATAATTGTTGGCAATATTGTAAGTATTTATTTGTGTATTCATATGTTCATTTTGTTGAGACATATTGTGTCAAGCTTAACAACCCCATCACAAAATTAAGATGTATTTTTTTTTTCTTTTTAAATCCATAAGTAGTCTATATATTTCATTGCTGCCAGATATGGTCTACTTCCTGACACTACAAGTGGCCTTTTTGAGCAAAAAAAAAAGACCCAGGCTAGACTGACTGTTTAAGTGAATGTATCTACACACACTTTTACTCTGCCCAAGGCTAACCTGTTTTGTCTGTACACCAAAGAGAGCCGATCAAACAATCTCACTTCCAAAATGATCTGCTTTTATTTTTGTACTATATTATCTTCCATTATCTTATGAAACATCAGCTCTGAGGATTAAAAATGATTAGTAGACAGAAATTGCAGGGAGAGGCGCTCGAGACTCCACCTGAGCGGGCTTAAGGTACTAACAACGATTGTGTCGGATGTCTGCTTTCATCTGTTATTGAAGACTTATTAATATAAGAAATTTATCTTCGCTTCTTTGACATAATGGCCCGGTTTCACAGACAGGGCTCAGATTAAGCCAGGATTAGGCCTTAGTTCAATTAGAGCATTTAAGCAGCTTTTATAAACCTGCCTTGTGCATCCGTGAGACAAAACAATGGCACTGATGTATTTTAAGATATGCTCTCAGTTAAAACTGTCCTGGGACTGGACTTAAACTTTATCTGTGTAACTGGGGGGTTATGTTTTATATAATAGCTCACACAAAGAAAAAAAAGACTGAAAGAAGATGCACATCTTATGAGAGTGTCCTTTATTTTGTGTACATAAATATCGCATATCAAATAAACATTATTATCAAAATATACACAAACACTAAGGAAATTATATTCGTTAATAAATAGGTAAAAACAATAAGTTACAATAGGGTTTATTACGTTATTCTAGTTGCGTACCAAATGACACACTGTGCACTTATACACTGTACTCATGCACTATGTACTCAACCAAGTAGTGTATGGATTTTATATGGTTATGAGTCTGATGCCCATATTAAAGCTTCGACAGTTGAGAGTCCAACATCCCACACGTCGGTTTTTTGGGGTTGATTAAGTGCTTCATCCAGGTATTTGAAGTCCACTTGTTCATTTTGATTTTTTTTTTTTTTCAGTGCATTCACGCTACTCGCACTGTTTATACTACAAAACGGCATAGTGTAGAAGTGTACGAATTGAGATGCATGTGCGAGATATCTGTAGTGCAATCCACACCAGTGACATCAGTATGACTTCTACCTGAAACAAAAACAATTTTCCATAAACAACACACCGATCAATATAAATAAAGTGAAATTGTGGTTTAGATGTTGTAGCCCTCAAACCGTATTCACTTTATAGCCCTTAATACTGTATTGTGGACAAATGTGGGCACAGAGGACTTAGGTGTGATCCTAATTTTTATTTATTATAAATGTTATATCACTGTCTTCGATAAAGTTTTGTCTATCCATTTATGGTGTTTTTTTTTTTATTTTGGTTTTTTTAAAATTTATTTACTTCAAAAAGTACCATATTTCTATGTAAATTATGCTTATGTTTTATTATTATTTTTTTAACTACATTAAAATATCATTCCTGTAAGTTCTTAGAGCTAAAACCTAAAGATGAAGTGACTTTGCTGTCACCTGGTGTCTTATTTTGGCTTATTTTAGAATGCTCTAAATTACAGTTTTCCCCATTCATTTCTATGGGTGCCCATTTTTGACCCAAATACAAGATTAAGGAGTTTTTTTTTCACCCACTTAACATTGTAGAATTGAGTCACAAAAAATTGTGTGCGTTCAGGAGGCAAACTTAGGAAAAGTAGCCAAGTCTTGTACCGCTCAGATCAAGGGAAGGATTTTTAAAAAAAATAAATCAAAACTATTTTGCCCACATTTGTCCAGAATACGGGTTTAGGGTTAAAGATAGCATACTTGGATAGTTGAAAAATGAAAATTCTCTCATCATTTGCTCACCCTTAAGTTGTTCCAAACCTGTATGCGTTTCTTCTGTTGGATACAAAATAAGATATTTTGAAGAATGTTGATAACAATGGAAGTCAATGGAGTCAAACAACTGTTTGATTACCAACATTCTTCAAAATATCTTCTTTTGTATCCAACAGAAGAAACTCATACAGGTTTTGAACAACTTGAGGTGAGAAAATGAAATAAAAACAGATTTTTTTTTTTTTTTTGGGTAAACTGTCCCTTTAAGAAGGGACTACAGACCTTAATATGATATAGAAACCATAACATTGTGTCTTTGAGACTATCTTACATTTAAAAATGTACTTTCTCGTCACACCATAATGTTCTTCTTCTCTAGTTTCTCTCTCTCGCTAGTGGAGCTCAGGAAAGCTGCCTGAAAGCGATGATGTGTTCGATAGCTGGAATATAAAAACAAAACAACACTAAATACATTTAGTGCACAGTTTTCCAGAAAACTCAAATCTACTTACTTCTTTGCAACTATTTAATAATAATGTAATTGCTTCCCATAGGCCATCAATGTGTACTTGTTTAATTAATTTGGACTTCTCTGTGCATGCTCTTTGAGGTGGTGACCATAGACCTCCATTATATGACTGACAGACAAGAACGGTTTGACCTAAAAATATCAAAATTGAAACTACTGCGGAAACAAAGACACCTACATCTTGGATGCCCTTGAGGGTAAACTAAAACATATTCAAAATTAATTTCAAAGTGAACTATCCCTTTAATGAGCGCTCTGTTGTTTTATATAACACATCTGGCGCCATCTAGCGTCTCAATTGTTATGTAGTGAAAATGGCCTCAGGGTCACTGCATTCCTTACATATAAAAACCTTTTGATGCACAGGCTTTCGTGTAAATGCTTGAAATTAATTTAATAGACAATTATAAATAGTGCTTGCTTACATAGCTAATGAATTTCTTCACAAAAATACATTTTTCATTGAAATAATTTTTTAAAAATGGATTAGATATATTGAGAAAAGCATCATAAAGTGTCTAGAATACATGTGAATTCCTTCAAAAGCCTGCCAAGATTCACCACGCAAAGTTGTTTTATGAATATCCAGTATGTATGAGCAGATCTGAGATCTGTAGAAGCTCAAACAGGCTATCAGAGAGATTTGTTTCCCACGTTTTTGGTCGCTACATAATTCCCATAGCTCCATTTGTGTTATCTCATAGTTTTGATGGCTTAGTATGATTTACAATAATAATGATATAGAATGGGAAGGTGTGTCCAAACTGGTGGTGTATAAATCTGTCACAAAAGGTGCCTATTATATCCCAGGCGTGTTTTGTGAGTGAAAATGAATGAGTGTGTGTGTGTGTGGGCGGGTGTACTGAAAATTTAGCAAGCGTATTCTGAATGCAGTGCGTACTTACTGCACGCAGACCATAAGCAGGATAGCTAGACAGCTGATGATTGACAGGACGACAGCCATGATGACGAGCGCGGTGTGGGTCGTTTCGGTACTGCTCTCGTCCCGGGACGTCCCGAGGAGCTGGATCCCACAGCGTTCTCCGTCATAACCTCTCTTACATCTGAAACAATCATACATTCAATTCGTTACACAAACTGAAGCATGACATTCATTAATTTACAGTAAAGGAGTAGTTCACTTTAAAAAAAACTTTTGCTGATAATTTACTCACCCCCATGTCATCCAAGATGTCTATGTCTTTCTTTCTTCAGTCGAAAAGAAATTAAGGTTTTTTGATAAAAACATTCCAGGATTTTTCTCCATATAATGGACTTCAATGGGAACCAAACGGTTCAAGGTCCAAATGAGAGTTTCAGTGCAGCTTCAAAGGGCTTTAAACGACACCAGACGATGAATAAGGGTCTTATCAAGCGAAACGATCGCTCATTTAAAAAATAAACAAAAAAGTTTTAGTTTTATAAGCTCAAATGCTCGCCTTGCTCTGTTCTGTGATGCGCGTTCGTGACTCTCCTGTTCGAACTCGTTCATCAAAATGAATAAATCTTTTTCCGAGTCATTTGGTTAATTCAACGTACGAAACAAATGAATTGACTCAGAAAAAGATTCGTTCATTTTGATGAACGAGTTCGAAAAGGAGAGTCACAAATGCGTGCTCGTGACTCTCCTGTTCGAATCTTTTTCGAGTCATTTTGGTCATTCAACGTATCGAAATTACCGAAATGACTCGAAAAAAGATTCGTTCATTTTGATGAACGAGATCGAACAGGAGAGTCATCGTCAGGTATCGTTTAAAGCTGCACTGAAACTCTCATTTGGACCTTGAACCGTTTGGTTCCCATTGAAGTGCATTATATGAGGAAAAATGCTTAATTTCGTTTCGACTGAAGAAAGAAAGACATGGACATCTTGGATGACATGGGGGTGAGTAAATTATCAGCAAAAGTTTTAAAAAGTGAACTACTCCTTTAAACTCTTTATTTGTATCCTCTGAGTGCACGTGTGTGAGATGTTGTGCGTCACTCACACACAGACGGGCTCTCTCAGGCCGTGGAGGTACGTGCAGTGGCCATGGATACAGTAGTCCACGTGAGAGGTCAGGCAGGGGTCAGCGGTGGTGCTGTGGGTCCTCTGACTGGATGTGTGGTTCGGCTGAACAGGAGTGATATTTTTATTCTTTTTTCGTCCTTTGCTCTTTTTACGCCCGGACCGCTTATGATTCTGCTCGTCTCTGCTGACTTGGGCTACAGAAAGACATAAGATACTATATATTAAATAATGAATTTAATTTATCAATCACATCAAAACATTTTACAATCCTATTAACCCTTTATTTCGATTAAAAAGCATTCTTATTAATTTGGTGAGGAACATAGCTTTTTGAGCAGACCCTGTAATCCTGTTTGCCATTAATGCTAACGATTAATCGATTAATTTAAACGACAATCGATCATGGGAATTTGTGAAAATTGAAGATCTCGCCATCTCCGAAAAGCCAAGTCAGTGTTAATTCTTGTTTAATTATGAGATCTGTCATTATAAGTACTGTTTTGTATTTTTTTAACCCTCTGGGCTTCTTCGGTCAAAAATGACCGAAAACTGTTACGTTTTGAAATGTTTACTTTTTTTGCTTGATCGGATCGGGCTGAAACTTGGTGACTTTTGTTGTATTACCTATATGAACACACAAAAAAATCAAGGAGATGATTCTGATTTGTTAAAGGGTCGTAAAAAAAAAAGTCACACTTAGCTTCCTCCCGGTCAAAAATGACGACATAGGAAATGAATGGGAAATACGAAAAAATAGGAAAACTCAGAGAAACTTTTGGTGGTACAAGCTACAGATCAGCAACTGTGCAGAAAAAAAGTGTACAGCAATGAAGGGGTGACACTCTAGAGCATCAAGAGTGCAAATAAGACCACCCCCCCCCCCACACACACACACACATACACAGATAAACTGGCAAGACTGCACCAGCAAATTTGTAGAATATGAAAAATAAAATCAATAAATGAGAAAAAAATCTTGCTCAAATGCGCACTCACACACACACGCACACAGACATGAGAAATCATGTCTAAACCAACAAAAAGAATCAAAAATCCTTTCTATGTATTTGAATAGGAAGCTATAGGCAGCCTACAGGCTGTACAGGACATTGCACACATGTAACTATTTTTTAAAGCCACTAGGTGGCGCTCTTCTACTTGAATATTTTTTTTTTTATTAGCTGACACTCTATTTTGATGTGAAATGTTGTATTTATTGAAAAAAAAAAAAAAAAAATATAAAATAAAAATATGTATATTAATTCTAATGGAAAAAATAGCTCATAAAAATTATATAATTAATGCAAAGTATCATACAAAAATTCTAAAAATTCTAAATAATAATCATAAAATATTATAGAACAAAAATATATTTGAATGGTTATCCTGGGAAGAAGTAAAGTAAAATTTTAAGGCTTCGTCCGTTTTTGACCGGGAGGAAGCTAAGTGTAACCCATTTACGAAGAAGCCCAGAGGGTTAAATGGGTAATTCCCCAGAAATTTGAGATTTAGTGGTACCACTTATGTGTCAAAGTAGACTGAGCAACTTTTCTCTATTTATGGGTGTGACGAGACACAAACGGGCGAGTGACGTACCTATTTTTCCACAATATCTTAAAAATATAAACACTTGTAATAGGCTTACCATAGTGAATCAGGGTTAGTCAGCGTAAGTTACATAGTGTACCTTTAAACAAAGATGGATCATTGAACATTCCTGATGGATCCTGATCATCATCAGATTCCAAATCTTCACCCACGGCACTCTGAAGCCCCTCCCCTGATGATGACATCACGGTCACATGATCCAGCGCAGATGTGTGAGCGGCTGCTGATCTTATAGTGAAAACTGCACTGCAAGCTGCACACAAAATGAATCACAGTCTATCACATTAGAAGTGTAGTAACTTCTTCTTTTTGTGTGTGTGAGGAATGCTGTTTCGGCCCAGTTTGCAAATAATAACAGGATCAAACACTTCATTATATTACAATGACACATTAACCTCAATTAGTGTTTTAAAATTGAGGTTAATCTTCTAATGTTGCGGTTATTGTTGAGTCATCCTGTAAACACCCCATACTGAGCAAACTAGCTGTGTATGTGCGTGTGAGAGAAAATAAAAGCCAGTGGAAATGTTGAGGTTATATGAAGAAGCCTTGCACCTGCTGCAACTACAATAGTCCTTTATGTCTCCTTTTCTTGTTTGGGCACCTTTTACCTGGTTACGAAATACATAGTTTAGGAACTGATCTAATAAATCTAGCATTCCATTTGTGCTAAAATGTACAATATAATAACATGTATGATTTTGGAAAAACTTGACTATCGGGAGCTATTGAGAAGGATGCACATTATATGTGGGTTTGAATATGTGTCTTTGTCAATTTAATTTCTACACTGAAAAAAATAAATGGTGTAAACCATTTTCACTCGGAAATTGCTAGTACGCATCACAATTAATCACAAAGACGAGACGACACAAGTAACACTGATTTAAATTAGAAAGACTGAAATAGTATTTTTTTGTGGCTACTCCAATAATCTGTTATAGTTAAAAAAAAAAGGGCAAAAATGCAGCAAAATAAGTTATTTGACCTGAACATCGAAAGGTTGCTAAATTGATCTATGCAAGGAGCAAGCAATGATCCATTACTACTGAAGTCTTCAACATAAACAACATAAAACTAAGCAATTGCTAAGCTGTCCGCAACCTCTTCTGTAATGTTTTATTAATTCAAGAAAAAAAAAAAATGTAGGCTGGAACGTGGATTTATCCATCAGGAACTAATTGGGATCAAGACAAGAGGGCGTTATAATGCAGAATGGAGTCAGACCTGATGTGTGAACATGGAGGACTACTCCCATCCTGAAACTCAGCCAGCATCTGTTGGCTGAAACTAAAGCCATGGTAACGTTGTTGCATAGGTGGGGTAGTTTTGATGAAACGATTAAGACAGGCATGTTTTTGTTTGGAATAACGTGTAAAAAGATGAGGAACAAGAAGGATCCATTTGATGTTCGCTTAGTAATCTAAGGTGCCATTGTCTGAAAATTGCAGGAACAAATTCCACCTGCCCTGGGTGTGTGGCAATAATTGATAATAAATTGATCTAGTTAATCGAATGCTATTTTGCATGCTATTTTATACTGCATGTATTCTGTTTACTATATATTAACCCCTTAGCTGTCACCCCCCTTTTTGAGAATGGGGGTTAAAATGCACTATTCAAACTTAAATGGTTGTAATTTAAGAATTGCTTTGGAATATATACCCAAGTCACTCAGCAGAATATTGCTGAAGTGAAAACACTTCAAAAAATGAAAGTATGAAAAAGTGTAAATTTACAGTAAATCAAATATACTGTACTATATATGTTTTTATTTTATATAAAATATATATTTTACAAAATATTTTTTACTCTAAAATTTCTATAAAATCAAAGCCATAAATCTCATCAAGTTATGTTCCAAATTTGAAGTTGATATCACAAAAATTGAAGTTCCCATGAGATTTTGTTTAGGCGTAGTACCAAAAATAGCCACCGGGTGCCATTAAATTCCATTGAATTTAGTTGTATACATTCTGCCTTAAAAAATTAATACATTTCTGTCCAAATATCAATTCTGTCACAAAATGTGGAACCTTGAGACGTCTGACCTTTCTGACAATATCAGTTTTGTCAAGATTAGAAAAGGTTTTGATAATAAATTATGAAATATAATGATGCCCAAAAGGGGAGGAGCCTGATAAAATAAGTACCGTTTCTATTGTAACGCAACGCTCAATTATAAAACAGTTTTCACACGATGAATTCTGAGTTTATAAGCTTTCAAATGATACCTAATTTATCATAACTACTAAAATATGTGATATAATAAAAAAAGACGATAATAAAAGATAATAATAATCATTTTTAGAGGATAATATTATAATATGATTTTTTATTTTTTTTATTGAAAAATACTAGATTATATGTTTTATTATGAACTTTTAGCATAAAAACATAATTTTCAATGATTAAAAAGTGGGTGCATCGACTTTTTGTGACAAAGGTCAAAACTCCTGTTATGATGCAGATTTTTTGAGGTGCACTCTTGTCCTAAATTCACCAATTACTCTTCCTACATAATTTTTTAACACAAAACAGGGGTAGAATATCTATTTAGAAGTCTTAGACCTTTCCAACGATATATAATTTGTCATAATTAGATTAGAATTTAATAGAAATATAGTGAAGTAAAGTTAGGCATCCCGGTACGGGGACGGACGGTGACAGTTAAGGGGTTAAAGATAGTTTAGACAAGTTCGGAGAAGGTAATGATTGCAAGCTAGCTTTGAGAGCATGAGATCCCACCCTCCCTTCAGAGCGACTAGCCACGCCTCCTTCAAAACACATGAACGCACACAGCAGAGTCTGCAAAGCATCATGAGAGAAGGTGTTAAGTCAACTTGTCTTAAAAAAAGCATAACATTATAAAAGTAATGAACGTAAACATCTTAGCACCTGACTGCTGCAGATTCATTTCGGCATTGATAGTGTTGTTGACACATCCGAGTCTGAGGACGTGAACAGCTCCGGGTAGAACGTCATCTCGTAATTGACCTATGGCTAAGCCACGCCCTCAAACGGGATGAGCCAATCACAGTGCACTGCTAATCCAATATACTCGGACATTCTCTGCTTCCACGTCCATTGAAATGCATTGCAGTTAGTCAGTTTTCATTAGTTTTTTCTTCTCATTTTAAGTTTAAAATGGTCAAACGGTGTGTATGGGGTACATACAGCTCCGACACTAGGTGTCCGAGAGGCTGCGCGACGGTGTGTTTTTTTTACCCTTTTCCAAACAACATCTCAACCGAGATAAGCGTCTGCTCTGGATTAAGTTATGCGGTAGACCACAACGAAGTTAAGTCAACAACATATTTGAACGTTATCTTTAAAATCTCTAACGCAACATTAGGCTAACGTTAGCTTCTAGCTGCGTTGTAAGCTTCATTAAAGTATCTGTAAATAACCGAGATAATAAATGTTAACAATGTTGTGCTGAATGATTCATGTAAATACTGTAGCACCAAATGGTGATGGCAACGATATGCGGTTTATCACGTTTACACTGTGACCTGTAACATTTTTGCCAGGAGTTGAAGCTTTTCATCGACCTTCTCAACAATAAAATTATTAATATAACCCTCCAATGCATAGTTAAGGCCCTTTAGGTGACTTCGAGAATCTTTCTGTCTCCAAAAATCACCAATTGCCTCCTGTGAAAAGTCTCCTACTGTGACAGCTGCCATAGTCCCCGAATGTCGACTGTTTGTCCGAGAGAGTGGAGGGGGCGTGGCTTAGACATACGTCAATTATGGTTATGACATGACGTGAACGCAGCATGCGCTTATTGTTTTGGTTCAGGAGTTGTCTATCTGTCTACAGTGTTTCTCAACTAAGGCTGCATATCTCGGCTGCCAAGTCATCAGTTTGAAGGATCCTTGAAAGCCAGCCTTCGTTTCGCGTCATTCATTCGCCAGTTTTGAAGGATGCATTAGACGTATCCTTCGCTGCCTTAAAGGAGTAGTTCACTTTTGAAAAAACTTTTAATGATAATTTACTCACCCCCATGTCATCCAAGATGTCCATGTCTTTCTTTCTTCAGTCGAAACGAAATTAAGGTTTATGATTTTTCTCCATATAATGGACTTCAATGGGAACCAAACGGTTCAAGTTCCAAAAGAAACTAAGTACAAACTGCAAACTTGTTCAAAGGGCGTTAAACGATTCCAGACGATGAATAAGGGTCTTATCAAGGGAAATGATTGCTCGTTTTATAAATAAATAACAAAGTTTAAGTTTTATAAGCTCAAGCGCTCGCCTTGCTCTGTTCTGTAACGCACTCCTGTTCGGACTCGTTCATCAAAATGAACAAATCTTTTTCCGAGTCATTTGGTTCATTCGGCGAAAGAAACGAACGAATTGATTCGGAAAAAGATTTGTTCATTTTGTTGAACGAGTTCGAACAGGAGAGTCACGAACGTGCACCACAGAACAGAGCAAGTCGAACATTTGATCTTATAAAACTTAAACTTTGTTATTTATTTATAAAACGAGCAATCATTTCCCTTGATAAGACCTTGATATTCATCGTCTGGAATCATTTAAAGCCCTTTGAACAAGTTTGCAGTGTGCACTGAAAGTTTCTTTTGGAACTTGAACCGTTTGGTTCCCATTGAAGTCCATTATATGTAGAAAAATGCTGGAATGTTTTCATCAAAAACCTTAATTTCTTTTCGACTGAAGAAAGAAAGACATGGACATCTTGGATGACATCTTGGGTGAGTAAATTATCAGCAAAAGTTTTTTTGAAAAGTGAACTAATCCTTTAAATAACCCACAATCACAAAAATAAACTGACGGAAAACGAGTCAGTACTGCGCTAATACTGAAATATAAGACAAAATTAATGTTTTCGGTCATGAAAGCATAAATGTTATCTTTTGTTTTGCTGTAAATTAATCACGCTAAACTGACAATGATGTAAACCACTGGGAGATGAGCTGTCATTCACTGTATTGCATTAATAAAAAATATAAAGATTTGTAATACTAAGTATTTTTCCAAAATTAAGGGGGCGGAACGTGTGAATAAATAGCCATGCAGCGTTTATTTGCTGAGGTGAACTCTAGCCTACTACAAGCCTCAGAATGATTGGACTAGGAAGGACGCAGCCTCACTAGGAGTCATATTTTCATTTGAGAAACACCCAACTCTGCATACTCTCATGGAGCACACCAATGACGTGTGACGTCTGTGCAAGAGTTCAGGGGAACAGGCATTCAGACCAAATGCAATGATTGGACGTTTTTTTGTTTTTTTTTTGTCATGAGACTTCCACAGAAATTTTTTTTATTTTTAGACCACTTCTATTGATCGCTATCAGGATGTGAAGAGAGTCTCACCCAGTTTAACAAAAAGTGTTTCTGTTTTTACAATTTTAAAGGAGTAGTTCACTTTTGAAAAAACTTTTGCTGATAATTTCCTCACCCCCATGTCATCCAAGATGTCCACGTCTTTCTTTCTTGGTTTTTGATGAAAACGTTTCAGGATTTTCTCCATATAGTGGACTTCAATGGGAACCAAACGGTTCAAGGTCCAAATGAGAGTTTCAGTGCAGCTTCAAAAGGATTTAAACGACACCAGACGATGAATAAGGGTCTTATCTAGCGAAACAAGTGGTTATTTCAAAAATAAATAACAAACTTTAAGTTTTATAAGCACAAATGCTCGCCTTGCTCTGTTCTGTGACTCTCCTGGTCGAACTCGTTCATCAAAATGAACAAATCTTTTTTCGAGTCATTTGGTTCACAAAAATAAGATAAAACCCTTATTCATCGTCTGGTGTCGTTTAAAGCCCTTTGAAGCTGCACTGAAACTCTCATTTGGACCTTGAACCGTTTGGTTCCCATTGAAGTCCATTATATGGAGAAAATCCTGGAATGTTTTCATCAAAAACCCTAATTTCTTTTCGACTGAAGAAAGAAAGACATGGACATCTTGGATGACATGGGGGTGAGTAAATTATCAGCAAAAGTTTTTTTTAAAAACTCCTTGAACATATTTCACTTTCTTTCTTTGATATTTGGTAATTCAATGACGCTTTTATCGCAGGCATGATCTGGCGACCGCTGCAGTCAAACAAGTCTGCACCGAGAATGTGAGTAAATCTGTACACTCCTACAAGACTGGAATCCTACGTTTAATTGTCAAAGAAATTCCTCACCTAGAAACACACACACACACCTATTATTGTGTTCCGGGATGACCTTTTAAACGTTATTTCAGAAAGCTAAATATATATATTTAGCAGTGTGACGCCCTAATCCTCTGTTCTTTGCAGTGAACAATAAGCGCTTTGTGACGCTGAACATGACAACAGACAGCTGAGATTTAAAATGTGTGGCATACACCTATGGGAAAAGGCATTCAGAGGCATGTTACCACAAGCCGAATCAATTTCTCACAGCCCAGCCTGTCTGGAGACATAAACACACTATCTATACTTCACTCAGCTCGAGAGTTCATGCTACTGTAGGTTTGAAGGAAGTTTACGAGTCAAGTCAAGGTGAAATTTAACAGTAAGTAAATTAAAAAAAAATACACTGAGCATGGAAGAGAATATGTTGTAGTTTCACACACTTTCTCATGCTTTTTCCAGTGCAATCAAAAGGAATCATTTTTAAGCAATCTAAATATTTAACCACAAAGCATTATTAAGACATATTCACACACAAACAAAACAACATTTTATGAGTTAATTCAGGTTTCAGGACTGGAAAGCACAATTTAATTATTTTTTTTTGTCATTTTTTCCATTACCGTGTCAACACTCAGGCTGACAGGTCAAGAATAGGATGGAGAAAAGCAAACTCACCGACACAGAGCAGCAGAGAGGAGAGGCGCTGTAGGTTCATGGCAGCTGACAGCTGAGTTCCGCGTTGAGTTTCTGTTTGTCATGTACTTATCGTTCAGGAGGAGCTTTTATAGGGAGGTTTCCCTTCGCACAATTCAGAGATAATGTGTGTGTTTGTGTTAGTGCGTGCATGTCGGCGCCTTTTGTGAGGTAAATGATTGAAGAGAGTCCATCTGTAGAATTCATCCAATGGTTATTCATACGCAAGTCATTATTTACCATTCATTTTCCATTTCACGTCACTGATGCTGTGCCTTCACTGTATTATGCTGTTGAGATTCGAGTGGGATGTAAAAATACTTCTAAATAAGTAAACATTCGTGTTTATTTTTTATTGTTATGCTCAAATAATGACTTTACATACCGTTTTGGGACACAAGAGTCACTGGAATTGAATTTGGCCATGGAATATTTGGGATGGAGTATGAGATGCATCACGTCTGGAATAAAAAGAATGAAAAGAATGAGACATTTCTGGGAAAAATGCGATGGACAGATAGAGAGAAGCCAAAATAGCACCAGTACATGAGCCATTCCACCGAAAGGGTGACATTTCTGTCCCCAATGTCCCCACAATTGCATGAAAATGAACTCTAAAATACATTTTATTATTAAGTAAAAACGTATAATTAAAAACATTAATAAAAACGACACGGAACACTAAAAAATAGCACTTTCTGCATGTCCCAACTCTCAACTTTACTATGAAATATAATGATTAAAATCCTTCAGAAATCTGTTTTTTCTTGCATTGTTGTGTGACTTTATATCCAAACTGCTTTAAAATGAAAAAAAAAAAAACTCTAAAATACATTTTATTATTAAGTAAAAACGTATAATTAAAAACATTAATAAAAACGACACGGAACACTAAAAAATAGCACTTTCTGCATGTCCCAACTCTCAACTTTACTATGAAATATAATGATTAAAAATCCTTCAGAAATCTGTTTTTTCTTGCATTGTTGTGTGACTTTATATCCAAACTGCTTTAAAATGAAAAAAAAAAAAAACTCTAAAATACATTTTATTATTAAGTAAAAACGTATAATTAAAAACATTAATAAAAACGACACGGAACACTAAAAAATAGCACTTTCTGCATGTCCCAACTCTCAACTTTACTATGAAATATAATGATTAAAATCCTTCAGAAATCTGTTTTTTCTTGCATTGTTGTGTGACTTTATATCCAAACTGCTTTAAAATGGAAAAAAAAAAAAAAGATTTCGGGTTTTCACTCAGTCCTGTTACACTATTACATCCCCCCTCTGGAAAACGTAGACACATTTTCAACAGTAAGTTGCATCATCTGGATCTTCTGAAGGCAATGGGGCGACCATAAGTCAGTCCTCTCATTTTTATTTCTGTATACTTGATGAAATTGTAACTATGAATGAGAAGGTCAATCATACGGTCCTGTTACCTAAACTTTTTTTTATTTTAAAATATTACCTTTTGGTAAGGCACTAGAAATGGCTCTGTGTCCTTAGCATCAATGCTGTGTGGCCACATGCCATATATTTGATAACTTTTTGCTTAAAAACTCAATCCTGTTACTTTCAGTCCTGTTGCTATTTTTTTCTTTTTCAAAAAAAAAAATGAATTAAAATAAATTAAACCACTATTTTTATCAGTTTTGTTTGGCCCAAAATGTATACAATTATTTAATTAATTCTAAATAATACAGGTTTTCTTCGGTTTTCTTTAAAATGGAAATTCAAAATGCTTTAATAGTGATTTTATCGGCACACATATCAATTTTTTGAACATACACTCTCAGAAAAAAAGGTACAAAAGCTGTCACTGGGGCTGTACCTTTTCAAAAGGTACAGTTTTGTACCCAAAAGCTGCATATTGGTACCTTAGTGGAACATTAGCACTTGAAATGTACATATTAGCACCTAAAATGTACATATTAGTACCTAAAATGTACATATTACCTCATGAAATGTACATAGCTCCTGAAATGTACATATTACCACCTAAAATGTACATATTAACACCTAAAATGTATATATTGATACCTAAAGTGTAAATATTACCTCATGAATGGACATATTAGCTCATGAAATGGACATATTAGCACCTAAAATGTACATATTAGGACCTAAAATGGACATATTACCTCATGAATGGACATATTATCTCATGAAATGGACATATTAGCACCTAAAATGTACATATTAGGACCTAAAATGGACATATTAGCTCCTGAAATTGATATATTAGCACCTAAAATGTACATATTAGTACCTTATGTACATATTAACACTTAAAATGTAAATATTACCACCTAAAATGGACAAAAGTTTACCTATAGAAAAGGTACAGCAGCCCCAGTGACTTTTTTCTACCTTTTTTCTGAGAGTGCATAACCAACAATTTCTTTAAAATAAACACTTTCTTGTGAGGAAAACAAAGGAATTAATTGACATGCTTTTAAACTTGCTTTTTAAATGACACATGATTTTCGGTAACAGGACTGAGAAAACATGCGCCCATCTTCTGCTTAAACCTTGTAAAAAAATAAAGTTGCCTGAGATTGACCAATACACATTTTGAATAGTTAAATACGTGTAGTATTATATTCAATGTTGAAAAAGATTAAAAAAAAAATAAAGTGTTTTTGAAGAGGGTTTTTTATTTTTTATTTTTGAAGAGTTATAGAACAAACAAATGTAACTCTCAAACGGCCCACACATTGGTAAGCGGAGCTGCCTGTGTGTGAACACGGCTTCATGGGTCATTAATTATGGTTGGTTACTGTCCCGGTAATTTGAGGCCCAAAAAAATACGGAGGCACAGTAGCTGTAGGAACGACCCGTTTCTTTGAGATTGCCATTATTAAACGTGTTTGTGCATCTTATAGTCTGTTTCAGCCGCCTGCCGCGCAACATGTCCCTCACATCTGCATGGTAATGAGTTTCTTGAGGGCTCAAAAGGAAGAGAAATACAGCTAATGACCCTGAACCGTTAACACACGAGAACAAACTTGGCACTAAATACCTCATTAAATGCTAACCAAAATTTAAATAAGAGTAAACGCCATTTTGAAGCACTGGATTCATTAAGCAGTCGTTTCCCTCCATTCAACTGTCAACTAAAAGCAATGCAGTGCACTGTTCTAGTATAGCTATACAAAAGTTTGGATTTAACCCTTATGCTGCATTAGGGACATTTTTGTCTTTTGCAGTTTAATTTCTTTGACCATTTTGGCTGTTTTAATGCAAATGGTATGAAATTTGGCAAAATTGTGACTTTTTGGATACATGTAAAAAATGTGATCCCATTTTGCAAAATATGTATAACACACACTGTGTAGATCAAATAGTAACACTCAGCACCATAAAGACCAAAAATGGCCCATTCACAGTAAATTTGAAATCCGGAAATCAACACCAATAGAGTTAATTTCAACACTTTAAAAGTGTATATTTGGGAACCACCCACAAAGTGTTACTTCAACACTTTCAAAAGTGTTGCCTCTCTCAACACCGACACAGTGTTACAATTCGAACACTAAGAGAGTGGAATTTTAACACCAATGCAGATAACAACAACACTGCCAGTGTTTACTTTTTCAACCTTATAGTAGTCAAATTACACCATCCTGGTGTTAATAGAACACATTTTTACAAATAAAAACACCAAAGAAGTTACCAGTTTTTCTTATTAGGGTTATGCATTACCTACTGTACTTAAATGATTTGTCAGTTTATTTTCTTCAGTTCTTTAAATCTGAAAAGAATAATTTCACTTTGAAAAACACATAACTCTTTATTACTCTTTCAAAACTTTATTTCAAAACAATCCAGAAAGTATGGGATCATAGTAGAATTCAGTTCATTGTAAAGTTGAAAATAAAGGCAAATGTAAACAGTTGTTTCAAGCAAACTATTTTTTTTATTACCGAACAAACACGTTTACATCATAGGTTAACTTTTAAAATAAACGATGAATGCACTGTAATCAGAATTATATATTGTGATCAAATGGTGTCCTGAACATATCAGTGAATGTGAGTCCTGTGTCAGTGAAGTTGATTCAGTACCTTTGACTTTGCAACAGTACAGCAGTGCTTGAGTCAAAAACATTCAGCAGATGAAGAACAGTAGCAGGATATGAGTGGATCAGTTGTGTGTCTCCAGTCACTAACAGTAAAGTTCAGTGCATAGTTGTTTCACAGAGCAGCAAAAGCTGTGTAGATCCAACTTTCTCGAAAAATCCTGTAGGACTGGGTACCTAGACAACACAAAACCAGATCAATTACAATTAATACCATTTGTGTTTCATAAATACAGCAGGTTTATGGTGAAAAAAGTTCAATCATCGACTCAAACAAGAAACCATTTTGGTTAGATTAAGACTTGCATTTATTGATTTCCAAGTAAATTGAAGATTTAATTCATCCAAAAAATTTAATTCTGTCATTAATTATTCACCCTTGTTGTTCCAAACCAGTAAGAGTTTTGCTCATCTTGGGAACACTTAAAGGGATAGTTCACCCAAAAATGAAAATTCTAGCACTAATTACTCAACCCTCGTGTTGTTCCAACTCGGTAAGACTTTCCTTCATCTTCGGGAGACAAATGAATGATATTGTTGATTAAATCTGAGAGCTGGATCACTCCTGCAAAGCCTTTTAAGGGATTGAAACTTGGCAGCCAATAAAAGTTATTAAAGACATTGTTAAAATAGTCAGAGTGACTACAGTGGCTCAGGTTTATCAAGTGACGAGAATACTTTTTGTGCGCAAAAAACAAACTAAAAATTAAAAATATTACAATCAACTATTCATTTTCTTCTGTGTGGGCCTGAGCAAGTTAACAGTGTAACAGTGCAGCGCTACTGTGTTGTACATCACACACACACGACCAGCGTCAGCCAATAGTGAGCCTGTGTGTGACGTACAACACCGAGGCGCTGCGCTGTTACACTACGAGAAGCCCATCTCGAGGCCCACAGAGAAGGAAATGCATAGTTGAATAAAGTCGTAATTTCTGTTTGTTTTTTTGCGCACACAAAGCATTCTCGTTTGGATTGGATTTAGGATTGCGCTTCTGTAATCAACAATATCTTTAATGACTTTCTGGGCCAGCAAGTTTTGATCCCTTAGAAGCCTATGGAGGAGTGATCCAGCTCACAGATTTAATCAAAAATATCTTAATTTGTGTTCCGAAGATGAATGAGTCTTGCGAGGTTGGAACAACATGAGGGTGAGTAATTACTGACAGAATTGACATTTTTGGGTGAACAGTCCCTTTAATAAAGATATTTTTAATGAAATCTAAGAGAATTCTGTCCATTCATCTAAAGCCTATTCAACGACCACTTCAAAAACCACGGAAAGGTATAAAGGAAATCAAAAGTAATCCATGTGACTCTAGTGGTTTAACCTCAACCTTTTTGACAATTTTAACTCA